CAGACTCACGAATAGCACGGCGAATCTCCGACATCCAATCGTCTCGCTCAGTAGGCATTCCAAAGAACAGTTTTGTGCACGCCCAAGATACCATTGGCGAAGTCTCGGACCACCAGACATCCAAACCAAAGTGAGGGCTCACACCCTCTTCATTGAAAATGTTGACGATCCTACTCAGAGGAATTTCGACCCGACCATCGGAGTGTGACCCATCCTGACTCAAAGTGGAAGACGTCGAAGACCGCTTCAGGCGCTGAGACGGCGGGGCAAGTTCAGAAAAGTTCGCCCTTGCTGACTCGACACTGCTGAACTTGATCAGGTGCCCATCGGTTAAGACGACATATTCGGCGCGCGATTTCCACAACCGGCTGTCAGTCTTCAAGGCTCCGTGCTTGAGAATCTTGATAGGAACCGGCGCCGGCGGTTGAGGGCTGAGGTAGTTGGGGGTCTCCTCGGACATGTGCGAGCTCGCGGAAGAATCCTTGGAAGCTCGTCGGTTGAGGCGATAGAAGATGGAGGATGAATTTGAGCCGCCGGATGCGTTGTTCTTGTGAAGAACTCGTTTACTCTTCATATGGAGGCCGCTCGAGGCCTCCTCGGACGTGGAGGCGAGGTCGGTCGAGGAGGAACTGCTGCTGACCTTCCTGAAGGTCTTTGCTAAGAAACTACGCCTCTTGCCGCCCAAAGCTGGTGTCGAGACGCTACGGAGCTCTGCGGCCTGGCTTTTACTTGTGGTGTGCGGCTCTCCATGATGTGTCGTCTGAATGGTAGGCAGCATTGACCGTCGGTTCGCGGCAGCGTCCATGGTCGACAGAATTGACGTGCAGTAATCGGGGGTCTAAGCCCAGCCTATTCCGTCGTCGTGGGAGTGCCTCGGCCAAATCAGGCCTTCGAGGCCGTCAAGGTCGAGTAATCGATTATTGGGCCATGTAACGTTATCCAAAGGCAAGTCGTTGGTGTCAATTCAATACGGTGGCGATTGCGCTGTTTACACTCGGTGGAAAGAAGGTGAGAAGAGAGTTCGGCGGGAGGAGAGAAGGCGATGTATCTTCGTCGACGAGACAACGAAGCAAAGATGGAGGGTTCGAGATGGTAGAGATTTGAGGTTGTGAGAAGTTGGGAGAGGTATCAGAAGAGGAGGGGACCAAAAAGTGTGTGTACTAGAAAGTGGACGGCGGAGGGGTGTTAATAAGTGACGGTCCTTATCCTCTGGTTAGAGAGGGAGAGGTGCGTCTAGGTTCTGGGAGCAGGGAATAGCTGTTTAGAGGAAGGACCGGAGTGCAGCAAGCCTCCGACAAGAACCAGGAACCTTGCTGGGAAAGGTAAGGGAAGAAAGACTGGAGGCAGCGGCAGCGGCAGTACTTGGTAGACTACTGCGTATCCGTAGGGTCTACTACGGATAGCGTGGTAGCAACGAGCGAGGGGTGAAATGCGGACGATTAGGGTGGGTGGATGCGGATGGATGTCCCGAGTCTTGGAAGAAGAGGACCTGACCCTGGCCGCTGGGAGAGACAAGGCAGCACGAGTCGGGCAAGGTGCGGTCAGATCAGGGACTCGTTGGGCAAGGGGAGGATAAGATGGGATGAGATATGAAGAGTCGGGCGAGTAGGCACGTGTACATCGGCCGGATTCAAGACGAGGGTGAGGTGAGTGTTGGTAGAGCATAGTATGAGAGCGCTCACACGTTGGTAGATAGCGCCGGGTTTGTCAGGCAGGTAATGGAATGATGGATTTGGGATAAGATGTTGGAGAACAAACACACGACCTCATGGACCAAGAAAGATGGTGTTCACGGAATCCGTACGCCGCGCAGCAGAGACAGGAGGAATCGAAATTGGGAGAAAGGGGGGGGGGGGGGGGGGGGGGGTGTGGGGGTGCATGGATACGAAAAGGTACTTGTTCATTCAACTAGGAGGTTTGGAGACGCGAGAGGAAGATGAGTCTGATAAGATGAGAGAGAAAGAGAGAGGCCAGTGCTGAGTGCCACTGCCCAGTCGCCCAGTGCCATGTACGTGTATCCATAGGGGAAAGGTGAAGGACTGGCAGCTTGATGCAGCTATGATGTTATCGATGCACATCCTGTTTTTGGCCCCCGGAAGCGTCGCCCAATGAGACATGCGCGGGGTTTCTATTGCTGCCATGGTGGGCGTGGCAGGTGCTTTCACACAGTACTTTCCGTTGGAAAAGATCCGTAGGTATCTACGGATATGGATGGGAAAGAGAGAGGGAGAGAGGCAGGGCGCGTCACCAATGAAATGGCGTTTCTCGCGGCGGGAAGCCTTGGCCCTGCAGTGGGGTTTCTGCTGTGTGCGGCCCTTTTCCCCTGCAAGCTCAGCACAACCCTGGAAGTCGACAAGTAAGTACCTTTGTACAATCTTCCATCTGTGCATTTCCATCTTCGAATACCTCCGGATACACAGTCCTGAGTCTACCACTACCGACACCACAGTATCACCACAGACCTTTTCATCGCAAGCGCATCGCCTGTGAGTTGTTCACCTCCGCCTCGACATGGGTACGTTGTTCTGCCCTCTCCTGGCAGCTGAAAACAAAGTTGATGGAGCTCACTCAGCCGCTGTTTGATGTACAGACAAAACGCACAAAACAAAACACTAGACGAGGAGAACTCTGAACGTCTGTCTGCGAGAAACGAACCTTCAGAGGGTTCACCATATCCATCATCCACCAACATCCACGCGCGAGCATCGAAACATACGCCAAAGTCCACTCTTATCCACCCTATTATGCACGTTTTACGTGGATCATGGTGCCATGGGTCTGTGGTCCCAGCTTGCCAAGGGGGGGCGTCTTTGCAGACTATGGACCTTGTCGGTACCACCAGAATACCAGAATCACACTGACGAGGCCACCGGAAACTGCGTACATCTCGTCACTCTCATGCATTTTTACCATGGAATCGCGGCACGCATGGCGCATCTGTACGGCACTCCTCGGCACTCCTCGGCACTCCTCCTCCTAGTCTCCGACTCTCCTCACTCGCTGGCCCTGTTGCGTACCAGTCGTCCAGTGCCACCTTGTTGCTGTGCCTCCTCACCTCAGTTACATGCCGTGAGGCCGGCCATGGCAGATGCAGCTTGCGGCGCGCCGTCTCCGAGTACCACTTCCAACTCCCAACCCGCCCAAATCCACACGAGAAAATGAGCTTTGCATCCACCTACACCAAAAGCCCGCCGCGCGCGCATCTGCCAACCAGTGACCAGCAACCTGGGATGCTGTTGCTACGCTGCCGGTATGTCGACGGCGGCTGCGTACGCAGAATGGCGGTGCAACTCCAGCACGTCAACGCTTACCAAGTCTATCATTTGGCATGGTACAAACTGTACAGCCCATCCCGTCGTCTCCAATACTTGCTCAGCTACGGTGGGCTATCGTGAGTAGTGGCTCCCAACACCTCGGGACTTACGTCTCATAGCGTAATGTGCTATCCAGGTGTCTTCGTGGTCGCGGAATGTAATCGTTCGCTACCGCCGATTCCGCTACTGCGGTAGCCGCAGATGCCCGACGCCGTGGATGCCGCGCATTCTTCAAAGTTCACTGCCATCCAAGAGCTACCTACTCCGTAAGCCCAAGAAGATGGATGCGGGTTAACTTTCAGTAACTCTGAATGGCTCCGTTGGCATGTTCAGTTCGCCCACGCCCATTGCAAGCCATGCCTGTCTTCGCCTTCCAAGTTCGCTCTTACTGCAGCCAGTCTTGAGAAACAGAGGACCCTGTCGTCCAGGGTCCCACGGTAGGGTTCTCTAATCATGATCATCGATTGATTTTCCTGATGCCTCACTAGCTGCGATTTCCTACCCTCTCTACATTTTCTTTTTTGCCTCAACTCTCTCAAACTTTCTTCTACAGCATGAGGCTCCTCTCCTCGCCGTGGAGACGGCGCTAGAGCCGGCCGGGCCGAGAGTAAGGGTCGTTTCAAGCCACCTTCAATATTCAGCTTAATGGGGGCGCCCTGGCGACTTGAAATATCTCAAGATTGCTTCAAATCTCCCCTTTCGTTGCGCTTCGGCCGCTTCGCTCCCGGCTACGGCTTCTTTCTACGCCGAAATGATTTCTCTAGGCCTCTTCTCTCTGGGTCTCTGGAGACCGGGGGGGTCTTGTGCGCGTAAAGCTGCATTATCGAGGAAGGGTTTCCCCTTTCTCGTGTTCTTTGAATACTTTTTTTTTTTTTGTTTCTAGAAGGACTTGGGTAAGATAAATGAACCGAGAGGATTCTGACTGTCAATCCCCTGGCCATGTCAGCCCCGTTTTATTCGGATACGAGGGGGGCCTGGAGGATGTGGTCATGGGACCCTTCATTTTGTGACTTTGTCCATGGCTGTGTAAGTGCACTACGAATATCCGTTCATACAGGCTGGGCGTTCTCGCGAAAATCGCGAAAGGAATCAAGACACGGGCGGCATGCCGCTTCACCTTGCCGAGAGCGAGCACGGAACGGGGAGGAATAAACAAAGAAGAAATCCGTTTAGCCCCTTCGACCCAAGGACACCACCATTGCGACGGTTTTGTTTGTCGGACATGTTGTTGGTTATCAGGAAGTTGGGGGTTAAATTAAATTGTTGGACCGCCCGCGTCAAGCTCAAGAGGTGCCATCATGCCATGCGGCCGGTTTCAGATGAAGTAGAGACGATGGTGAGGAACGATTGAAGGTGTGTGAAGACGGCCGGGAGACCTGGAAGTTGGGACCAAGACATTTACGCCCGGGCACGCCCCCCCCCCACGCCCCCCTCCCTGGAAGATTGGAAAGCCCATCCATCCCGAAAGATTTCCCAGGAATGAATGGGATGCTCGGCGACAACGCGATCGTCTGAACGACCCGGCCGACAGTTTTTGTACCGCACCTTTTTTTCACGGATGCGAAGAATTGTGAAACCCACCCGCGCCGGCCAAATTTGGGGGTAAGTTGACTTGAGATTTGGGGTGCACATCCAAGGAATAACCGGGCTTTGATGCGGACGGGGGCTCCAACTTGTCAAGATTACGACTTGTCTCTGATCGCCGTCAGGACAGGGGCGTTCCTGATGTGTTTGTGCCACTGTGGTGTCTGCGGTTGGCACCTTGTGCCTGTTCGGCTTGCTTTTCTCGGTGCGGATATACGGAGTAATAGGTACAAATGTTGTGGGAAGGGGAAACCACCATCGAAAAGCCACTGCCGCACAATTTGTGCGCCACTCGCGAACGCAATCCCATCATCATTATCATCAAACCGCAAAATCCACCATGAGTCCAGCCAAGGGCCCCCTATATCATCAGTGAGGCGAATAAAGGTATCCGTATTTCCTGGAAATGAGCCGGACTTGTGCAGCACTGCAGGTACAGTTGCCCTGGACACGGGCTGTAATCTGTACCTACACACAATCACAATCCAAGTTTCTCCATCTATATATATCCTTGCTTTCGGCCACAATTTGCGATACCTACTCCGTATCTTTGCGGATATCATGGCCCTCTCGGATGCTTTTGACCACGCGACACGCTCGCGCGCGCTCTTTGCTCAGTCATTCAGACTTTCTATGGACTCAACGAGCGAGTCGCGCGCGACACAAGCGTGACACCGCAACACGGAGGGCACATTTTTTTTTTCTCCTTCCAAAGTCTTTCTCTCCTTTGATTCTTGAATCATCTTGCACGGACCTCCCGCATCCAGTCCGACGGGTGCCTGGGGACCAACTTAGTGCCAAAAAGCGGGGAACGGCCGGCACCCGTTCCACAGTCCGGCCCGTCTCACTTTCCATTTATCAACCACCGTGGTCGGCCCAAGTACCCCATTTCTTTTCCAATCCCACGCTCCCTGTGTTTGCTCCGTTCCTATGACGCTACCGGGACTGCTGAGAGAAAGAAAGCCCCTCCCAAAAACAAAACAAGAAACAAAAAAATTGTCGCGGAGACTGCGACATCGATATTCTCGCATCCAGGGATCCATCTAGACAAAACGATTGCATCTTGGGGAGGGACGCGTTATCATACTTGCGTACGATGAGGCGAAGAAATCCCACTTTCCGGCCTTGCACCAGAGATCAAATCAAAATGAATGAAGTTTGCTTCCGGTCGATCAGTGAATCTTTCCCCGGAATTTCCCCTCACCAGCCTACAACCAACGCTTTACTGTAGAGACAGCATTCCAGATTTTTCCCAGTCGCCCGGGGGCGTGTATCCGTACCCGTACACGGCCACCAAGACGAGACTTGAATACGGATACATATCTGTCACTCCAACTAGTGCTTCATTCCACATCCTTCGTCTCACTGCCACGCTGCCGCCAGCTTGTAGTGATGTCATGTTTTTCCACCGATGTCTTCAATTTGTTCGATCTGTTAAATTCACGCGCAAGATAACGTAGTCGACGCGCTGTCAGGACGACTAGCAAATTGACGGACCACTCATCTTCCTTCGCGGTAGGTAGGTATACCTTGGTCGTATCGATGGAACAGACCGGATCGTCGCAAGCCAAAAGGCGCATTGAAGTTTTGAACCGAAACTAGTAGCTATTAGCTGTGCAAGCTCCCGCGCATAGTGGCTGCTCAGGAACTGCTGCTCCTGCCGCGCTCCCACCCCCCTTCTTTGTTAAATTGATTTTTTTGGGGTGGCTTGTTGGTGACATATGTCCCGAAGTTGCCGAAGCCTCTCCCTGGTAAGCGTCGGTACAACGAACCATACGAGGGCTGTCCCTTATCATTCAACGGCAGTTGATACATTGGATTTTGAAATGAATCCTGCGTATGATTATCATTCGATAGAAAGCGAGCATGATGCCGACCATTCGCCCGTCGGCAATGACGTTGCAACAGGCGTTTTTCTGATTTGAAGATGGTGAAGCGAAGCAAGACTGCAGTTGATCATAATCATCTGTGCCCAGACTTTGATTGACCGGCACCAATGTTTGGGAGCATTCATGTCTCAATTACATCGACCTTAGGTACACGCGCAACTGTTCGTGCTCATTGGGCTAAAGCAAGAGGGCTCCTGCAGCTCAGCTCTGTCAGCTGGTTGATCAGCATGTTGATCTTTGGCAAGAGGCGCATCTTCAACATGTCGTGGCGTTATGGCTGGAGAGTCTCGTCAGCCACATATCAAGCCACAAGGTCGTCAAGCCACATAAGGTAGGAAGCTGTAGAACCGACATTCCGACCGACCAACCGACCACGCATCAAACCTAAATGCCACAGCAAACCGAGCCCGAGGTCGGGACCTTGCTGCATCTGCCACCGGATTATTTTACCGAATTGGGCTCGCTTTCACGTTCCCGCCCCTGGCCTCCGCATACCGAACGCACTCGCAACCGCGAAGCTGCACTTGACCGCTCGCCGTTCGAGGGCTGGCAGAAACTCGACAACCCAACTCAACAGAAAATTGGAGGGGCTGTCCCACTTTCGCGATCTTACGATATCTGGTTGCACGCTCGCACTTCTAGCTCGAAATCGTCATCCCGTCACCAATTGACTGCGACAGCTTTCCCAACCCCAGCTTCGCGGTTGTCGAGTGGGTACCTTGTGCTTTCCCATCGTGCCTATGACATCAACTGACCTGATATTCTTTTTTGACGACTTTTCCAGATTTCTCCAGACCCGGAACGAAGAGCTAGCAAGCTCCCAGCTACACGTCCTATCCCGCTTTCTGTGGAGAAAGAGTCCTCGGACACCGTCTTCAAAATGTCCGAATTCACTACCCGCAGATATTTTGACAACATCTACATTCCCGCTGGTCTGATCGTCTTCGGATGCTTCATCACCAAGCGCGAATGGACGCCGTACGCTGTTGCCCTGGCGCTCGCGCTGGCAGCCTACAAGTTCAACGCCATGCGTGAGTTCGGCCCCTCTCGGAATACCTCGGAATTGCCCGCTGACGAACCCCCTCATGCAGAGATCAAGAAGGTCCTCAAGCCCGATGCCTTCCAGGACTTTGAGCTCAAGGAGAAGACCATCATCTCGCACAATGTCGCCATGTAAGTCGTACTCCCAAAGCTTCGAGCCCGGCATTTCCAGCTGACAAGCGTCCGAAGCTACCGCTTCAACCTCCCCAACGAGAAGAGCATCCTCGGCCTCCCCATCGGCCAGCACATCTCCATCGGTGCCAATTGCCCCCAGCCCGATGGCACCACCAAGGAGATTGTGCGCTCCTACACTCCCATCTCTGGCGACCACCAGCCTGGCTACTTCGATCTCCTGATCAAGTCCTACCCCACCGGTAACATCTCCAAGTACATGGCGTCGATGAAGGTCGGACAGACGCTCAAGGTCAAGGGTCCCAAGGGCGCCTTCGTCTACACCCCGAACATGGTCCGTCACTTTGGTATGATTGCCGGTGGTACTGGTATCACTCCCATGCTTCAGATCGTCCGCGCTGTCATTCGTGGCCGCCCCACTGGTGACAAGACCGAGATTGACCTCATCTTCGCCAACGTTACCCCTCAGGATATCCTGCTGAAGGAGGATCTGGATGCCCTCGCCAAGGAAGACGCTGGCTTCCGCGTGCACTACGTTCTTGACAAGCCTCCTGCGGACTGGACCGGCGGTGTTGGTTACGTCACGGGCGACATGATTACCGTAAGTCTTTCCTGCAGATCACGTTCCCGAACAGAGCTAACACACATTGTAGAAGCTTCTTCCCAAGGCTGCCGACGACGTCAAGCTTCTGCTTTGCGGTCCCCCGCCCATGGTCAGCGGACTGAAGAAGACGGCTGAGAGCCTTGGCTTCAAGAAGGCCCGCCCCGTGAGCAAGCTCGAGGACCAGATCTTTGCTTTCTAAGCTTGTTAAAGCTTGAAGGAAATCTGCCTAAACGAATGAAAAATAACATTGCGTGGGGAAAGAGGCGCTTTGCATGTTGATAAGCAACAGAGGAAGTCGACATAGATGCGTTTCCAGATTTTAAGGTGTTGGGTTCCGTAGATAAGAGCTTCTGCATTCGGATAGCTGTGTTGCGACTGAGCTGCCGTACCTACCTTTAGACAATGTGCCCCACCTTACATAAGACCCCCGAATTCTAATCCTTGCAAGTTGACGTCGCAAGGTGACCCGACCGACCACTGCTTTGTATGAACCGTCGTGCCAGGCTACAATCACCAAATTTCAATCTCTTTCAACAACAGACCACAACACACGCCCGTCGACGCCAGCACCATGTCAGACGGCTCTAAAGCCCCGAGGATAGCGATCAGCTTCGGCGGCTCCTCGAGCTCAAAAAACAACAAGAAACCTTCACGCCCAGACCCACCATCATCGCTAGGCAAGCGGTCGCGGACGAATGCGCTAAACAACTTTGACTCGGACTCGGAAGGCGAGCGCGATCATGGCCGCGGACGACACGAAGCGATCACAGAAATCGGCGGGGACTCTGCCCGGAAACGAGAGAAGAAGCCCCGCGAGCTGGTGATTGGAAAGCAAAGCAACCGCGACTGGAAGACCGAGTTGCGCGGGCGCAGGGGAGGCAAGAATTTGCTGCCCGCGGAGGTGCAGGCACAACGAGAGCAGGAACGGAATGGTGCACAGCAAGAGGCAGAGAGAGAGCCCACCGATGCGGACAAGGAGATACAATGGGGGTTGACGGTCAAGAAGCGCAAGACGAGCGAAGAGGATGCCACACCAACAGACCAGGGCGAAACGGTAGACAACGACGGCCAGGGCGATCGTTCACCAAAGGAGAAACGGGCACCTCGGACAGCAGACGAAGACGCCATGGACGCCTTGCTTGGTAACAAGCGCCAGGAAGAAGAGGACATTGTCATCCAAGCCACGGAACAGGACGCCTACCTCTCCGACATCAAGCGCGTGGGCCAAGACGCGACGCTCGCAGACTACGATGCGATACCGGACGGCGAGTTCGGCGCCGCGCTGCTGCGCGGCATGGGCTGGGACGGCAAGATGCGCGGGCCCAAGAAGAAGCAGCCGACGGAGAGGCGGCAGAACCAGCTCGGCCTCGGGGCCAAGAAGCTGGAGGGCGCGGAGGACCTGGGGCAGTGGAACCACGGCGGGAAGAAGAAGAGCAGCCGGCCGAGGCTGGACGAGTACCGCCGCGAGGAGGAGAAGAAGCGCAGCGAGCGCAAGGAGCGGAGGGGCGAGAGCTATAGGGACGAGAGGGATCGTGAGCGGGATAGGCACGGGGGCTCGCACCGTGATAGGGAGAGGGAAAGGGATAGGGATAGAGATCGGGATTATTACAGCTCGAGACATCGGAGCGGCGACTCACGACGATGAAGAATCTGAAGCGGGTTGGTGAGAGGCTGTGGCCTGTTTCAGGTTGTGGCAGAATTGAATAGTTTGTCCATGGATAAATAGACCACCCAAACATGTTATCCATGATACTCACAAAAAGATATCTATAAGGTAGCGTGGGTTGCCCGTGGTATCGGTTGCGCCTACTAAGATTAACATACTGGGTTCCAATTACCATCATGACTGCGGAGCACAATGCTAGAGTACCCTATTGCCGGACCGGTTGTACATTGCTTCTTGGTAGGATACCTTGAAAACCGCATCCTACTCGGACTATTCCTATGACCAGTAAGGCCGAGATCCCGCCGTGATACAGCTTTAATTGATGCCGGCGCTGCTCCCGCGCACTCCCTTACCTCGTGAAGGTGATTTTGACCTGAGTGCCGGTCTGTAGTGGGGAGGTGGAAACGCCCAATATTTCTAAAGTATGGTACGCAGGTCTGTGTTCCATCTAGTGAGAATTCCGGAGGCCAAAAAAACCGTGATGGAAAGGTGATAACCCCATGGGGCTTCGCTGCATCCGTCTGGGGATTCCCCTTGGACACATGATTCACGCAGCCACGCAACCTTGGAGGTTGGTAGAAGTCATCCGGGTCTCAATGCATGTGGCACCTTCTCGTTGATATCAATGATCACAGTCGTGATCTCCCTATTTAGAGTTTATCATAGTAATGGTCGCGCCACGAAGGCTTCTTTCTGTCGTATGATGGAGAAGGAGCTGCCATGGACCGCTTCGACCTCAGAGGGCAGCGACCACTATGGATGGGTTTTGATCACCTGCAGTTCATTCCGCCTGTTTCCTCTTTTCTTTTTCCTTTTCTTCCTTTTCTTCCTTTTCTTCCTTTGCCATCCTACGTACATCTCCTCGGACCTTTCCTTTTCCCCCAGACAACGTTGTTTCGTTCAACATATTCTGGATCGAGCATCTCTTCTTCTGCTCCATGTTCACAACACAAATTCATCAGTATTCCACCAATTACCCACTTCACCATGTCCTCTATACACGAAAAGCCCATGTCCTCTGTGCAGGAAGTACAGGATAAGGAGATTCCCGATACGATTGCCTCCAACCCGGAGGCCAAGGCTGCCAGGGACTATGAAGAGCATCACAATTACATGCAGACAGTCAACAAGTACTTCCCCGCGGTCAAATGGTCCATCTTCTTCGCCATGACCATCATCGGCGAGGGATATGAGCTCGCTCTCATAGGCAACTATTTCTCCTTGGACCAGTTCAAGAACCTCTTCGGTTACGTTCCGCAAGGGAAAGCCGTCAAGGAGATTCCAGCACTTTGGCAGTCCTTGATCCTTACTTCAAGCCAGGCCGGCCAGGTCGCGGCCATGTACTTTGCCGGTCTGTCCATGGACAGGTTCGGGTACCGAAAGACGATGATGTTTTCTCTCGGATCAATCATGATTCTGCTTCTCGTCAACTTCTTCGCGCCGGCGGCCTTGCCTACGGGGGGCTACAATGCTGGTCTCGGCATGATCTTCACCGGCGAGTTCCTCTTGGGACTTCCTTGGGGAGTTTTCCAGGCTTGCGTTCTACCCTACGCTTCAGATATCTCGCCCCTCAAGCTTCGTCCGACGCTCACCACCTTCGTCTCCATGTGCTGGATTTTCGGCCAGCTTTTATCAACGGCAGCGATCAAGGGTGTTCAGAAGATCGAATCCAATGACCTCATGGCATATCGCGTCCCCGTCGGCATCCAATGGATATGGCCCCTCCCCGTTCTCCTCTGCGTCTTCCTTGCTCCCGAATCACCTTGGTGGCTTATGCGCCAGTCTCGTTCCGACCTCGCACGCAACTCCCTTGCCAAACTCAACAAAGACCCGACGTATCCAGTTGACGGTCAGGTCAAGGTTCTCGAGCTCACCAACGAGCAGGAGAAGAACAGCCAGGAAGCTTCCAACATCACATACCTCGAGTGCTTCCGCGGCATCAACCTCCGCCGGACCATGATTGTCGTCACCCTAAACTTGACACAACAGCTCTGCGGTTCGGCCCTCATGTTTTATTCGGCCAAGGTATACCAGAAGGCGGGTATTGACGTCTCCAAGTCATACGACTTTACGCTGATTCAGTACGCAATCGGCATCATCTGCATCATCTCTTCTTGGCCCCTGATGAACTACGTCGGACGCAGAACCATCTGGCTCTGGGGACTAATGGGCTCCATCATTCTCACGGCAGGTGTCGGCGTGCTAGGGTTCTTCAGCGATTTGCACCCGGCAATTCCTTGGATCATGGCAGTTATGCTCGTGGTCTTCACAGGAGTCTACAATCTTTCCATTGGACCCCTGGTGTACGCTATTAACCCCGAGATTCCTTCGACCCGACAAAAAGCCAAGACACTCGTCATTGGCCGAGCAGCCTATCTCGTCGCGGGACAATTCAACATGTGGCTTTTGCCAAGGATGCTGGAGAGCCCACCTAATGGATGGGGTCTTGGACCTCGCACAGCGCTTGTGTACGCTGGTATCAATAGCGTCTTCTATGTCTTGGCCTACTTTTTCTTGCCCGAGGTTCGGAACAGAACTCAGGCTGAGATGGATGAACTTTTCAAGCTCAACATACCTGCTCGCAAGTTCGGCAGTACCGTGCTGACTGCTGAATAAGGTGGTCTTTTTGTGTCAGCTGTTGCTCAAGCAGTTGTCTGGTTTCGGGCTGATGGGTGAGATGATTGAGATCGAAGGTAGACGTCTCTGCTTCTAGTGTATCAGGCCCAGTGTTCGGTTTCGTGTGGTTTTTTGGAATTCAGTATTGGGATAACGCATTATATGATAATTATGAAAATTCAAAAGTTTCCAAAATGAATATCCCTAACCGTCATGTCTGGAAAGCAGAAGCTCCAAGAAGCACGTCTCGGCACTCATTCTATGTGTGCAACATCGGTGATGACATAGGTACCCCAATCCAAGCTCCGTTAGTGGCCTAGGGGTTGCCGGCACCAAAAGGTGCAGGATCCTTGGCCCCTGAATCATGTTCGTCTGCGACTCTGCCCCACCAAAGCTGAGCTGGGCCCGCGGCGCTACCTACGGCTGCTGCCGGAACTTGGTGGACTTCCCAAATTTGAGCTCCTTTCGCCAGTTCGAAACCATCTCTCCTACACGCTGCGATCCGCAAAGCAGCCACAATACACGAACACGACTCCAGAGCAGGGGCTTGACAGCTTCCTTTAACCCAATGGCCATCGAGTGCCAGCCTTAATATTTCATATCTTTCTTTTTCCTCTTCTTTTTTTGAACCACTCAACCAGCCCAGACAAGCCACAATGCCTCAAAAATCCCCCAAACCGAAGGGTCCGCCGCCCGCCGACTACAAGGCCATCGCCGAGCAGTTCGCCAAATTGAAGCGCCAAAAAGAGATTGAGGAGGCTAGCAGATCACCCGAGGAGATCAAGGCGGAAAAGGAGCGAGCAATACTTCTCGAAAGGCAGCGCGAGGTGTTTGAAGGCCGGCGCAAAGCTGCCTACGAGCGTAGATGGTGGTGGACTGTCGCGTTCTGGGCGTGGATGCTGTGTCTGCATGCCATTGGCATCGCCTTCTTCACCAGCGGCTTCCTCCTGACGCGACTGGTCCTCGACGAAAAGTCCAACTGTACGGCGCCCCCGCTCGAGCTCTCGTCGAGCTGGAAGGGCCAAGGTACTGTCCAGGGCGGATGCTGGCACCCCAAGTCCTTTGACAAGGCCGTGGTCGTCATCGTCGATGCGCTGCGGTACGACTTTACTGTTCCCGTGGACGATCAGGCTCCTTTCCACAACGCGTTGCCCTTCTTGCACGAGACTGCCCTCAAGTCTCCGGAACACGCCTTCCTGCGCCCCTTTATCGCCGACCCGCCGACTACTACTCTCCAGAGGCTGAAGGGCCTGACTACTGGCACACTGCCTACGTTTATCGATGCCGGTAGCAATTTTGCTGGCACTGCCATTGAAGAGGACAACCTTCTCATGCAGCTGAAGGACGCTGGCAAGCGTATCGCTCACCTGGGCGACGATACATGGATGTCTTTGTTCCCCGGCTACTTCGAGGCCAACGTGAGCAGAGCGTACGACAGCTTCAACGTTTGGGATCTGCACACCGTGGACAATGGTGTCATTGATCACATCTTTCCTCTCCTCAAACAGGAGCAGAAGGGCAAGTGGGATGTTCTCATCGGTCACCTTCTCGGTGTCGACCATGCCGGCCACCGTTATGGGCCCAACCATGCGGCAATGACGGCCAAGCTCCAGCAGATGGATATCTTCATCCGCGATCTTGCCGCTCAAATCGACGACAATACTCTGCTCGTCGTGATAGGAGATCATGGCATGGATAGTAAGGGCGACCACGGCGGCGAGAGCGATGACGAAGTCGAGGCAGCTCTATGGATGTACTCGAAGCGTCCTTTCTTTGGCCGGACCAAGCCCGAGTTCAAGCAGCCCCCGAGCATGGCCAAGATCAGGCCGGTCAACCAGATCGATCTCGTACCAACTCTGGCACTCCTCATGGGCATCCCGATTCCCTACAACAATTTGGGACGTCCCATTGAGGAAGCTTTTGCTGGCAAGAAGGGCAAAGCCTGGGACAACCTGGCGGCTGTATCGCGGCTGACCGCTGCCGGTATTCAACGATACCAAGACTCGTACTTTGCTGCCCGTGGCATTGACCAGTCCAAAAGCGCCACGGCTGGTCATGTATCGAACCTCTGGAGGAAGGCCGACCGTTCGTGGCAGTGGAAGAACCACCAGGAATCCTACGGCTTCTTCAATATGTTCCAGGAGGAAACTCTGCGCATCTGCAAGGACTTGTGGGCTCGTTTCGATGTGCCCAAGATGGTGACGGGTATTGTGGTCATGGCGGTCGGAGTCATTACCCTGCTCGTCTACGCCTCGCGCGACGCAGATGAGGACTTTGCTATTCTCGACGATCTCGAGCTAGACCAGGCGGAGATCAAATTGGAACTTCAGGGTGTCCAGCCCGATGGAACGGCGTCGTACAAAACTCTCCACGAAAAGATCTTCCTTGCGGCAATTCTTGGCGCCGTACCTGGAGCACTGGTTGGCGCCGGGTACTCTGTCTTCACCGGACCTGAGGATTTGGTCTACGCTGTTGCTGGTGGCGCTGTCTCCAGCGCGTTAGGTGTCCTGTTCTCGCTTTACGGCTTCGGCAAGACTCTCCGCAATCTTCTGCCCAATACCATTTGGGGCTGGCTCGCCGTTCTCTTCACGCTCAGCCAGTCAATTGGTTTCGCATCAAACTCATACACAGTCTGGGAGGACTCTATCCTCCTCTTCTTCATCACAACCTTTGGCGTGGCGAACGTCTTTACTGCATTCTCGGTGCCTACGATGCGAGAACGTACCCTCGCGATATACCACTCGGTTATTTTTGTCATTCTTGGTCGGCTCGCATCATTCTCCAAACTCTGCCGTGAGGAGCAGATGCCCTACTGTACCTCGACCTACTATTCCTCGGCTACCTCCTCGACGTCCTCTACCTGGCAACTGGCCATTCCTTTCGCCGTCGCCCTCATTCTGCCTTCCATAATCCAGTCTTTCCTTCTGCCTACTCGAAATTGGGAGGGGCTTGGGCCAGCATGGATTGGCTATGTCTACCGCATTGGCTTGCTTCTGTCAGCGTCGTACTGGGTCCTCGATGCCGCTGACAACGGCGATTGGTTCCCAGACCTGCCGGCCCAGACTCTGAAGAATGCCGGAACCTATATGGCTCAGGTGATTCTCGCCCTGGTTTTCGTAGCGGGCACGACCGCATTTGTCTGGGCGCCGCCGCTGGTCTCTATCTTCAGAACACCTACCAACGCCGGTCCCCAGATTACTGTCTTGGGCTATGGAAACACGCATGGCTCGAGATATCTGCTTCTTCCGATGAACCTTGTGGGAGCCTGCATCCTACTCTCGAAACCGATGGGAGGCGGAGCCCTGGCCCTGATGTTTTGGCAGATTCTCTCGCTCGTGGAGATTCTCGACCTCAACTCGTTGACAAACGAGGCGATTGGACCCGTCATGCTTGCAATCATTGGCAACTTTGGGTACTTCAAGACCGGTCACCAAGCCACACTCAGCAGTATCCAATGGGACAGCGCTTTCATCCCGCTATTCACCATCAGATACCCATGGAGTCCCATCGTCATGGCTCTCAACACGTTCGCCGGTCAGATCGTTGCGGTAGCAGCCGTTCCTCTCATTGTACTCTGGAAAGTGAGTCCTAAGAGGAAGGGAGTACTTGAGAGTGTGGGCAGAGCACTGGGCATCTTTGTTGCCTACTTCGCCGTTGAGTCTTTGGCAACTATGGCATGGGCAGGATGGCTGAGGAGACACCTCATGCTGTACAGAGTATTCAGCCCCCGCTTCATGATGGCGGCGGCTCTGCTGCTGGTTGTAGACTTGGTTGGCCTGGTCATCACCCTCATTGGCGTCCGATCCAACACGATGGCGGTGAGCGAGGTTTTTGGCTGGGTTGAATAAACTGACTTTTTTGGGCAAGTCGATGGAAAATCGAACAACAATATCACTATATCATTATAATTGTATAGCCATGAGCAAAGAGTGTGGACAGGGAGCTGATAAAGGACAGTATATGAACAAAAGATTGAGTTTTGCTTTGGCGTCTGACACCCGTATTATTAGCTTTGTCTTCTTCTGCCTCGGTAATACGGTGCCACAACATGTTGGTGGTTTGGAGAATGGACTGACATTACGGGACGATGTGCCTCTTTGAAGGAGATCAAAGAACAAGGGGACATCAGGCAGATATGGAACATACAGTCCACAGAGCTTCAAGTGCTCTACCGGCCGGAACATCGCTCAATGGCAGTTGTCATTTTGCGTCTTCAGATCGGTGACTTCGATGCTGGAGCTGGGAGCTTGGCCAAGAGCTCCAGGTTTGGGTGCTACCCTGATTATATAAGCGGATCAGTCGATACTTGAGATGGTTTCGCGGGACTTGCAATATTCAGCAAATGTTGCCGGGGTCACAAGTACCAGGGAAGCTCCCAGATGTATCGGGATCTGTGCACGCCAAAACCCCACTTGGGTCGGTAATCAGCTCCCAGGCCCTGCGCCGCCTACCGCAGGAGAACCGTGGCCTAGAGAAGCACAGGGCACGCCGTGGTCTGGCAGCAACAATTGTGTGTTATTTTATTTTTTCTTTTTGGTTCCTTTGCCCTTTCCACATCTTCGGATTGCGCCTGTAGTACTTGGTGCCCCCGTGCCCCCCCCCCCCCCCCCCCGGGAAGCCCAAAAAAGTGTCCCTCCCTCTGCTTCTCACGACATTTCCAAACCGCAAACGAAAAATAGAAAATAAAAAAAAAGAACATCCACATCCACATCCCACTCTCTCCTCCCACTTCGCAACCCGCTCCGCTCTTCCTCACAGCAACCCGCCCGCCGCCGCCCCGAACGACCAGATCTGCTGAACTGAACACACACACAAAACCCACACACACACCCTGAGCCGGTTTTATCCCAGTGTCCTTTGCCTCCGAACTGTGCACATTCATTTTTCCACCCTTTCCCATCGTCCATCCCTTCTCTCTTTGATCTCCGCACATCGCTGCTGCTCGTCACGCGTCTCCATCCTCTTCCAACCTCAAGCTCCCGCCGCCCCCTCGCATCGTCGTCGAAACCCTTTTTCCGGCGTATCCTCCTCCCGTCTTCCCACCCCTCCCATCCTCGGCTCTCTGTCATCAAAACCTCTTTCGAGTCACTTCTGAGCGTTTCCCTCCCGGCCCATCGCATCTCTTTGAGGTATGCTCTCTGCTCTCTGTTCTGGTCATCCATATCGCTCGCTTTGCATCTGCTCCTCCTCCCCTCCGAGCTTAAATCTTCTAATCCTCCATCTCCACTCCCATTGGCGCATATCGTAATCCTAACATTCCATCATTCAAAGGGTCCCTGCTATCGAATATCCTTCCGCGAAAGAAGAAACCTCCCCGCAAGCAAAGCGAAAAGCCCCGCAGAAACCTCGAGCTTCGCCCTCTCGCGACCTTCCATCGTCGTTTCCTCCTCCTACCTTCCTTCGGTCCGATTGCGCCCAGATATCCAGATTCCTCAGAAGCAGTCATGGCAACCAACGGTAACTACACACACCCGGACCAGTTCAAGGGCGCTGTCGAGCCAACATCATCAGGTCCCACCTCAACCAACGATGCCGCCTCGGCTGTAAGCAACAACCTTAGTAAGGATGAGGTTGGCTGGTACTTTGTCGAGCAATACTACACAACCCTGAGCAAGAACCCGGATAAGCTTCACGTACGCATCCAACCTGACCCCCCCCCCTCTCGAGATGGCTTTTGTAATACTGACACGTATCCACAGCTCTTCTATGGAAAGCGCTCCCAGTTCGTTTACGGTATGGAGGCAGAGGTCGCAAACGTGTCCGTCGGCAGACAAGTCAGTTTTCTCAGCTTTCTTTGTGCTTCTTCAGTGCCTCTTCAAAGCTGAAGCATGCTGACCATTACGCTTCCTAGACTATCCAAGAGAGGATTAAGAGCCTCGACTTCCAGAACAGCAAAGTCCGCATCACAAACGTCGACTCCCAGGCCTCTTTCGAGAACATCGTTATCCAGGTCATTGGTGAGAGCTCCATCAAGTCCGCCGAGCCGAAGAAGTTTGTCCAGACCTTCGTTCTCGCGCCTCAGCCCTCCGGCTACTTCGTCGTCAACGACATCCTGAGATATATCAACGACGAGGACGAGGAAGAGGCCCCCGCTGAGGCTGAGGCGGCCCCCGAGGAGCAAGCCGCTCCCGAGGAGGTTGCCGAGGTCCCTGCCCAGGCAGAGGCTGAGGAGCCCAATGTCGAGCAGACCCCCGAGGAGGCCAGTGGCCCCGCTATCGATGTCGACGAGGTTGAGAAGAAGCTGGAGGAGGTTAGCGCCGCCCCTCAGGACGTCGCCTCCAACAACGGCGATGCTGAGCCCGCCGTTCCCGAGCCCACGAAGGCTACTGAGACCAAGGTCGAGGAGCCAGCGGCTGACCCCGAGGCCGCTGCTAAGGAAATTGCTGAGGATGTCACCGAGCCCGAGAAGCCTGCCGACCCCTCTCCCACCCCTGTCGCTCCGACCAAGGCTCCCGCCGCCGAGCCCGAGAAGCCCAAGCCCGCCCCTGCGCCCGTCCCGATGAAGCCCATGTCTTGGGCCAGCCGTGCCGCCGCCGCCGTCGGACCCAAGCCTGTCGTGCCCCTTCCCAAGACCGCCACTCCTCCCGCTGGCCAAGCCAAGGTTCCTGCCCCTGCCGCTCCTGCCGCCGCTCCCGCTAAGGAGGCTGCTCCCGCTGCCGATGGCCCCGTCAAGGAGACTCAGGCCCAGGCCGCCACGGAGGACTCTCCCTCCGCCGAGTGGCAGTCCGTCGGAGCCGACTCCAAGCGCCAGAACCGCCCCCAGTCCATCTCCCAGGCACCCACCGAGAACTACGGCACCTTGGGATACGTTAAGTACGTGACTGACAAGGTCAAGGCGGAGGATCTCAAGGGCGCCCTGGCTGCCCACGGCGAGCTCACCTACTTCGACATCAACCGCCAGAAGGTAAGATTCAAAGTGCCCTGAACAGTCTTTAATGACGAGAGACTGACATTCTACAGAACTGCGCCTTTGTCGAGTTCGCCACCGTTGCCGGCTACCAGGCCGCTGCCGCCGCCAACCCTCACACCGTCAACGGCGAGAACATCATCGTCGAGCCCCGCCGCCCCAAGGCCAATGCCTACGGCGGTAGCAGCTACTCCTCCAACACTCCTCGCGGTAACGCCACTGGCGGCGGCCGTGGCCGTGGTTTTGAGGGAGGAAACCGCTCCGGCAGCCAGGGAGGTGGCCGCGGTAACTTCACCGGTGGCCAGGCCCGTGGTCGCGGCAGCGTCCGTGGCCGTGGTGCCTCCCAGGCTGCTGCTTAAATCCCGATAGTCATGTCCTACCAGCGCTGCTCAGGGTCACCTAGGTATCATCGATTCTCGGGACTAACTAGAGGAGCTTTGAATGGCGTTAACGACACGAAGTATCGATCACATCATCCACTGTCTTGTGTGTAGATACTACCCCCTACACTCAGACGATAACCACGACATTCAAACTCAAATCCACTACTCCTCAAAACCAACAATATTCTCACGATCGTCGGACGATCGCCGACGAGGAAAGGAGAGAAAAGCTACAGTCACCTTCATTTCTTTTGCAAGGAGTTACAGGGCAAGGGCGTGGGTTTACACACCGTTTCCTGTACTTTTACCCCCCAAAATTCTTTTCATTTCTCATGTTTTGTCTTTTTTTCCCTTCTCTCGCGCTTGCGTTTTTCCAGCATTTGCATCCGCGCTTGTGGCAAAGGTACTCCTCTTCCAGAGGATAAATACCTTGACGCAGCGCAAACGACGTTTTGAGCTAGCTCTCTCTCTCTTCTTCACCATCATAACCAAAATTTGATGGCGATGAAGAATGGAGTTCCCTGTACATTTGGGCGAAGTTGGAACGGAATCAAGGGGGAGGGGAGCACTGGGAGGAAAGGGGGATCAGCATGAACAAAAGTTTTGGCGTCCCATTGCTTTTACCGAGAGAATTTGTCTTTCTTGGGAGGAAAGGAAAGGGGGGGAAGGGGAAATGGAAAGGGGAAAGGGGGGAGGCCTAAGGGATTGGGTGATGATGCTGTACCATACCAAGACCGACACACACACAGACACACAACCACTACACCGAAGATCCGTAACCGGTTCTTTTAATGAGAAACATACGACAATTACTAATGGGTTTCCGTGGGCCTTTTGCGGTGATACCTTTTGCTTCGTGAGATTTGGGGTGCCTTTTGATGTGTGCTTGTGGGTTCGACTCTGTTTAATGCATGTGCTCGATGTCCTGTGTCTGATCCTACAGTTGATTTCAAGTCGGAGAGTGACTATCGGACTTTGACATGGATCCTAGGCCTATCGTCGTCAAGTCAAGGTCTTACCCAACGGCCAGGAAACCAAACGGAGTCATGCTTGTTTTCCGCCTGACCTGTCTTTCATATCGTTGATCGTGGCCTTTTTACCCATTGAATGAAACACGATGTGAGATTGACTCCCTAACCCCGCTCTTCCTTCTTTCACGAGACGGTTTTTGGACTAGTTTACCATCATGGGACTTCTTGTTGACGCCGAGGTCCGCCGGGAGGAATCGTGCGATATGATGTACGGCCTGTGATGGTTCCATGGGCGAGTCTTTTCAAGTGTCCCGAACTTGGGAATTGATATCTTTGCAATCGTGATTCTCAAAGTACCTGAGCAAGCAGGGATCAAGGTCACAATTACCGGCATAGAGCAATGATGATACCTAGCAAACGGTCCATGTTCGCATCATGTCAAGCTTGGGATCTTGTTCTTAAGAAGGGTTGAAAGGTTTTCTTCGTTCATGTATGGTTTACCGTCAAACATCCATCATCCTCAAGACGGGGGCTTTGTAGAGTTTCTATAGGGGCATTTAGATAGAGGAACTGATAAATAGAGAGTTGTGAAAGGCTCTTGACTGGTTAACTTGGACTTCACTCGAGTTTGAAAAAGTTGAACAAGTTAAGTTCAAACTGCAGAGTCGACGGGTCGAGGACACAGATAATGAGGATATGAACGCATGTATATATTCCTTGTAAAAATCTTCCATCAAGTCCATCAAGTCCATCATAGTCCAGTGTAACGGCTCACACATCTGGGATCTCATCGCATGCAAGAAATCTACTTCGCCGAAAAGACAGATGAGTCTCTCGGGGCATGTATGCAGGCTCCTATGAGAGAGCATCAGTGTTTAACCTCCAATTGAAAGTAGAAAAAACCCGAGAATCTCACTTGAATTCCGGGGGGCCAAATCGTACGGAAAGGGCAAAGTTAGCAATGCTATCCTCTTCTCAGCAGCAGCAGCAGCAGCAGCTGCTGCAGCTCGTGGGTCTACAATCCCAAGTCTACGTAAACCAGGCTCTGTGAGCGTTGGGTTTCTGCTCTTCTTGAACAAGACTCCATCATGATGATGTTCACGACCAGCTTTATCCCCAACTCCTCTCTATAAGCATTGTCAGATCTCACATGTGGCCGTGACCGACGTCGGAACGCGCAAGTAGATAACTTGAGAAAGTATGGGGGGGGGGGTTTAGGGAAGAAGGGGGATTGATATTGCCTCGAGTCCCTCTATCAGAAGGGTTCGTAATCGAGTGCGCAGAAGTATCCCACCGGCGCTCGAAAATGGCGGCTTCAGTAGACAACACACTAATAAAGAGAAACCCCACCTTCCTCCTTACTCGCCTTCATTTCCATCCATGCTGGGCTGAGATGTGGAAACCGACATGGTCGCTATCTCGTTCGAGAGTGCAGAGAGATCAACTCCGTTCAACTAAGATAAGTGGACTTAGACCTCATCAATCGCATCTCTGGAACTTTAGGTTCGACTGTGCTCACTGTAGATATGACGATGAGGTAGCCACGATGTGCTCCCACGGTTTCCGTACCACGGCGCGTGTCATTCGCGCACAGCGAAGGCTGGTCAGTAGAGGAGTGAGTGCAAGAGGAGAGAATGGAACATCGAGAGCGACCATGTCAGGGTCCGTCGTCGAGATCCATATCGGTGCGCATCGTTGGTTCACCCAAGACAACTTCCTCTTCCATACGAAGTGCTTTCTTTTGGCTTCTCTCACCCATTCAATGCTCGGAGATCGCATCGCGGTTCCATAGGCGGAATCGCGCCCCACGTAGGACAATGAACTACAAAGGTCCCAAGAGAAGAAAGAAGAAAAGGGGGAAGACGACGCAAAGAAGCCATCCTGGCTTGCAAAAGGCGGTCGATAGTCGAGAGGGCTCTAGACCACGTTGTGGTGCCATTGGACTGGACCTACTTGCTCAGCTTGTTCGTGTTTCTCCTTGCCACCAAACATCTCGATGTGCTGTCGAGGCTTCGATGGGACTGAACTAGCCAAGTCGCTTAGTTGGGAAAAAAAGTTTCCTCTTTACAAAAGGACCTCGGGGGAAACAACGTCGTATACACAAACGAACCCTGTGCGACTCCAGAGAGACCAAGGCAAACCATTATTCGAGTCTTGGGGCTCCATTCATAAATGGCACCCGGAATTACCTCCCGACTTTCACGAGGAGTCTGGAGCGCGCGGGTTGCACGTCTGGTTGTTTGCCTTGGTGATCGGACCACATGTTGCGCAGGGTCGACTGACAAAGGGACCAATGTGGAAATTTCCAAAAGTTCGTGTGTCCTTTTGTCTGAAACCCTCGAGTTCAAAACCTCGTTGCCAAGGCCCTGGGAAGCGCTGACGGTAGGCCGTCGGTATGCGAATTTCGTCTCCACAATCATCGTACAGAGCTGAGAGAAAGTCTCCTTTTCGCAAGAATGATGTACGTAATAATGCCCTTACTCCCAAGAGCTGCCAACCAAGCAAAGCCAGCAGCACGCGTAGGCGACAAGTCGGAAGCTGCCATCGACGCACGCACGCACTCACATGATGAGCGGATCTCGTGTGTATTTCTATCCTGTCCATCAAGGTACGGCAGCGACTATAATTGCTGTATTCAGAGTGGTGTACGGAGGCTTGCAGCTCAAAGTCTTGGCTTGCGGGCTTGGCCGGCCAACTGGGGTAAAGGCTGGGGATTTTTGTTTCTTCCAAGTTCCCCCTCGCAACCCATAACGTCAGTCAGACTGGGTGAGTGGTAGCGATTTGCTGCCGCAGCTGTCAGTTTTTCCGGATACAGTTCGCCGACTTGATGAAGGAGAAGAGCCCACTGGGACAAACGGGGCTCCTTTCCTAGCCGGTGAGGCTGTGTTCGCTGATGCTCGTCTTCCTGTTGGTTTTTGCCGGCGGGCTCGGCTCGGGTGTTGCGAGCCCTGCGGTTGCAGTTGTCTTTGCTCTTGCACCCACTGTTCTTTTCTACCCCCTCCCTGTTTGCTTGCGAGTTGCGACCTTCTCAATTGAGATGGCGGTCACGTCAACTTTGTGTGGTTGGCCGGTACCTGGACCTCGACTAGAAATGGCCCAGGAGATGCCGTCTTTGCCGTGAACCCCCAGCTTCCTCGGGCGTCGAGAATCTACCGTTGGGTTGTATTATTCTCCGGCGCGCGTGTTCTAGGTCGCAGAGCGGTATGCTGTCATCACTGCTTTGAAAGTAGTGCTTTGCACGTATCCGTACGGACAATGCCTCCATCCTTGTAGTGGTAGCACAGGGAACCCAAAGTGTGAGTGGGCTGGGATTCTGTGAGCAGGTGGCCAGACCTCACCGCGCTTGTTTTTGCGAGGGGTTGCAACAGTCCGTTATTAGCTAGCATGCAAACAGTTTTGCTGACCGCTGATCATAGAGCCAGGATGAAGATGTTCAAGTGGTAGATAGGGAACTGCCGGCGATAATCAAAGATCAGCACCTTGGAGAGCGGCTAGACAGTGGGGATTATTTGGGGATTTCCGTCGTCAACTCTTGTTTAGGAAAGAATACGTCTTTCGAGGTTGGGTTTTGTTGGTGTTGGTAACTGGCGAGTGCTTCTAGAAGATTGCCTCTTCCGAGGTAGAGCGGCATGGAGCAAATTGGCCTCAGAATCAACGTCCTGTCTCCTCGATGATGACGAAACATTTGCTTCACGTCGACAAACGAGGCCGGCCTAGCAAAACAGGGCAGGGCGAGCGTTCAGCGGCAGCCAGCTGCAAGACGGGGCGTGAGCTGTGGTGCGGGAATGGTGTCCACTCAAGCTTTCCAAGAAAATTCCAAGAGATTGGGCGAAGCCGCTAGAAGCAGAAACGGGCGGCCGGGTTCGGGGGGCGTGTGTGCGTGGTGGTATTGGCCTGGCCTGCAACAGACTAATACATCCATACCAGTCCTCCATCAGTGATACGTGACATTTGCTGGACAGGCCTCGAAAGCACCATGTTCGTCCGTGGAGGGGGGAAAAAAACGAACACTGGCATAGAAGGGAGGGCGCGCGACGTTCGAGTCGCGACTGGCGCCCCCATGGTCAAAACCTGACTTCGTGGCGTGCCGGAGGGCATCCGAAGGGCGTTTTCTGGGGAACGAGGGGATCTGGAGGGGGGGTCCCTATCCTGGCAGGCATGGCGTGATGGATGGGGTAAACTGGCATTGTCAACGGCTGGCTCAACGATTGCCCTGAGTCTGACGGGCCGGATGTCGCGGAGAGTGCTCCGTTCTGTAACTTGTGGTGAGGCAGAGCGTATTGCGCATAATGGTCGCAATATGGGAAAACGGCGCCATTGAGGCACCAGGGCCGAAGCGAAAACTCTGCTCCAAAGGCAGCAGCACAGTATACGAGGCGCCTGTGCAAAAGTTCGATGTCTTCTACCCAAACTTGCACGGCTGATGCTTGGCTTTGAAATGTTCTGTAGGCTGGCAGCTGGCTGACCAACGACAGGCGATGAACCAGGGGCTGTACTCAAGTTAGTGTTAGCAAAAGGGAACGGCTGAGTGGGATCCGCTCGCAAAAGATCCTTTGGACTTTTGCCAATAATCTTCATCCAAACGGACACTCCGCCCTGCGCACTCGCAGACTGCAGTAGGACAAGCGCTCAAGCGAGGAGAGGCGAGTGTGTGCGCGAGGGTGGCAGGTGGTTCGGGCCAGCCGCCGCTCTTGGCATTTGCCGTTCCTCGTTTCGTTTATGCACCACTCTCCCCGTCAAAAGCCCAGGCCAGCAAACAGCAGTGGTGTGTGAGTGTCCCGTCGCCGTCAATGTTTCGGGTGGGCGTACGCGGATATAGGTAGTGTACGGTAAGGTAGGTACTTTGTTGTATGTTTAAGGACACACCAGTGTCTCAGCGGACGAGACTCAAGCCGCGGACACAGACAGTCGTCTTTCGGCCGATTCGAGAGTCCAAGCCACTTGAGGACGGGATCGCCATGCGCATCGAGCTTGGCCGCGCTCCCGTTCTGCTGCTAGGCAGTGCTAACCCTCCATTGACGTCCATCAATGACTTGCAGTGCAGAGCCAAGGAATCCCGAGCCAGCAAAAACGGTGGCGGCGGCGGGCGGCGGCCGCGGCGGAAAGAAAGGGAAAATTGATGGTAGGGGAGGCCATGACAGGCAATTCGAACGTTGGGGGGGGATAGCATGGCGACATGGATTATGGAGAAATGCTTGATTGCGCGGCCGGAGGACAGAGAGAATGGTAGAGACTGGGGGATGGTCAGTGGACGACGAGGGTAGAATCGGGCACAGTGGCGGATATCTGACCTGTTTCGTCCTGGTCTTGGCCTTTGGTGTTGGTCTGGGTCTCGAGAGAAAATGTGTGTGTGTGTGTGGGTGGGCGGTGTTGGGTACATGGAAAGTAGCGGTGGTTATACTGCGTGGTATGGCATGTTTTAGCACGGGCATGTTGGCGGCCATGCCGTTCATCCCATCTGATTGTATGTATCCGTACGAAGTATCCTATTGGAGTCATAACTCCTTCGCAGTTGTTCAGACGATTCTTTTGGGAATGACATCCGTAGCTTCATCATCGTCTTGCCAGACAGTCCTCGGTTTGCAGTCAAAGCCTCTGTCCAGTCATGCGAGAGCTAGCTGCGAATATACACAATAGAACAAATGCTGAGACTGACGGTGAGAAACGTTTGGTTTGCTGCCGTACGGAGTACAGAGTCCTGTGTAACGTTCTGATATCTGACACCCCCGTTGTAGATCCACTTGACATTTACCTTAGAATTTACCTTAAACCAAGGTGGACTCGGTTTACGAAGCTCAGTGCTCCACAACCAGTCAGCAAGTAGCAGTTGCTGACAAAGTTCCGTTCTGTCTATATCCGAAGGCTGCCAGAGATTGAATGACGCGGACATGGCATGCAAAGGGCCTCCTCACATAGTCTACCTTCCTCTGTTGGAAGACTAGAGAGACGTTGTTGCCGGAGTTGAAGCCGAGTTGCGACGGTCTGACCTGGCCTTACCTTGATGAGCACAGGTGCAATATGGCGGATACTACCTGCCTGCCCAATGGTTGTGAGAAAGTTGAGCAAGAAAAAAGGTCAAGGAGCAAGTCTCGGTGTTAGTGTTGATATTAGCCTAGTATGAGTGTTGGGTGTGTCAAGGTCGGGTCGCGTCCGACTCAAGCGGTGGGAACTGAGTGCTTGAGAATGGAAGTTGACGGGAGACTGAGAATGGAAGCAGGTACGGAAGGATGGTCCACGCCGGCCTAGGCCCCCGCCTTTCTGTGCCGTAATGCCGTAATTGGTGCCATTGGGAGAAGCATCCATTCAGCTGACCTTCCGTGGTGGCTTCCATTTGGTACTTTGTCGGCAACTTGTGGAGGGCAGGTACGTCCAAGGGTGAAACGGAGGATGGGATTCGCCAGGTAGGCACCTACCTACCTTATGCTCAAACCTTTGCATACCTTACCTTCCTTCCATGCCCGCCTTCATAAGGTACCTCGATACTTTGCCGAGTAGACAGGTTGATCCTCGGCAGAATTCAAGCATTTCGTAAGGTACCCGTGCATTCTCACGCTGCAACTCTTCTCTCTAAGGCACCTTACCTTACCTTACCTTACCTTGGTATTCGTACATGGTAAGGTACGGAGTACACTGGTACTTTGGGTCACCAACTTGGTCCTTGCTTGCCTGCCCGGCATCAATCTAGAACTTTGGAGACGAGGCGCCATTCCTTGCATCAGATAGATACATTGCGTTTGAAGCTTTGCGTCTTCACCGGCCACATGTTCTTTTCTTTTGCCTCTCTTCTCTCACCTGCTTTACTTCGCAGCGGGCAGGCACTGTCAAGCAGTATTGCAAGCGCCCGCTGTGCTATGGCGGCCAATCTCCAAGGTTGCAATGCAAATGACAATGCCAGAGGACGTTGACCTACGGGATACCCAGCCTCTGTCTGTCTCGTCTCCAAATACAAAGATACCCTGCTGTCCTGCTGGGTCTAGGCACAACGGGAGGTAGCATTGCCATTACCGTCCAGCAAATGATCAAAAGATGAAAAAAAATGCTGGGTGGTCTACTAGCAGTCTAGCACAGGACCACTACAGGTAGACTTGGTCGAGGGGGGGGTGAAAAAGTACCTCGAGTCCGCACCACCCCGGTCGCCGCATGTCTTTCACCTCCCAAAACGGGTTAGACCTGTCTACAAAAGGCCTCGGTCCACTCGGCGCTGTTCTTGCTTTCCACATCCACCACTGACCGGGACCACCACATTTGCATGGAAGGTCCAGTTGAGTTGTGGTCCTTTTCTATTTTCCTACCACCGTACAGTACTCCGTAGGTTAGGCTGCCGCTGGGTGTTCGTCTTGACGATCATCGGCACCGAACTCGCCCTAATTCGAGCCTGCCATTTGCTTCAAGGCCGGTTCCTTGTCCCTATTCTGGATTCACACGACCACCCTGCCGCTTTCATCCCCCTCGTTCGTCTGCCCGCCACGCCTGCCTCAACTTCTCAAGCCGACGACGGCCTGCGTTTCCGTTTGCTAGCCGCCGCTGCTGCTGCTGCTCACCCTCTCTGAATGGAACACCACACTTTGCAATAGTACGGTAGAAGCGCCAAACTGCAAATCATCAATCTAGCAATCCGACAAAGAGTCTGCCCATTTGTCAAAATCGCGCCGAGGCATCAAGGGTACGCGTACCAAGTACGGATATCGCTGCATCCATCGCATTGAGTCCTGGACTCCTGGTACTCGACCGACCGTGACGGATACGTACCTTCGGATCATTAATTGAATCGTGCCTTGGCTGATCGATAGGTGCTCCGTACTGAATACTACGGATACGTCCACACCTACCGCCCGGCCAGAATCCGAGCCTCCATCTCTCTCCTCTTCTCTCTCCAATTCTCCATTATCGAATCATCCAATACCTAACCTACCTGCAAAAATCCCGACAGGGACCGATTGTAGCGCGCACTTCGACCTTTTGAAGTTCGAAAAGAAAGCGGGAAAAAGACATACCCGTTTTACTCTTCGCAACCTGAACTTCATCTCGAGGAGCCAACGGTGAACCCCGTACCAATACTACGTACCGACTACCGACCGCATACCCTCCGTTAACCGTTCTACTTCGTACGGTTCTCTTGAACTTGGGGTCCTGTTCTGTTCGACACACGCCTCCACACCCATCAGCCAGGTTTCATCCGTCCATCCATCCTTCTCTGATCACCACAAGTCGCGCGGTGGCCCCCCAGGAACACACCAATTACCGTACATGGTCTTCATTCACCTCTGATTTCTGTTACCCTATTCTTTCGCCATATCACGCCGTCCTTGTCAGCTACGCAACCACGTTCCCACCCGCCGCTCTTCAACGAGCCCTGTCCTGGCCTGACCCGACGTCCGATGCGCATGAGATCCGCCCCCAGAGCCAAGTCCCCCTTGCGGCCCTGGTCCTTCAACACAGACGTACTGCCCTTGCTGCGCGGTCCCGGACATCGTCTCCAACCTCTCGCGCCTATTCGGCCCTGCACGGGAATCGGTTCCCTCATATCCGGGTTGCACTGCTTTCATCATCGGGCTTCCTATTCAGTCCAACCTTGTTAAGCGGCTCTTCTTTGCGCTGGCACCACCCGATGACTCGACGCCTCCCGTTTCGCTTCACTCCTCCCGCCAGCCCGTTGCAACCTTGACCTTCCATCCCATCTCGTCTCCTTCCTCCACCTCCTTCCATCTGTGCTTCCTGTGCTTGCTTGTCGTGCTTGTCTCGCACCTCGCTCGCTCCAGGATCCGGATTCTAGTCCTACGCCCGGTCATTGGAACCAGGCCTATTACTTGGACCCGTCGCTCATTGCCACCGCTTTCTCGCGTCTCGGCACATCACTCCATCCTTCATCCACCTTCTCACCACGACACACACATACACACACACCACCGAGGTCTCCAGTCCTTCTCCATACCTACGCATTCGTACCTGACTGGACCTAATCCACTCCCCGATCTCATCTCATCTACCGGTCTCGTCCCAGGACCCCTTTGCATTTGTTTTACGTTACTCTGCCCCGTGCGGCCCTAAGAAAGAGCCGCCGACAAAAGGCCCTCACCATGAAGTTTTGCGGGTCAGCATAACCCCCGGGCCAAGCACATCTCGTGAATCCCTCGCTCCAGGGAATCCGTCCGAGACAGACGCACGGGAACGGGCCTCTGCCTCCGCTGCCACCCGCCGCATGGTGGTCCTGGCCTGACACGACTCGTCTCCTGTCATATAAAACCTCATCTGCCCCATGGATCCCCGCAGCGAGGATGGCGGAAATGGACCATCTAATACCGCTGCGCAGCCGCCGCCTCTCCGGCGGCGACTATCGATGGAGGAGGACTATTTCTACCAGGAAGTCATGACTTCCCCTTTCCGACGACCATCACAGCCGCCACCATATGAGCGGGATGCTAGACCAAGACGACCGGTGGCACCCAAGATCAACTCCCAACATGGAGTCGGGGAGGACTTGCCAGGCTATTCGTGCGACATCGAGTTGGAGGGCGTATGGGTGAAGAAGATGGAAATTGAAAACACCACCAAACGGGCAGAGGACAGAAATTGGCACACCACTATCGTACAACTACGAGGCACTGCATTGAATTTTTACAACGTGAAGAAGGATTGGGGATGGGGCAGGACAAGAGACGGACCGACCATCTCGCCCGACAACCCGCCGTGGGTGAGAAAGGCCTCTCTCGACAGGGCGTACAGTCTTCAGCACGCCGATATTGGTATTGCTGCCGATTACAAGAAGTAGGTTGCCTCGATTCTCAGCCTCATTCTATGCCAAGACCTGCCAAGAAACTGACTCCCACCTAGGAGGCGATATGTCATTCGCGTCAGGGCCGAGGAGGATCAGTTCCTTCTATCATGTATAGAATTAAGCACCATGGTCAGGTGGTTGGAGGCTCTCTTCGCCGCCATCGATGTTGCCGCTCCGATCGACGACCGTGACTATCCCCGCGACCAAAGCATTCCCCGCATTCAACGCATCCGCTGGTTCCGTGGCCAGACACCAGCACCGACGAACAACTACCCCGTACCGACGCCAAGACCACTGAGTCCTGATCTCCGCCGCGTGGCTTCTGCCGAGGCGCCAGACCCCTTCCCAGCATCATCGACAATAGAGGGTCTCGTTCACCAGGCCGTCGTCAATGAGCGCGGCGGCGAGACCAACGTGTTAGACAGCGAGTCTATATACGGCCCGGGACCCGCGAGGAACGAGCCGATCAGCAGCCGCTTGTCGACGACATCGTACCCCAACGAGGCCATCGACCCTGACACCGGAAAATGGGCGCCTGAGCACCAATGGAGTGCGGCTCACGATCTGCTTTACGCCAAGCTTTGCTACTCTGTTCTCTTGTTCAAGAGCCCCCGAAAATCAAACTACATCATCAGCAAGGGGAGGCGATGGTTTGTGGACTGGGCAACAGGTCGCATGGTGCGCGTACTGCCGCCAGCCTACGGCGAGATCGACTTCTTCGGCCCTTGGCAAGTCATCCACACAGAAAACAGGAGGATTTAAGATGGATCGTTGTTTTCTCCCCCACTTCTACTGCACATATACATACCCCGTGCTCTCGTCAACGACGAGGGCCTTTCTTTCGCATTGACACGAGGAAGAATCGCAAAGATTCGAATGATACGGATTTTTACCATACATACCCCAGAGGCTGGGGGGCGGTCAGTCAGTCGGTACGGCGGCCAAAACAAAAATCGGGCGGGACGGCGCGGCATATGCATTCGGTTGGCTCTTTCTCTTCCTACTTCATCTCGATTTCTCTCAACTTATCCTCAGTCTCCTTTGTCTTTCATGGCGGGCGAGAGAGCGAGAGCATAGCTTTGCGCCAAGCATATCATCATTGGGCGGAGTTGTCAAGGGCAGCGGCAATGTCCGCGGCCCTACTTTCATTCTTGTCCTTTTGCTTTTTTGTAGCATGGAGTATTCAGAGCTGGCATTGCGAAAGCCTTGGCAGCGAGCATATTCGTTGGCAATGGGGATTTCTAAAGAAAACTTTCATTCGTCATGACCCCGAGGCATAGCCTGGTCGACTTGAATATATTGAACGTTAACAGCATGTCTTCAACCGAATGTACAGCTAAGGCCATTTTTGGCAAGTCAGTGGCCCATGATGAATAAAATGAATGTGACCGGAACTAAGTTGTTTGCAACCTGTTGACTTTGTCTTAATACTCCAATGTCACGATAAGGAGAGTCAAGCTTGATAGGAATCAACAAAGCCAATCAATGGCCTACATAAATCAAAATGGTATCTCATGCATTGGGAAGAGCAGTCATGTCTACAACCATACTCCCACATTCTTCCACAACCACGCGTCACCTTGAATCCGTCCATTGCTTCGTTACGTACGATTCTCGTGACCTGTCCCCTTTCTCGCCTCCCCTCTTTCTCTCTCTTGCTCTTCACATACCCGCCATCTCCACCTCGGAAGCCCGCGCCTCGGCGGCCAGCTCGGACGCAACGTCCACAAGCAGGGCGTTGGCGCCGTCGATATCGGTGACCTGACTCTCGAGCTGGGCGAGGAGGGCGTCGATTTCCGCGCGCTGGGATTGGATAGAGATGAAGAGGGACTCGTTGGAGGCCTGAGTGTTTTGCAGGCGGGCGTTGAGGGTGGATTGTTGCGGGGCGAGGCGCGGGGCGAGGTGAGCTGTTAGGATTTCGTCGGGGGGTAGGACGTGTGGTCTGTTGGTTTTTTGTTGTTAGTTTCTTATGTATCTCTAGTGTATAGGGGTATCGAGACCGAGGGTAGAGGTGACGTACGGGGTGGGCTCTTCGACGTCGCCGCCTTCTTGTCTCCTGCGTTCCGCGTCGCTGACGAGGTTTTCTAGCTCGTTGAGTTTGCGGATGACGTCGCGGTCGGCGAGGATCGATTGGAAGTCCTTCTACATTAGGAGGGGTCAAGTACTATTAGCATGTGGTTCTGCTCCCTCTGTCCTCCGTGGGGAAGGGGGGGGGGGGGGGGGGGGGGAAAGACAAGACCGCCCAAAACGTACGTTACACCTCTCCTCTAGGTAATCCACCATTTGCTTCTGGACGTTGCGCAGAGTATTCGGGGCGTGGGCGGCGACGGTGGGGAAGCACGAGGCAAAGTTGTCGTAGTTTACTTTGCGGAGTGTGCTGGCGAGGGCGCCGTCGTAGAGCTGGATGAAGCGTCCCGCGCGGGGGCCGGGTGTCGCGGGGGTATGTTTTTGGGGGAGGGGAGGGGAGGCGGGCGGTTGTGACTCTTCTGTTATTTCTTGTGGTCGTTGTTGTTGTGATAATTGTGTTGTCGCGGGGTTTGCTTCTGGTGCTGCCGCTGCCGTTGTTGATGTTGCTGATGCGCCACCGGCGGGGTGCGCTTCGTTCTCGGGGTGGGTTTGGACTGCGTGGTCTTGCGATTGAATCTGTGATGATGATTCCTTAATCGATTGCGAGGGTTGTGACTGGTCTTGATCGGATGCGGACATTTTGGAAAGAACAGGCGGATTGGTGTGTGGGTGGTGGGTTTGTTGCTTGATTGAGTTCGCGATGCGATGCGATGCGATTGCGGCGGTGGTGGTTAAGTGAATATTACCGGCTGGGATGTCTCTGGAGACGAGACGTGACGCGTCTGAGGTTCAAGGTACTTTGGTGGGGGGTGGGCACAGTCAGACTGGCGCGAAGTTGACGGAAGGTTCACGTGCTTAGGCTTGGGCCATTTTATGTTTTTATTCCCCTTGGCGGTGGGATGAACGCCACCAAGACAAACAAATGCGAGCGATCCCGGCCGGCCGGTTGGTTTGGTTCCTGGTAAGCCTTGGCATGGGGGGGGGGGGGGGGTTTTGGCGCCGCGCCGTTTTGTGTTCTTGTCCGTTTGGGGAAAGTCAATTCAACCTCTGGGCTTCTTCCTATCTTGATGTTTTGAACGACAGCTGTCAGTGAATCATCTCAGGAACGCAAAGCTGCTTTTTCGTTCCGTCATTTTGTCTCTGATTCCCTCATTTGAAACATGCAAGCCGTTCCGAGACGATATTTTTCCAGCACCAATGATCCTAGTCCACGTTGCCTCTACGGAGTTGGGCGTGAGAGTGAATCTTGAATAGTAAACTCCACTTACTATGAGTGAGGCAGTGCTGGAAAGATGAGCCTCTAACATACAGACTCCAACTTGACTCACCTCATCAAGCCATGCAACCAAGAGTCAGAGGGGACATCTTCATCGACGACCCTCCATGCTACTCAACTCACTACTCCTAGCACTGTGACGGAAAGCGACGATCGCAGACCTGGAATGCAATGCTTAATTTAGCAGCACGCCTTTCTACGAAACGGTAGCATGGAAGTCCGCATGGCGAGCGAGCAACTACAACCGAGAACCGCACGCCAAAGATGAAAGCTGCTTCGCTTCTTTCGGGTCCCTCGGGGCATGACTTCCACTTGTTTGGTTTCCCAAAGTCGGTCTAGATCGTCCTGGTGACCCGCTCTGAGGAGTTACCATTCTGTAACTTGCGCGAAGTTTGAACAAGCTTCATACAGTACCACCATAGCCTCCATCAATCGATAGAACCCTGCGATCCTGGCTAGTTTGGAATGTGAAGCCTACGTCAAAAACATGTAGATGTTTCCTGATTCGAGCAGATAAAATTAGGCAGACACTTCCGGTGGGATTCCGTATCCAAGAGAATAGAGAACAGCGTGATGATCAGCCTTCATCATTTGCAAGGCACGGCGGTAAAGCCCCTTTTGGTGTTCTTTGAACAGTTGTGTTGTTCACGGGGTTTATTTTTAGATGCGGTAAGTATTGTAGTTGGTCAACTCAAACTATGCTTCTAGGTACGGTAAAACATTATGCTTCTCTTTATCTAAATATCATATAAGACCCCAAACGAAGTCTATCTTCAGATTTAGATACCCCCTTACATCTCTCACAGCCTCAGAACATAGAGACCACCAATACCTACATACAGCTCTATCTCATCGACATCACAGACCTCTCAGACAACGCAACCAGCTTCGTATCAATCTCACCAGCCCAACATGCGCTTCTCCCTCACCGCACTCCTCGCCATGGCAACAGTGGCCCTGGTAACACCGCCCTCAACCTCTTTCACCACCTGAACTTGCTTCTAGCAGAATAAGTAAGCTAACAATATTCGTACTGCCATAGGCCACCGCTACGCCCCCGGCCAGTACGACCACGGGCGCCGTCAACGCCGCTGCCGCGAAAGGCAAGTCAGTCTCGGCTACAGTCTCGCGCTCGACTTCGGCTACTCACAGCACCAAGAACGCCGGCCCAAGGGAGACTGCGGCTATTGCCCTTGGCGTCATGGTTGGCGGGATGGGCCTTGCTGTCAACCTTTGAGGGAAAACGCTGTCAAGAGTTCGGCTTCGTTTTACCTTTGAGATTTCGAAGTGTCTCCGGGTCAAGTGTAGAGGAATTCTCTTTTCTTTCTTGGGCAAGTCAAGGTAATACTCGAAGGAGAGAAGGATGTGGACATTTGGGAAATTATCTCGATGTCTGATGGATATGAATGCTCCTGGCGCGTAAATTCAGATCTAGGAGTTAACCAATCAACCATATCATTGTCGTGCTACTAAGATACATTATTGTAAAGATATATGCCTGCCCGCAAGAAATCTAAGTGTTTGATGCGGCTGCGAACCTTTGGTAGATGAGAAAGGGGGAGGTCATTCAGAGCCAGAACTTATCTCTATTCTCTAAACTCAAGGGAGCTGAAAGCGTGATCTTACATAGTTACATCATCATGCAGCTTCCTATCCGGCCATCTCCAATGTTGCCTCCAGGTCATCGCCCAAGCTCAAGCAAACCGATTCAACTCACCCTGGTCAGTACTGATGCCAGGTTTTGAGCCGATGGACCGCCAATTCACTCGCAAGCAATCCCCCGAACCTTCCAAGGTGTCTTTGGTTATCGGGAGTTAGCACAGCGTGGAATGGGTGAGCTATTAGTCCACCGTCCTCCACCGTCCCAAGCCCACCCAGCTACCGACATCAAAACTCCACAAAAGACAACAAAACGTCAAAAACATACAACACCAGGTATTCGCTGGTCGTCACCGACCCAACTACTAATCCGGCCCTCATTGGCTTATCTATGGGAGAGCGGACGGGATCCCGAGTTTTCCAATGGGTATGGTCGTATGTGCTGATGAATAGCGGGGATTGGGCTGGTAAAGGCTGAATGTTTGACATCTGAGGGGAAGACTCGGGCTTGAAGCGCACGCGACAACTATGCAAGACAAATAAGAGACGCTATATGATATAAGCCTGGCCACCAATACCTAGTCTTGTTGATTCTGGGGCCGAAGGGTAAGGCCGAATGGAGTGAGCTCACAGTAGAATAACCACCGGCGGCTTGGCCCAAACCCCAACACGGAGCATCTCATAGGTCCAAAGATTTACGCGTGATTCTATAGTTTGGATATGAGCTTGATACTAAAGTGACTTTGTATCAAGTTGCCTTTCTTGTATTGCCCGCTGGGCTTTCTGAAAGGCCATTCGCCCGCTCCGTCTAGCGCGGCTTGGTGATCCAGGGGCGAAGAACCAGATGTCTGGCCTCCTTGGCGGCTTGGGAAACCGTCGGGCCAAGATTTACTTTCATGTGTTAGCAAGAAGATACAATCAAATACTGGCAAAGCACTTATTCCACCGCCTTTTTACCTTCTCCAAAATTCCGCGCACGCTAACATTAACAAGGTACACCGTCTCCTTCTATTCTCAAATGTTATACACATATCGCATATTCATTTTACCACCTTATTGTACTCCTTTGCTTCCAAGAGTGGTGAGATGCGGTAAAACGAGCTAGCTGTACCCCAAAGAGTAATAGCACTGGCAGTATGTATGGCTCGGGCTATTCGAGGCGACACGCGGTCCTCAATGAGTAGAAACATATCTTTAGGGAGTTGATCTCAGAGGCGCACCCTCTACTAGATAACGAAGAGGAGGTTCTATAATGCTGCGACTAGGCAAAGCTTAAAACAAAAAGAGTTCACCACCGGTGTGGCTACATCTCTTGGCGGTTATTATGGTGCTCATGCTGGGATCGTATGCGAACTCGAACTCGGAGCCTGTCGATTAGGTTGAAGGGGTGATTAATTGTTGACCTTTAACCACTCCACCACCCAGCCAGTTTGTCCTGACCAACCGACCTAGGAAGGCGCCTGCTGTGCTGGTGACAGGAATGGACTTGAGGGGGTATGTAAAGGCTTGTTGTGTGTATTCGGGTGGGGCGGGGAAAGGGTGTCGGATGAAAACTCGTTTCCCATGGCGAATAGTTCTCATACAAGGGATATCGTGTACCGATACATTTTGATTTCAGGACTTGTGAAAATACGGAGTGAGCCGCGATGGCGTGTGACCCTCCTGAATATGTGGGCGGGTATAACCGTGAGAGGGCTTTCCTCAAACTACTTATGATAATTGCAGATGTAGGTATGTATCCCTTGGCGAATTTCTCGAAGGAGCGCCATCCTGCACATACTTCCCAAAAACTGTTAACCTGTTTAGTGGGGGATTTATTTCACAGATAGTGTAGTATGAATCTATTTCACCACTTGCGTAGTCGAGCAAGATATATGCGCCTACCTTGGTATGTGAACGTCAAGATGTGGCCACATGAAGGAGGGAACATAACGGATGACTATGGCCAAGGCATATGGAAAGGCTGCCATTTGAGAAAAAACATACCACTAAATGGGCCAAGCCACTGAATGTTGCCTGGAGCTATTTCTGTCGTCCTCTCCAGGCTTATGATCGGTGTCTTCCTCGGAACGAAAATCTTGACAAAGCATTCTTAGCAGCATTTAACAGCTCTACCCGGGCATTAGAAGTAACTACAGGCAAACTCATAAAGGACCGGATTGTAGGCATTATCCGGATCGCACCGAATGCATGCTTCCGGTTCCCAACTTCGGGCTCGGAGCCCCTCCCCCCACTCGTATGCTCATTCACTGCTTGTTTCAAAGCTAATATACCTAAAGAGCCGATGCAATCGATCATCAGACCCCTGGTGTAGCAGGAGGCGAGGCCGTTGGAGCTAACACAGTTATAAGGAACGGAGTTCCGACTAGAATCTGTGAGCTCTCCAATGATAAAGATGTTGTCTGACTGGAGATTGAGATTCCTTCGGTGCTAGATGGAGGCAACACAGACGGCAGAGAGGTGTTTGGACTGCTTATTGAGGCTTGCGCCGTGGTTGTGGGAGGAAGCAAGGCGGAAGTTGAACCTGGTGACAGAGCAGCAGGCGTGCTCTGTGGTGTGTTACTAGCAAGGCTGGGTGGGCCGCTGAGAGAGGTTGTAGACGAAGGACTGGGGAAAACATTGCTTGTTGAACTAGCCGGCAATGTTTCGTTTGGCCATATCCCGGTTGATAGGCTAGAACTCGGGGTCTGACTCGAAAATGATGAAGTAGAAAGGGGGAATATCGACGGTGGTGTGAGAGAGGATCCAACTATAAGGCTACTCATCGTGAGAGACCTTGAAGAAGTTGTGTCTGATGTGGACGCCATCGTTGGAAGTGAGCTTATTGTGGTCAAAAGATCCGAAGTTGATAGGGTTGAACTCGGCAATGTTGTTGAACTTGTTGGACTTTGACCTGTGGTGATAGTTGACTGTGTTGTTGATGTTGTAGTAGGTGTGACAGAAGTACTGGATGAAGAACTAATACTTGAAGAGCTGGAAGTAATGCTGGGTGAAGAACTAGAGGAAGCGGTAGAGGAAGTGGTGGAAGAAGCGGTGGTGGAAGAAGCGGTAGTGGAAGAGCTAGACGAAGAGCTAGACGAAGAGCTGGAAGAAGAACTGGAAGAACTAGATGAAGAGCTGAGAGTCGATGTCGTCGTAGCTGTCGCTCCAATAGTAACAGTACCCGAGACAGTCCCTGAAGCCTTGACCGTCGATGTGTACTCCTGTCCTGCGGCAACAATTGAGGTTATGGTGACATAGTCAATCTTGGCCACAGGATCACAGTTGACACAGCCGGCAGCATTGAGCATCAGGGCGGAATCCATTCAGTATCGCTAAAGTCGCAAAGGTCAAACACCATGGTCTGGGATCCGGACGCAGTGATCCCCACGAGGAGAGGAGGGGATGACCCCGGGTAGGACGTGACGCTGTTTGGCGGCGTGATTCCGATCGGTTGCGCAAGGAGGTTGGATTTGGCCGTAACGCGGTTGCCATTGACGCTGGCATACTGTTGGCCGCCTAGATAGATGCCGATAGGATCAGGAGATCCACTGGAAAGTGTCAGTAAGCTTGTAATTACACCAGTCCATACTGACTTGTAAGTTCACATATCCCTCCTCTTCTGATGCGAGGATGAACTCGATTGGACGTCATTATATCCGGGGTCGATGGCGATACCCACAGTCAGGATTGCGGCATTGAATGTATTCGCACCGCAGTATGTGTCAGAACCGGCCGCGCCGTTGTTAACGTAGTGATCGCCACCTGGAAGAGCCCCAACGGCGGACCCAGACGTCAAGATGGCGCCGTAATGCCACCAAGGCCGTCAGTGAATGTCCCAGAGCTGATGGCCGCTCCCGAAAAGGTCGGTTGTAGAACTGTTATCCCGGGCCCATTGAAGATGGCATTGGCGATGACATTAGCGTCGCTGGTGGTAGTGACGCTGAAACTTCCGCACAGGGGCGCAAATGCTGCAAAGGCAGCAAGCAGGATAGACCCCTTGGAGAATACCTCGAAAGATTGATGACGCATGGCGAGACGACAGAGATTTCTATGAAAGGTGAGATGTTCTCTCAATGAATAAGAAGAGTAGCGGTAGGAGATAAAGCCATGCCAGCCGTCCGCGTCGGCCGTTCACAACAGGGCGAAGCATCCTTATGACCAAACAAGACGTTACACGTGCCTCGAAGTGGATGAACATGACCATTTTCACCATAGACGGATACCGAGTAGACACACATCACGGCTCGCAGTACCATTGCATCTGTACGTGCAGAAGCAGAGCCGGAGCATGAAGAATGATGGAGCATACCAGCGAATTAATCAGGGTCCATTTTCCTTCATCGCCGTGTTTCGTATCGTTGACAAGGTAATGCCTGATTCTTGATCAAATGATGCTTTACACAGCCTGCCATCACCAATCATGCAAGGTTTGGAGGACGCGCAAACGAAGCTTCTATCAACGTAGGTACTTGAGCTGGGCAGACTCCATCAATCGTGCGATTTCTTCCCGTTGTTATCGTTATTATAGGTAAGACTTCTTTCTTCATCCCTTCCGAATTCAAGATGCAGTTATGGTTCAGACACGTGCGAGACGGCTTACCATCGCAGAGCAGGGAACATGAGGTTCCGTGGGGTTTTTGCATTCCTTCTGCCCTGCACAGCCTGCTTTTGGATACAGAGGTGCCGAGACTCCCGCAGAGACTTTGACTCACATGTCCAGGAATCTTGAACGCCCAGGGGTCCCACGGCGATGAGACATCCAGACGGCATCATCCGTAGTTCAATGACACCAGATGAGACACACACATTTTCGTGGAAGAATGAAAGCTCACTGATTCACCAGCTTATGTGAGTCGCTGTAGAGCCATGGATTACTTCGAATAACACAGAACACCATATTTTCCCCCCTTCACCCGGTGGCTCAATCACCATTGCAGGGATCGACTACAGGTTCTGTGAGTCTCATCACTGTTATTGGGAGCCTGGTACGAGGAACGGGACTTGGGGAGATCACATCGTGAGCTGAGTACAAGATTATAGCCTTAGCTTTATCGACGAGTCTGGGGTTGCGCCCGGGATCGTAGACATGTGCTTGACCTCGCTCAGTTCGCATAAGCGCATATAAGCTTAGGATCATACCTGAAGACCGATCAAGAGGCAGATATCGCTGTTATCCTATGTCTGACCGTACTACGATGCGATGTAGGATATCCTCACAGTAGCTGTTAGTCATGAATTTGGTGTTACTCCGTCTAAGAGACCAGATCAAGGAAGGACATCTGGTGCTCCCAAACCTTACCGCGGCAGAGCTCAATAGTTAGTACTGCCATATCTTCAGTCTCTTCTCTCGTGTTATCCCGTCGGTAGAGCGAGGGAGGGTGTTAAGAAACGCGATATATAGATAACATGCCTTGCCCATCGTCTGATATTGTGGTGGGGCTTAAGTGCCTCCTTATACTTACTCTGGTATCCTATCAAGAGTAGTCTATAGATTTAACAACAGAGTATATCCCTATGAATAGCCGTCTATCAACGACGTCGGTTCCGCCCTGGACGAAATTGACCAAGCCTTTGCTTAGACTGAACTTGGTCTCGGCATGTTAGCCCACCAACGTGAGCATGCTTGACTGCTTTATTTCCTAATCTCCAACCGAACTCTGAGTAAGGCTTATGGATTAGGTGCCGGCTAGGTAATAGATCCGGGATTATCATCGGTATGTTGACGACGTTCTTTTTCTTCCCATCACGCGAGGCAAGGTCACCCAATCCCCGAGACCGCACCCAATAGATGAAGACCACGTTCCACAAGCATAAAGTGCCGCTTAGAATTTGGAATGCTTCAAATGCTTAACCAAAATTGGGTTTTACAAGAGTGACATTGTCCGCAGGTTGAGGATGCAAGTCATCATTGGCATTGCGAGGTGACGTCAACTGCCAAAACCCTTGCAACTCGCCGTAGGGACCAGAGCATACAACTAGGAGCAGTACATCCTCTTTTAGCAATTGAAAAGCGCAGACCATACGAAAACCCGGGAGACTATTAGAATGAACAAGTCAAATCCGCCTATCAGTTCCGATGCCGACGCAGCGTTACTATGCGCCGCTGGAAAAGTCGCCTCGCTGGCTGCTGGGAACTCCCAACTATGGCATCAATTTCAGAGGATCCCACTTTTGACGATCACAATGACCTTCATTCTACTCTCTGTGTCTGCTTTCAAGCTGTTTAACACATCCTGGGCGGAGATAGGGAAGAAGAAAAAGGTCACTAGACAAGCAAGACGAATGCTCTGGGCGCTTGAACGTCTTTTAGTCATGTAAGTAACTGAAAGTATCATTGTCATATCAAGTATGGGTTGGAGTGTCCAAGTAGAATGTCACGGATCGGAAGCTCACAGCTTGGATTTCTCAGTGATCTTGTGATTTCTATACTCAAGGCTTGCTCAATTATTTGGATAACTCGACAGAAGTGTGACATTCCAAAATCATACTATAACGCCTGCGAATACCTCGAGTCTGTTGATGGATTTTGTCTCTCACTGGTACATGCAGGCGTTCTGTTGCTCGTCGGAGAACTAGGCCTCCTATTCTGGGGTCAGCCCGGAGAAAGGCAGCAAGTACGAAGCTTCTGGTTCATATTACGTCAAGCCTCTCACGCCCTTGGTTGGATGATGGCGTTGGGCGTCGTTGGAATACAAATATCGATTTCGATCATGAAGCAATACCATGTCCTGGGGCTGCCAGGAGCGGGGGACTTACAACTTGCATCGCAAGACCTTGCTTCAGAAGGCATGATCAAGATCCTGCTGTTCTTTATAGGGCTTCTATTATGTATACCATTCCAATCAGTGGTGAGACACTTCTTGTTCCCTCATCAGAGAACTGAATAGAAATGACTGACTCTTCACTTAGGGAGGATCATGGTTGTGGGGCAATTTGCTCCTAACCACCGCTACCTGGACTTGGCGACTCGCCAGGGTTTATGAAAAGAAGGGCTTGGATGAGATTACCCCTCATGTCATTGCATTAATTGTAGACATTTTCTATGCGAGACTGCCAACTGTTTTTCTCTTGGCCATGTTTACCTTCTTCTTGCGACCAGGTCGATGAACGGCCAGGTAAGCTTGAGCAGGGCAGCTTGTAATTCTTCCACCCCCGATACTCTTTCAGACTCTGGTAGAAAATTTGAAGAGTTGGAGACCTCCTTTTCCTTTACATGGCGCTGCGGAATTACAACCTTTCACCACAATAGTCTACATACAGATCCAGCAGGAATAACATCATGACTATAGATCAAATTCTCAGACGAGACGTCTCAAGTATGGGATTACTTGTCCGCTTCTGTCAGAGCTCGAAGAAGGAAACATCAAGTTGATATGTTCGCTGGCACCTTTCCCGAGATCCTGGTTTGCTTGCTCACCCTCTACGGATGGCTCCCTGAGACCTATCCACATACTCGTCATGTATGGCGTTGATAATTGGGACATGACAAGGATCTCATCCAACACCGGGCCCAGCCCTCCTTCCAGGAAGCATCGATGTCAACTGTTTCTTGTCGAAGTAAGAAGCTTCTCAAAGTCGAGGCAAGGGTGCCCTGTAGTCGCATGTCATCGCCCGCTACGACGCTGGTAGTCATTTCAATGCTCTCCAATACAGAAAATTCCTTGAAAGAGCTAGGAAGAGTCGAAGACGGTACCTCAAACTCGAAATAGTCGTTGCATGATTCCCGAAGGATAGTCAGATGGCGGAGAATATTGGGTTCTCCCTTTCTGGTACCACGCCCCTTATGACGAAAGTCAACTCCCTGAACCATCCGCCGTGCCAATAGCTCGCGCAATCTTCTCCAACATGGCCTGCGCGCCATTAGCACCTCTCGGCGTACCCTGTGGGAACTTGTACCGTCCCTCCAGCCCATCCAGCAGGATCGACGAGCTTGCCCCGCGAAGAACCGTCATAAAACGGGACCTGGCCGTTGTACTCTCTAAAAGGACTCAGCCATGCCAGAGATCGCGGGCCGATGTCCTCCCACAGCTGGCTCAGAACGCGCGCGCGACCTCGTGAAGCCCATGTACAGGCCTCCCCCGCCGCCCGACACACTCGCTGGGCCCTTGGCGTCGACGGCGGCAACCCAAGGCTCCGAGTGGAGGTTAAGGACCTTTCCGGTGACAAAGTCTGGCGCTTTGAGCAGCGAAGTGAGCGCGGGCTCGTCGACGAGGATGAGGGCTTCGCGGCGCACGTCAGACGGCCGCTCTTCGTCCTCTTTGTGGTCATTAGCTACAGCTGAGGGTCCCTCGCGGCGAACGGATTCGTGATCCATCCGTTGAAGGCGTTGCGCCTGGAGGCGTAGTCGGCACCATGTAGAACGATGCAGTCGGCTATGGGGGGCAGCTTAAGGGTGTCCGGATCCATCTCGGCGTCATCTTCGTCCGGCGTGGCGTAGGCACGCAGCTTCACCAAGGCGGCGGCCCATTGTGCTTCGTCACTATCAACAGCGTAAGGGGTGCGAACGACGACGAAGCTCGATTCGTCGCTGAGGTCTTGTAACGCACTGCGGAACTGCGTCGACAAGCCGCTGGGATCTTGTGCCTGTGGGCGCTCCGCCATTCCTGAGTCGTCTGTCGTCCGAATTTTTGAGGCCGTTGAATTTGATCGACGAGAATATTGTGTGAATGGTGGTCGTTGGACGTTGCATGATGTCGCGGGGAGCTCATGCGATGCGGGGCAGTTCGAGATGGGCGTTGCTTGGGTTGCGAGCTCGCCGACTGTGTGATTTATCTACGAGTATATTGAAATGGCGCAAAACCTGACCGTCGGCGAGATTAGCCGCTGTAATCCATGGCTGAAACTCGACTGCCCGAAACTTCACGTCGCGACGCCTTGAGGAGTGCGCTCTGCCTCGGCCCGCAGAGCGCCGACATCACCATGACGGCCCCGCTCCCTCAGCGGACCCACTACGGTGCCGGGTTCGGGCGAGGGGTACACCGCCGTTCCCGTGGACCCACCCAAGGGCACCACGCTGCACTGCAGGCGATGGTTCTTGGTCGAAGACGCCGCGCAGACGACGTGCACGTGTATGTGTTTTCAAAGCGGCATCACGTCGGCAATGTTCTAGGAGGCGAACCACTCTTTCGACGCATATATTAAAAACCGCCGATTACCTTAAGGGAGTGTAAGAATACCTACCTTATGCAACGATGCGTTCAAGCAGATACAGCCAGCCATTCCCTCGTCAAGCTTCATACATCTCCTCGGCGCACGTGGCTGTACACAAAGTCTTTCCGCTTAGGGTAAGGTACCTACCTACTCAACGTGAGAGAGAGAGAGAGACCGTCCATCTTCAATGTCGGATATACACGGCGTAAAGCATGAATAAGGCCCGCCTGAAAGTTAGGCGAAGCTGAAATGCACCAAAAGCTGCCCCCCGAGCGACTCAAGCAAAGGAGCAAGGACGGCCAGCTGTGGAAAAAAGTGGGTGTTTCAGCGCATCCTTAGCGCTTGATTCCCCCGCATTTTGGTTCCCTCTTCCGGCGTGGTCGGTGACGTCGTGGCCAGTCGCTAAAATCCCAGCTGAGAGAAAACTTGCCAGCGCACGTGGACCCTGATGGCGCGAGCGGCGACCGGGACAGAGAAAAAAAAGGGCCCTGCAAATTGGTGGTGACTTCGCGAATGCAAATGTCTCATTCCGGGTGGCGTGCATAGAGAAAAAGTCTTCCTACTTTCATCGTCAGATATTGGGAGGGACAGAACTTCTCCTCCATCTCTTTTTCCCCGAAGCCATTGTTGCTGGTGCGTGCATCTTGGATGAGCACTTGGCATTTGTTTGTAGAATTGATCCATCTCGTCGTTTAATCTTCTTTGTTATAGAAATCTCTGTTCACTTTTAAAGCTTGCATCTACTCCCCTTTCGTTAATCCTCTCTGGTCGCATTCCCCCCCCCCCCCCCCCTCCGAAATCGCATCATGGCGCCCCCTACCGCACCACTCAACCTCGACGTCGAGGCCATTTCTGGCATCTGCGGGTAAGCATGACTTTCCATCCCGTCACTAAATCGACCAATTGCATCCTTAATGCTTACTCAATGCGCATAGCTCCATCTCCATCGCCTGCTGGGTCGTCGTCTTCTCCCCCCAGATCCTCGAGAATTTCCGCCGCGGCAGCGCAGACGGTCTCTCGCTGCAGTTCATTATCGTCTGGCTCGCCGGCGATGTCTTCAACATCTTGGGCGCCGTCCTCCAGGGCGTCCTTCCTACCATGGTGAGTCACCTAGAAAGAGAGAACCCCTTGCCAACCGTCCCTACTCCAGCCCACCTTCAGAGTGCATCGAGAACCCCGGCTGACGCTATGACTCCTCCCTATCCCTTAGATCATCCTCGCCATCTACTACACCATTGCCGATATGGTCCTCCTGGCCCAGTGCTTCTACTACAGGGGATTCACCTGGAAGGACGAGGTCGTGCCCCCGGCCCCGAAGCCGCGCAACCGCACCGGCGAACCGAACGAGCGGACCGGCCTCCTCCCCAACCCCATCGTCGAACGCGAGCGCCGAGGCTCGGACTGGTCCAACCTCTCCCCCGCCGTGCCCATGCGGCCCGAGGCCGGCGTCGGCGCCCCGGCCCCTCCCCCGCGACCGTCCACCGCACTCCAGGCCATCGCCTGGAACACCACCGCCGTCCTGATGGTCTGCGCCGCCGGTGTCGTCGGCTGGTTCCTGAGCCGCAAGTACTCCCACGCCGAAGAACCGGGCCACCAGACCAATGACGGCGACGCCCTGACCTTCAACACCCTCGGCCAGGTCTTCGGCTGGCTCTGCGCCGTCTTCTACCTCGGTTCCCGCCTGCCCCAGCTCCTCCTCAACTACCGCCGCAAGTCCACCGAGGGCGTGAGCATGCTCTTCTTCCTCTTCGCCTGCCTCGGCAACCTGACGTACGTCCTGAGCATCTTCGCGTACGACCCGCGCTGCAAGCATGATGAGTGCGCGCCCGGCGAGGCGAACGCCATTTACGGCCGCTACATGCTCGTCAACCTTAGCTGGTTGGCGGGGAGCCTGGGTACCTTGCTGCTTGATATGGGTATCTTTGCGCAGTACTTCATGTACCGCACGGACGAGTTCGCGAGCGACGACGAAGAGGAGGATGACCAGAGCATTGACGAGGACCAGTGGGATCAGCGACCGCTGCTCGCCCGTGGTGACTCTGTCTACCCATGAGAGGGTCCTGAGAGTAATCTTTTTCTGTTTGTTACTGGTTTTGCAGAATCGCATTTGTGACAATTATCTAAGGCGTCTTCGATACACGGAAAAAAGGGTTGGTGGTCATTGTTTTTTACTATAAAAGTATCTATCGCATTATAGGAATCAAGAGGCATAGGAATAAAAGGCTGGTTACTTCACCGCTACGGAAAATCAAAAAGGGGGTGAGCCGGGGGCAGCTCCAAGGAGGGACGTGAGTTGGCTGTTGCATGAAGGAGGCAGGAGCCTCGGGAATCTTGCGAGGCTCGCAAGACTAGATCTACAAAATACTCCTTTGACCATTCACTATCGGACGAGGAGACCTCGTGGCGTTTTTGTTGAGACTGCTCGCTCTCAGCCTCCGCGCCACGAGTTCGACCCCCGGTGGTATATTCAATTTTGGGGGTTGAAGATAGGATTGCTACCGAAGAGAAATGTTAGTATATTACCTCTATTTCCCAAACTGCTTGACTCTTCAGATGGGTGATACTAGCTCACAACCACCCAAGCCTCTTCCACACAAACGTAGCACCACCCACGAAAGCCGTCACCCCCGTAAACACAATCAACGTTCCATACCCACTCCCATACCCAAACCCAGCTTCACCCCGCCACGGCGCGCCCTTGACCAACGTCTCGCTCAACGGGCCCGAAATGACGTTCCCAACCCCGCGCCCGGCAGCCAACATGCCAAACACCATGATCGGATCGACGCCCCTACCCTTCACCCTCTCATGCTCCGTCACGGTCTTCATGATACCGGGCCACGCAGAGGTATACGAGCCCGCAAACAGTCCATAAACGACGCAGAATAGATACAGCACGCCCAGGTTCGACGATAGGCCCCATAACAAAAAGGTACCGACGGTGGCGCCGGCGCTGGCAAGCGCCAGGCACGAGGGCGCGGACCAGCGGTCGACGAGGGTGCCCATCGCCACGCAGCCGACGACGGACGCCACGTTGATGAGGAGGATCGTGAGGGCTGCGGCGTAGGGGGATGCGCCGAGGGTCGATTGGGCGAAGGAAGGGAGGTAGATACCAGGCAGGAAGAAGCCTAGGGCCTCGATCGTGTTTGCGGCCTGGTGGAGGAGGAACGGGCGGGATAGGAGGAAGCGCATGTTATTAAACGGCCGGGCGTGCGTCACGTCCGTTGACGTCGTGATGGGCACGCGCGGCTTGATGAAGAAGGCCAGGGGCGCGGTGAGGGCGAAGAGCAGGCCGGACCACAGCCGCAAGGTCGTGCGGAAGCCCAGGGTGCCGAGGAGGTATTCCATCAGCAGGGGGAGGAGGACGCCGGCGAGGCCGGTGCCGGACCACATTATGCCGTAGGCGAAGCCCTTGCGGCGGACGAACCACTGGTCAATGTAGACGATGCAGGGCATGTAGGTGATGCTGCCGCCGACGGCATAGAAGATGCCCTGTGTGACGATGAGGTGGGTTACCGTGGTTGAGAAGGAGGACATTGCGAGGGCGAAGCACATGATGAGGAGGCCTACGATGGGCGCGTAGCGGGTTTGGCGCGGGTAGAGGCGTAGGAGGGCAGTTTGGAGGGGGCCGCCTAGGTACATGATTCCCTTTGGAGTGGATGAGTTAGTATTGAGGATATCTCTCCCTTTTCGGGAGTTTGAGGGTTGAGTATCAGTGAGAAGAGTGAGGGGGGAAGGGGGGAAGGGGGGAAGGGGGGAAGGGGGGGGTTACCATGGCACAGGTACCGATGACGGCGATGTTGCCCTGTCCGGCGAACGGTGGGTTCGTGGAGTAGTAGTTCTGAAAGACACCAAAGGCAAAGGGGAACCCCCAGACGAGCATCTCGACGGCGAAGCAGGCGGCCAAGAAGAGCCAGGCCTGTTTCCCGCCGTCGACGGGCGGGAGGGAGGAGAACTCCTGGCTTGCGCTGTGGGAGTCGTTGAGCACGCCGGCGACGCCAGTCTCGTCACCGCTGCTTCCTCCGACGGAACGAAATTCTGCAGCCGCTTTTGAGGGTTCCGGGACCGAGATCTTGCCCCCGACCCCGGCCTCGGTGTGCGGGGTTAGGTACTGGAGCTCCGTTTGCGAGGTAGACATGGTCGCGACTCTTGCTAGGCACACCACGGAAAATAAGGAACGGATGAATCCACGTTTTCCCGTTTTCACTTCCCAAGAAAAGAAAATGAGAAAGGAGATGTCTTTGCAGCTGTTGGAATTAACGCTTATGTGAGGCCGGCACCTTTTAAGCTTGAAGTCGCTGATCGGCCGGGGGGCGGGGAGCCCACTCTACGCCCTCCGATTGACTTGTTGACAAGGGATGACGGGCGGGCTACTCCATAAATCCACAATGTTGGTTCTGGAGGGCGCACGCTGATCCGCGGCAGAGACTCCGTGTCTTTCAGGTACCTATCCTGGATATTGATATGTCTGAAGTCTTAATGAGATTGATTATTGGGGTCACAGTCTCTGCTTATCTACCCTTCGTTCGCTCTCTGTTCATCTCTGTGCTTGTTAAGTCGACCACTCTTCCGTTTTTATGTGAGAAGCAGGGGTTTCGTTTTTTTTTTTTTTTGTTGTGGCGATGATTACTGATCTGACCAATTTAGAAAGTATTCGCGAGGTGCTGTGTTAGACTCTAGAGTGATAACACGAGAGCACTGACTACTAAGGGTAGTACCAGAGACCCCTTGACCAGCAATGTCGGCGGTTTTTGGCATTCAAGGTACTTCCTGCTGAGACACTCATTGGGTCCCCGATGTCCGGCGCCGTGAGACCCACTGCTCGGCCCCGAAAGCGGCGCGGCCCTTCCGACCAGCGGCGGCCGTGACTTGAGAAAGGCCCCCGTTTTACCCGCTTCAAGGTCCGACGCCAAGGGACTCTGTAGTCAGCCTTGCGTAGGATCTCCCTCGACAAAGTCTGCCCGATCCCCTGCATAATCCGGCAAAGATACCCGTCCTCTTCACCGCAAGCCAAGGAGGTTTGTCGGCAAATCAGGCCGATGAATCCTGGCTAAAGGATGTCGTGTTGGAACTCCACCATCGCGACTCCTTTTTCGTACCTGATACGGGTTTAAGGTACGGTCACATAGCCCCCGCCGACCAGCAACCGCTTTGGAAGCAGGCAGTGAACCATCCCATACAAGCTGCATCTCCAGTCCAACCAAGCCTCAAACGCACTGCATGCTACGCCTTGCCCCCTCTCATTGGACTCTCCATCTAAAGTGTCACCGTTTCGGATTGGGGAAAAAAATGCCACCAAACCCCATTCTAGGCTTCCACCTAAATCCCGGCCAAATTCCCTTGGCCACGTTTTTCCCCAGCGGCAAGAATGTTCCCAAAACATCATTCGCCGCGACGCCAGAAGCAGAATGTCTCTCCTGAATCGTTTACTCGCCCAAGTTTGAGGAGGAAGGACCCAGCCGAGGCTGAGTGGGAAGGGGGGGGGGGGGGGTTAATGTTTCCCGCGTATATTTCTGAGGCCCGAAAATAGTCCATAGACCCTGTAACCCTACATATCTAGAGTAATAGCATCCGCAAATACGGATACCACGTCAGATCGCGCTCGGGTTCGGCGCGGCTGTGGCAGTTGTCCCGCACTTTCCATCAACTGGCGACGAGTCAGCGTCGCGCGATCCCGCGCGATCGGGTCCTCCGGGATCTTTGCAAGTTCCAACATGTCACCGAAGATAGGTAAATCTCTCTGCCCGGTGTGTGACAGCGCAACAAACTTTCCGGGTGTGAGGACTCTTCAGAAAATCAAGGGAAAATAGAAAGGAAAACTATGGTAAGACTAGTACGCCTTACACTAATTGCGAACGGACTTGGATCCATAGCAAAAAAAGACAATGGAAACATTGGCTCGTCTTCCTACAGTGACCCGCACACCGCATTGCATAGACTCAACTAAAGGACGACTGACACCGAAAAAAGAAAAGAGAGCACATTCATCCCAACTCCCAAGACACAAAAAGCGATGCAAGGTCAGCAAAACAGAGTTTCCCATTTCTTGCCTGTCTAATACCACTTCACCGTGCGACGGTGCCTCACCCAATTCTGCCCATAACCGACACAAACCGCATTCGGTATCCCTTTCCCCCTCCGATCCAATCCCCTTGAGAGATTTCTCTTCCCCCAAACTGAGGTCATTCCACCCCCCGTTTGGCCCCCCCCCCCCCCTCCTCTTCTCCATCCTGGGATCCCCCCAACACGCGTTCAACCGCAGTTGCAACCACGCAACGAAAAGGGTCAGGCGCAAGCCCTGTCTCAGCGCAGTCTGCAAGAAAGGATACCCCGAGCTCGCATCACGCTGCCAGCACAGAACAACTCAAGCCCGCAAATGAATGTTACCTAGGTAGAGAAGAATGAGAGAACCGTAAGAAAGAAGAGACGTAGATCGGTCGGCAGCTTGAACCCTTCAGACATCCCAAAACCCCAAACACACCGAACCAGAGCCCCCCTCTCCCATCCTAGAGTCCCAAGATGGAGGGGACCGCCTGATCTAAGCCTCGTCCATCCTTGCAGTGGACCTCCAACCTCCCTCGCAATCAATGTGCCGGTTCGAGGTGACTCTTACACACCGGGTGTCGTAGGTACAGAGGGTCCCCTCTCCCTCGTCCACGGAAACTCAACCTGCGGGGACATAAGGTAGACAAGGCAAGGTATGTACTTGTAGTAGCAGAGACCCGAAAGAGAGAGAGATACCAGGCCTGTCAGCCCACGGTCGTCACTCTGGTCCCTCCGCCATTTTCTTTTGCCTTGCACCTGAGCGCCAAGCTGGGCCTCAACTCGAAAGTCCGCCTTTCATCATGCAGGAAGGGAGAAGGGGTGGCCCCCGGACGCACCGTGGGCCACGCACCTCTCAAACTTCGGGTTCCTAGATAACTTTCTTCCTGTGCCCTGTCACTCTTTTTTTTGTCTTGGCTCTTCTTTTAAATAAAACGGTCAATCGCTGTTTGCGCGTTCGATGTGGCTGGGTTCCAGGTGTGATTTTGCTTTTCTGTCTCTTGCACACAAGGAACGTCAACTCGACTCTCGACTTAGACCACAACTACAAACCACAACCTTCGTTTCTATCAACCACGAACGAGCAAACGGATTTGAATAGACTCGCGCCAGTTTTCACACAAAGTCTTCCGATCGAATACATACCACACGTCAAAGAACAATTTCCTCCTTGTAATCCGTAATCACAAACAACGCAAAAAGCAATGTCGTCCCAGATCGAGTACAATCAGATGCCAAGAGAGCCTGCGCCAGCCGTGCTCTCGGAACACAATATTAGCTCTCAGCAACCTGTATGTCGCGGCCCCCTTCAGTCACCTCCAAAACAGATCAGCACGTTAGTCTGGTGTTCCCCTTCTCGATAACGCTTCCCACGATGAGCCCCATCATCGTCGCGCATCGAGTGGGGTACACCAGGAAGCTCAGAGAGTCCAACCAAACCTCCCGATTCCCGAGCTAACCGGAGCCTGAAAACCCTGTAGGGCCCAAATCAGCCGATGACGATGGATCAAACAGCGAACCTGCGAGGCGGTGGCGATGGCGGAGTAAGTGAAACAAAACCACAATCCAATTCCCCCTTCCTTTGAGAATCCTACGCAACCTGTAATGTTGGTCGAAATCAGGAACAAAGTTGCGCGGAATCAGAAATGAGTGACTGGAGACGCGAGGGATGCTTTTTCTGTCCAGTAGAAGCACACATTGGCTAACGTTACAACTCTCTTTCGATAGGCTGTCTGCTGCGGCCTCTGCGCCGGCCTCTGTTGCTACGAATGCTGCGAGTGCTGCTGCTGTTGCTGCTAGTTCCGTCTAAACAGTACACCCTTTTGCGTATCTGTTTCCGAAGGCAAACTAGACAGGAGGAGATCCGTCGTCGCCACGCGTCTTGTCGTCACTTCTTCCGTATAGACCGACGAGAAGTGAGGATTTGACATAAGATGGGGGCTTGAGTGGTCGAGGGGGGTATTCAGGCGCAAACATATACCAGGGCATTGGATTTCATGCCCGTGACAATGTCACAATTTTGTAGGATTTTCATCTTTGTTGTTGAACAATTACGATTTTTTTTCTCTTTTCTTCTTGAAGTACGCTGAGCTGTCCGGCACTAATCTGTCTCGTCGGTGCCCTCGTGACTTGGGTATCTCGAAAACCCCTCCTCATCTTGCCTCGAGCTGAATACCGGATGGCACGTCTCGTGCTACGTCGACTCTTGCAGCTCTGGTACTTTATCAAGATTTCAGAGCGCCTTTCTACAACGTGAACCCAGGCGTTTCTCATCAACTTTTCCATCCATACTTTTACAACTTGGAGCGGACATCCTTGGTAGGCCTGGGTAAAACAGTCAGTCACACGTCCGCAATCATCAAGACGTTCTGCCTCAGGGATAGGTGAAGAAATAACATACTCGGCAATCTTCTCCGTCTCCTTCATGATAGCGGCGCCGAGCTCGGGGGTAACCCGCGAGAACATCTCGTAGGCGCGCGAGCGGACCTCGGGGTGGGCGCCGGAGAGGGCGCCAGACACGTTGCTGACAAAGTTCTTTTGCTGGCCCTCCTGGCGGCCGAGGACCTTCCAGAGGCCGAGAGCCTGCTCGTAGTCCTCGGGCTTGACGGGGCCGAACAGGTCCGTGACGACGGCGCCGGCCCACCGCTCGTGCGGGGTGTTGACTGCCTTGACGGGCTTGTACGTGAGGGGTTGGAAGGTTGAGGAGTAGTTCTGGGGCAGAGTTAGTTGGCTTCCCGTACATAATGTACATATCAGGACCAAGGGGGGCGGACGTACGGGGTTCGCGCCGTAGTTGCCGTTGACGGCCATGGCGCCATCTCTCTGCAGGGGGTTGAAGGCGTTGAGGGGCTTGTTTACGGGGATCTGCTGGTAGTTGACGCCGAGACGGTGGCGGTGGGTATCGGGGTACGAGAAGAGGCGGGACTGCAGGACGGGGTCGGCGGTCGGCTCGACTCCGGGGACCAGGTGGGAGGGGGAGAAGGCGGCCTGCTCGATCTCGGCAAAGTAGTTCTCGGGGTTCTGGTTGAGAGTGAGCTTGCCAAACTGTCGGAGAGGCACCTCGCTCTGCGGCCAGATCTTGGTGAGGTCGAAGACGTTCCACTTGAACTTCTCGGCCTGCTCGGGGGTGAGGGTCTGGACGTAGACGGTCCAGCTGGGGTGCTCGCCGCGCTGAATGGCCTCAAAGAGGTCCTGGGTGTGCCAGTCGGGGTTCTCAGACGCCATCTTGCCGGCCTCCTCGTTGGTGAAGGTCTTGTTGCCCTGGTCCGTCTTGAGATGGATCTGGACGTAGACGAAGGAACCGTCGGGCTTGGTCCACTTGTGGGTGTGGCCCGAGTAGCCGTTCATGTGTCTGTAAGAGTAAGGGGTGCCGCGGTCGGAGAACAGGTGCATCAGCTGGTGAATGCACTCTTGGTTCTTGGTCCAGTAGTCAAACTGAAATTTGAGTTAGAATGAGTTTGTAATGTGTTTCGAGACATCACTGCTTACCATCTGTTCAAGTTAGCTCAAGTCATCTCATAAGAGTCGGGGTTTCAACACTCACCATCGTAGCATCCTTCAGGTTAGTTTGCGGGTGACGCTTCTGTGTGTGAATGAAGGGAGGGAACTTGACAGGGTCGCGGATGAAGAAAATGGGAGTGTTGTTGTAGACCCAGTCCCAGTTGCCCTCCTCGGTGTAGAACTTGACAGAGAAACCTCTGGGATCACGAGCTGAGTCGGCAGAGCCCTTCTCACCACCAACAGTCGAGAAACGGACGAGAGCCTTGGTCTTCTTGCCGATCTGGTTGAGCATGTCGATAGAGGAGATGTCGCTAATGTCATGTGTGACCTCGAACTGTACGCCGTGCGCGCACGCTGGTCAGCATTTTCTCTCGAAGAGCACCGGGCCACCCGCCGCCCTACACAACACGACAGAAATCGTCTCACGTACCTCGCCGTAAGCACCGGCGCCCTTGGCGTGGACGACACGCTCGGGAATGCGCTCGCGGTCAAAGTGGGCCAGCAGGTCAATCAGGTGGAAGTCCTGGAGCAGCAGAGGGCCCTGGGGACCGATGCGCTGCCACGCCTGGGGGTTCTCGACGGGGGCGCCATTGGAGGTGGTGTAAGTCGGCTTCTCGTTATACCGGTAGGTAGAAGGCTTCTCGTCTTCGGAACCCATCTTGTCGGCGGTTCTCGTCCTCGTCGATTCAGTTGGGGGAGATGTTCTGCGCTTTCAAAGTCGGAGGGATGGCTTGTTTGCTTGTCAAGATCAAACACCAACAAACGGGAGCGGCAAATGGCAAGTCAGATCGAAAAAGAGCAGATCAGAGAGGGTCTCCGGGGGGCGGTCCAATGGAGGGAAGACGAAAACATGAATACTCTTAAAGCTCCATGGCAGAAAGAAAAGAAATAAGACGATACCAGAAGTGGGAGGGGACCCTCCTTACACCTCGGCCCCTCCCTCTCCTTCTTTCTCCCTCTTCCTCTTACTTGCCCCAGTTTCCTCGGCTTCTGGAGCCCCATGAGCTCTGTCCTCCCACTCAGGGCGTTCAAGTTACGAAGCAGAAACCCCAGGACACGACGTAAGTCGCCCGGGCCAGGGTGGCTTTCCTCTTTGATTTCTGAAGCTTTGGTGGGACACACGGCCAATTGGGAAGCAGACGAATGCAAGCTTGGGTTGGCCGAGGTCCACAGAGAGCTCCATCTCGAGGTTTCCTAGCGTCCTTCAGCCACCCCTTGTCACTCCGCCTCTCGTTGCTGAGGTGCAAAGATCGAACTGATCAATCTTGCTGCTGCTTCTGAGTGGCAGATCTGTTGTCTCTAGTCTTGCCCTACTACGTAACTACGTAGAGACAACTCCAATCCTGCACCCTTGGTTTGAGGCTCTGTTATGACAACTAGGGAGCGCGACGTCTTCGGGTTACCTTCAACAGCGTTATCGTGAACTTGATGTTCCGACGCCAACCACCGCCAACTTTCTCAGACCTAACTCGCGTTTTCCACCTCTCGGATTGGTCCACTGTCTCTCCTGGCCCCTCCGACAACGGAGTGGTTTCCACCACCATTGCCCAGCTGGTCTCTTTTGCCCGGGTACTACATCAGTCATGACCCAGTCTGTTGCTCTACGGATACCTCCCCAGATGTTGCGGGGGGGGAAACTTTTTAGATTCCGTCAATGTCGGCATCGAGGGGGAACATCTAGATTCCAGCCTTTCTGCGATGCGGAGAAAACTCGCTGACAAGCAAAAAAGGATGGGGCGCGGCATGGGTGGGATATGCTGGTGAAGAAGGCGTCCATCAGGCCACTTACATGCACATCAACGGCTAGGCTAGCCTTTCATCACTTTGAGGGAACGCCGAGGATTGCGTCCCTCGGACGCCCGTTCGTGCTTTTCTACTTATTCAGACAGGTCTGCCATGTTCACCCTCCCCCATAAACGAAGCTGCACTTTACATTTGAATAGCATGCCGGAAAGCGAAGGCTGGCCGGTACCCGTCGGGGTTTGGATGAACTGGCATCAAACTTTGAGACTTTTCAGAGCCCGGCTTCGGGGTTCAAAGTTGACTTACAGCCAGCCACTGCAGTCTACGACACGGCTCAGCGACGCCGCCTCACCGGTCCCCGACCCGCTCTCTGCTCACCTCGTGTCTTTTGCCCAAATCGGGAGAATAGAAAATTTCCCAATTCAGGTAAACACGAGTGAGCTGCCATGACATCCATTGGTCGGGTCGGGGCCAGAAAGGCAGTCCATGCCGGCGGTAGCCCATTCGCGATGGGCATTCCCCTGGGCTCCTCCGAGTGGAGCGAGTACAGGAATTGGGTTATCGCCGAGATCGCAGGAGGACCACTGTACATATGCCACGGGAAAGTCGCGTTACCAAATCTTCAGAGGCTGTGGTTCTGAACCTCCCAACGGCATGCATGGCCGAGGCCCCGGGTCAAGCTGCTGTCTCCCGCTGTCACATGGCTCAGCGCGCGTACCTGGCAGCAGTGACAGGCTGGTACGCTGGCTCGGGTGGTGAACCGTCTCCCGTCGGTAGCGTTTCCGGGGGCCGCCGCCGCGGGCTCTGCTGGTCTCAAGCACCGAGAACGCCGAGATGCCAGACCTCGCATCTCGGCGATATCCCGGAGGCGCCCGGATTCCCGCGTTCAGTCCTGAAACCAGAAGCTTTTCATCTGTTTAACAAATTCGTCCTGTTTAGATCATTTGGACCGGAATTTTTTTGCGGCATGATAAGTAGAAAAGTTTGGGCACTGCCTGACTGGTTTCGAATAGGAGTATTGCGCCATCGGCTTGTTCCGATAGCAAAGGACTCGGGAGGAGGCATGTTCCGGGATGTACCCCACCCCTAGCGAGAGGAAGCCTTGGAATTTTCCTTCTATTCGCCTCAAAGTTGTATGGAGACTGGTCAATCGCGATTCCTCGAGAGCGAGACTCGAGAGAACCTGTAGCCACTGCGGAACGTGTTCCGGAGCCGTTCCGAGCGCACTCGATGCAGTGAAAGGGTGCAGAAGGTCCGCAGAAATGAGCGACAAGCACCATGTTATTGGTGGCTAGTGCTTAATTTAGCTCATCAGTGACATGTTGATATGTCAATCGCCAGTATTCTGTCGTCCAATGTCACCAGAAACTGCGGATAGGTACAACGGTGAATTAGGCAATCTGGGCATGTGATCTACATTAGAGCCTCTCTACGAGCTCTCGCTTAAGAGTGCTAGTATCTCTGTCGATCATGAACGACAACCTTGTGGGGGTAAAGCCAAAGAATCGCTCATAGAGCAGGCCTACGAAGAATCCAAGCCCCGTGGGAGTAATGCAGCTCAAAAGAGCCAGCCCTATGCGGAAGTAAAGTAGTAATAACGAGAACGCGAAGAAGCCTACCGACCTCCGCCACCCCGGAAAAGCCACGCTTTATCTCCGCTGCATTGAGCGTACAGTTATCAACCAGTAAATAGACCTAATAGCCTTTGAATTGGTACCCGCTCAGACGGGATGGAGCGCTCGAAAGCCTCACCAATCATCTTGACGTTCCTCCACATCGAGTGCAGGTCCGGATGTTGCAACGATTATAGACACAACCTCGCCCTGATGCAACCCAGGACAAAAGCCACCAGAATCGTGTCCCAAAAAAGTACCGTCTCGTCAACAACAGGCGCATGGCACCTTGGACGACGTGTCCAGCTTCAACGGGGAAGTGAGCCGGGAGCACGCAAACGGGGCAAACTCTCCAAACTGCGTCGCACCCGCACCCGAAGAACTAAACATGTCCGTCAGGAGGTAAGAGAGAGGTAACGCAGCTCAGGAAGCAAACAAGACGTGTCTCCGTGATGAAGAATCATCATCATGAGTGATGAGAGATGAGGCGAAGGTACTTTGTGAATCATTCACCCGCCAGCCGACTCCCGTGATGTGATTCATTACTCGGCATACTTGTGCCGCCATCGAGACCGTATAAAAAGGGGCATCGTCAATCTTGCCGTCAGGGAGAAGCCCACGAAAGATGCGTCTTAATCACCCAAACTTCACACCACCCAAAATTCCCTTGATACTCCCACGAACAAGGCAAATAACTTGACAAGATGCTCCTCCCAACACCCACAGCCCCCCTCTTCCTCCTTGCCTTCACCATGGCAGCAACCTCCCAACCAACATCCAGCCCGTCCCCGTCCCCGTCCCCGTCCCCGTCCCAGCCACCCATCGACGACGGCACAGTCTGCCCCGGGAATACAGTCCCCTGCTACGAAGGCTGCATCCCACCCGACGCCGTCTGCTGCCACGCCTCCTCCGAGACCTGGTGGTGCAGAAAAGGCACGGTATGCGGCAAACACGAAGCCGGCGGCTGCATCCACCCGCCACACCGAGCCTCTCCCTCATCCTCTGCCGCTACAACAAGCGACGACTCCTTCGCCACGGAGACAGAGAGAGTATCGAGACCAAGTCTGACGGCCGCGACGACGACGACGACGACAAGCGGTCGCCAGCTTCCGACGTGCGTCTTTGAGATGCCGCCTATCGTGCAGAGGCAACAGCGGGAAGAGGACACGACTACGGTGTCGGTGTGTCCCACCGAGTTGGCCTCGGCCACTTCCGTCCCGGGTGCCGCTAGAGGATCCGGGCCGGCGGTAACGGGTCAGTCGTGGGGTGTTGTGATGTTGGTCGGGGTCGTGGTCGGGTTTGTGGTGATGTTGGTCTGAAGAGGCAAAAATGAGTGTTTCGGTTTCTCCATGCAGATTAGCTTAAACTAGACTGATGATTCCTTTTTTCCATTTCTTTGAAAAGTTGTGAACCCCATTGTGTTAGAAATGTTAGAGACGGGGTTGAGGATACGCAGAGGCTCATTCTCTGGCCCTGTTGCTGTCCAAACCCTCATTGACGACGCGTAAACTCTGGGAAAGGAGGTTAGCCATCACGCGAGCGACTGAACGAGGTGTCAGAACAGAAACCAGGGACGCGGTACGACGTCCCTGTGCTGGCATTAGAAGCGTGTAAACTGATAAAATGGACGAATCAACTCGGGTTCCTCTCTCTTTCATCTCTTCCTTTGTCTCTGTGTGTCTCTCTCTCGTCCCTCCCGTTCGGGCACCCTGGTCGCCTCATAAGACGTGTCTGCGCAATGCACGCATTCACCCATTCGCATTTCGATAGACCGTCGCTCAGATACTCGTAGACGCACACGCGAGGCGGCCAGACTGAAGACCAACTGTTTCAAGTACTCGCTCTGGAGTCCGGCACTACCCAACGCAGAAACGCCGTTCCCGCAGTACTCCGAGGGTCGACGGGGATCTTGCGAATGCCCTCTCTCTTTCTCACCAAAACAAAAAGAAGAAGTCGACAAACACACATGAATGCGCAGTTCTACCCAACTGATGGGCCGTATTATAAATCGTGAGGGGCGTTATATATAAGTTGTTACTCTCGAGAGGTTAGTCGTGTAGGGGTCAGCGAAGTAGACACTCCGTCTTTATGACTCCTGGTTGACGGTTTGCTAGTAGAAGAGGTCAGTACTCCTGTCCAAAATCAAGTTGGGCCCTCTTCTAGCAACCTAGAGGGGGCATTCTTCAGAATATGCACGTACGACAAGCCAGTCCATGCCCTCCGTGACACCGCTGCCGTCGACCGCAGAGCAGGCCATGATGCTCCAGTTCCGATCGCGCAACTCGCCGAGGCGCAGCGCCTCCGAGATCTCGCCCGCACCCTTGGCGCCAGGCTGGTCCTGCTTGTTGGCGAAGACGAGGAGCGAGGCGTCCTTGAGCTCCTCCTCGTTGAGCATGGCGCCCAGCTCCTCGGCGGCAGTCTGAAGACGCTCAATATCGGTCGAGTCGACAACGAAGATGACGGCCGCCGTGTTGGCGTAGTAACACCGCCAGTAGGGGCGAATGCTGGTTTGACCGCCTAGATCCTATAGTCGGGCGCGCGCATGGCTGCTGTCAGTCTCTTCCAGGTTCCTCTCTGTGTCTCTCGCTTGCGTGTGGTATTGTAGTGGAGGGGCTTCGGGGGGCGGTTGCATACCCAAACGTTGAAATTGAGGTTCTTGTATGTGACGGACTCGACGTTGAATCCTATCGTCGGGATCGTGGTGACGACTTCACCAATCTGGACAGGTCAAAGAGGGTTAGTCAAGAGCAGTTTGCGAGACGCACGCCTTCAGCGACAGCGGGAGAGAAGTCTGCTGCAAACTCACCTTAAGTCTGTACAAAAGTGTCGTCTTGCCAGCGTTATCCTGTAATCATGAGAACACGGTGGTTTGTCAGCCTGGTGTCTCCGCGTTTCGGACGAAGTTGTTGCATCACGGGCTTGTTGGCGAAAAAGTCGGGTGGGAGATGCATACCAGTCCCAAGATCAATATGCGAATCTCCTTCTTCGACCACACGAGGCCCGACAGCCATGACATGCTTGCGCCCATTTTGAAAGAGGAGGGTTGTTGCTTTTCGAGGGGAACTCGGTGTTGGATGAGGTGGTCGTTTGTGTATACACGGAGCTTTCGTTAGGGATGCGGAAGGCCGTGTGCGGGTTCGGGGTTGAGTTGCGACTTGTATGCTGTCACAATATACGCGGTTGGCCTCGGGACAGGAGGGTCGCGGAGGGTTTAAGGTAGGTAAGGTTGGTGGTGGTAGCAAAAGGTGGCTTGTTTCCCAAGGGGCGAGCAGCAGCAGCAGTAGAATGACGAAAGCTGACCAAAGAAAAAGCTCCGCCCACTTGCTGGAATTATGTACAAACACAGGGCCTTTTCCCGTTGGTGAAGAATAGGAGCAAGACGGGAAGGGGTGTGAGAAAAAAAGGGCGACAAATGTTCCGTGGCGTTCAGGGGCAAAAGAGGAAGTAGCTTCTCTCCTTTTTACTGTTTCCAAGGGTTTGGCTTAATTCGTCGTGGGTTTCGTTTCGTCGAGCTGTCTTTTTTGTCTTTACGAGTAGCAGACAAAGGACCGTTGCAAAAGAATCTCGGATGGCTTGACTTCCCCCCTAAGGCGTAACAGTAAAGAAAGGTAAGGTAGCGGAACGGGTCCCCCCTAATTGTCAGTTTTTAAGACATGCATGGATGGGAAATCTGGGCGTCCAAACGGGTCCGCGGCCTGCCACTTCTGGGATCGTCGGCCGCTCGAGCCTATCGGCATGTCAGGGATTATCACGTAAGCATGCTTTGAAAGTCAATGCCTGAGGCAAAAAGGATCTTCCGTCTTTCGTTCCATTGTCCAGTCTTATCTAATCAGCACCTGAGAAAAAAAAAGCAGGAGCGAGCCACGCGGCTGAGCCTCAAGAGGCGAGTGACCTCTCGCGCCTCCCCCCCCCCTCCGAAAGCGTGACCGACTCCACCTCTTGCCCTGCCCACCAATCAAGACGACTGCGGGCTCGCTAACCTAGTGCGCCTGGTGCACAAGAATTTCTCATTTCTAGTGGTGAGATCGATTCAACCCAACCCATCTGGAGAACAACTGCCACCCCAAAAGGACTCGCACCAGTTTGATCAGCCAACAAGCCGTCAAAATGCCGGTACGTGATAGATTACGCCCTCGCCCTCGTTCACGACCTCTTCGACGGATGATGATGTTGCCCGCGACCGAATTTACCGACATACTGCGTCCCCCGGCTGTGCACGTTTCGACGAGTACGGTCGGCTGTGGAAAGGGTTGTTCATGAAGGAGTGAGGGGCAACATCGTCAAACGATCGAGGAGGGCGACCCGAACGAAGAGAAGGAGGATAAACTCTCGAGCCCAAGCAGAACGCTGACCATTTCTCGCGATACAGAGCCACAAGTCTTTCCGCACGAAGCAGAAGCTCGCCAAGGCGCAGAAGCAGAACCGCCCCATCCCCCAATGGATTCGCCTTCGCACCGGTAACACCATTCGGTACGATGCACCCTCTCCTTCTGTATCTGTCCGGGAAGCCTGTCTTCTCGTATCTGGATCTCGAAATGATCTAGGGCGAAAGACCAGTCTTCAATATGGACAAGACAACCCCGCCAATAACATGCAACTAACATTTTATCACAGCTACAACGCGAAGCGTCGTCACTGGCGCAAGACCCGTCTCGGAATCTAAACGTCTCGCCTCCTTCTCTCTTCAAATCCCTACCCTATCCTGCGGACTTCCATATCACCATGGATGCCGCCGACCGAACGACGACGCCGCGCTCGACTTGGGGGAAAACTTTCACATCAAACGGGAGGGGTTCACTCTGATGGACTCAAATACCCACTGGCTCGAGTCCTGAATTCGTGGGGGAGTCTTTTTTGACAACAGGATGGAGGGGAAACAAAATGGATGCCCGGTTCGGCTAGACTCTACGTATTGCATGTCACGGTCATAGGGAAAGGAAATGCAAAATTTGCCTCTGAAGAGATGAGGCCCCCACGATTACTTCTCGTCTGCTCTTGCGTGATGGGATATTGCGTATGAGCGCTGCCTCTCCCTGCACTTCTTCGAGCCAGGCTGTCGCCAGCGGTAGAGATTTCTCTTTTCATTGAGATGCAGAAGCCAACTTTGGCCGACGGTCCTCATATTCCCTGAACATTGCCAACGGGCCACCATTACTCGAGTGGTCGTTCCATTGGAGATCTAAACTACCTCATCAATAGCCAATGCGCATGGAAAAGATTATTAGTACCATCGACAGAACGGGTAGCAGAGAGACCTACACATGAAAAGCCACTGATATCGGGCCCAAGCAAGTCTTTTCTAACATACCGTAGTGATACTGATCGCCGAGTCCTCACAGTCATCTGGCTTACCATTGTTCAATGACTCAATGTTGAAGAAATTCGAGCCCGTGCCGACGATACAGCATGCTAGTGGGCAGTGAGGTTTGCTCGTCAGCCTTACCGCTCAAAGCCTGAAACTCATTTACCTTCGTCCTGTGCAAAGGTCTCGCTGTATAGCCGACCTCAACATCGGATTTTGTCACGGCCTCATGGAACCTAGATAGATTGTATGATTAGTAACGCAAAAAATGTCACCGACCAACAAGGCTCTGTTTTAGACGCGAAATCATGACTTAAATGCCTTGCTATGAAGATGTAGCAAAACCAAATGGGACGCGCGCATTATCTGCTGCGCATGGGATGGACTTTGTGTTAAGCACCTCATCTACCAAGCGTCCCTTTCCTATGGGACGTGAATTCCTGACCTGTGGAGCAACCCGCAAACTTTCCTGGGTAACCGAAAACGAATCAATGAACGATCGTTAAAACGCCGGAGTACGATGCGTCACACATTAGGTGTGCAGAGAAATGTCCGAAGAGTAGTTGAAACCAGAATCCGGCTCTTCCACCACTTGGTTTATCGTGATATTTAACGGTCTTCGGCCCACTCGTTCTCGCGGCGAATCTGCTCCTCCTCTTCGGGGGTGAAGTCGTTGGTGATGTTGAACGTCTTGCGGATCTCCTCGGGCGACTTGCCCTTGATCATGTTGGCAACGGTCTTGCAGCCGACGTCGAGGAGGGGCTTGATGTCCAGGTAGTTGGATGCCTGTGGAAACGTTAGTTTGATTCAAGTAGATGCGACAGCGATGGGCAACTCACGAGGATGATCTCGAAGAGCATCTCTTGGTCAACCTGCATGAACTTCTGGTCCCACTCCTCAATCTCGGTGGTCTTCTTGCGGGCGTCGTTCTCGTCATCGGCGGTCTGGACGGGATCGGCACGGTGGTGGTCGCACCACTCGATGACTTTGCGAAGGACTGCCTCGTTGACCTGGGAGGAAATGTCAGCGCTTATCGATCAGTCGACCAAAAGGTGAGAGGAGGCGACACGTACGTTGGGGATGGGAATGGGGTTCTCTTGGCTGATGGCGTCATCACCAACATCCTCGAGCATGTTCTTGATGAGCATGGAGCGCTCAGCGACAACACGATCTGGAGGGTATGAGTTAGCATGGGGTAGCAAAGAGTAGGCCCGCTGGCGGAAGGAGGGGTCTGACGTACCAACGGAGATCGTGATGCTGTCGTTGGACTGAACCCAGATCTTGGATTCTTTCTTCTCGGCGGCCATTTTGTCTGGTTAGATGGGTATTTGCGATGTGGGATATCTTGGAGCGGTTAGCTTGAAGGTGGTGAATGGCGATGGTTGACGGGTGGTGATTGATCGAAGGATTGAAGTTGCTTCTGGAGGATGGTGGGGAAGAAGAGTCGATCTGTGGTGGAGAAGGAGCAAAGGAGTGGGATTATATAGCTGGAGGCCTTACGTTTATGATTCGGAGATAGAGCTGAATGTGAAGATTTCGTATGCGACCGGCGACAGTAGTTTGGTTGAAGAAAGGTGAACAAACGGAGCAGTGAATATGTGATCGGAGATGGCTTTTGTTGCGTCAGACGTTAAGTTGAATGGTTTTGGGGGTCGGAGCGGCCAGGCGGCTGTTGGTTGTGGAGAAGTGGGAGGCAGAGAGGGCGTCGCTACCCGTGGAAGTTCGAGGGAGCAGGCAGAGGTGAAGGGCAGCAGGTGCTTTGATTGGCTCAAAGCGGTCTGATCTGTTTGTGCCAGGAGAACTTTATATACGGCTGGAGGTACCTACCCTTTAGTGCCTTTCAGCAGGCCATCAATAGCCTCGGTGGACCCGCAAAGGCACAGCACCTCAATAGACATTGAACATGGTATGGGAAAGAATAACACTCTCGTCCAATATGGTAGAAAAAGAAAGTGTCACGCAGAGAAAGTCAAAGGCAGAAGGTTCCTGGCGGTGTTGGACCACCTTACCCTAGGTAGGTGCCTTGCAGAAAACACCCATTTGCCTGAGTGGCTCTTCGCCGAATACAACTCACCTTTGTGCGCAAAAGCAATGACAGAGGCACACCTGGCTCCCTTACGTAATGAAGGACAAAGAGATGTTTTTAGCTTGTACGGACACTTCGCCCAGATATTGGCCCCCTCGGTCTTCTTTTGGTGGCATGATGTAGAGAGAGTCTAGAATCTAGTTACAAAGACTCAGAAATAGCACCAACAGCAAGAATTGAGAAGAACTATCGAATCATGCATCATTGCAAGGCCCTTCGATGTGAAGCTGGTGTATTCTTGGTGGCTCAAGGCGATCCGATGTAACCTGGAAGACTCCTAGCTGGGCAGGCCCCTTAGGTAAGCTGCAGCCTGTGCCCGATTTCGACAGGCCCATTCGCATCGACTCCCAGGCACCTGTGATAGAGGTCAGGACCAAGAGTCCACATTAAGGTATTGCTTCAAATGAAAAACATGACCTCCTTGAGGGGAAAAAGTCTGCCAGTTGCTTCAACCAAAGTAGTAAGATATTTTTGTTCATCGGGCTTTGGCCCCAAGTCAGTGTCTTTCCTGTACAGCCAATGTCTGTAGACGAAGCTCAAGTCGAGATTTTAAGCCAAGCTAGATTCTGGACATCATTGCTGGTCGAATGAGGCGAACTTGGGAAGCGAACCACAACATGGGGTGATTCGGAGTAGCAGAGTGGTGCAGATTGTCTGGGAAAAGAGCGGGCCTGCTAGATCTATATACCATCCATCCGATGACCCTGAGGCGGTACCTGCTGAGGGTGACTCGTGATCAAGGAAGCTAAGGTACCTTAGATTCGGCCAAGTATCGTCCTTCTCTCCCACTCTGCCACACTCAGAGAAGGGAAGAAACAGTACAATTCGAATATGTGGCCCTCAAAGTGCCGAGCAAAAAGACCAAAGAACAGAGGATTCGGACTTTGGTACTCCGTACAATCCGACGTGATACTTCTCTACAACGGATTGTAGTTGCTTGGCATCTCTCCGCATGCGGCAAGCCAATTCTCGGAGCCGGACAGACGATTAATGCCGCTTCATTCGGATAAGAATCTCGTCGCCGCTAAGCTAGAGGCCGAGGAGACCGGCAAGGCAGAACCGGGGCGGCGGAGAGGGCCGGTAAGGTACTGTCAGTGTCTATTCCTGTTAGTGCGCCGTATCTGCGGCGACGGAGCATCGTCTCCTCCTGGGCAACGGTTCCATCGTGAACAACATGCTTCGGTGGGTGGCTTTGACTCTGGCCCGCTTCAGGGTCAATGCTTGCTCATGGCATCTGGTGCCTACCCATCAGGTCGTGTTTTCTCTGTCTCGGTTCGTGAAGCGAGCGGCTAGATTTGCCGTCACTGCTCACGCGTGAGCAAAATGGCATCGACTTATACGAAAAATATCGTGGATAAGCTCTCGTACCTAGCCTACTCGTACCAAGCTCTCGTACCGAAGAAAATGTCCGAAAAGAATCTGGAGCTGGCCAGGGTGTGGACACGACAAGACAGGGCCGATGGCGAAAGCGAGCTGCAAGCACTTTAAGGAGCCTGTCTACTCCACGGAATTGAACCCCCGCGACGCGAGCAGGGCAACGCCAATCTCGTGGCGCAAGACACTGAAGATGGCGGCAGATGGTCTCGCATTCCTGGTCTCCTTACTAATTGGCGTACAGAGCATGTGTACGGATGATACGGAATAGGTACTCTGTAAACCGGATTGCTTGCTGAGCTGAGGTTCGGAGTAAGTGAGATACCAATTTCTCGGATTAGGGCAAAATGTGGAATGCATCAATGATGACTGGGCCGGTTTCATGGAGACGCGCCAGTGGGAGTGGGCGGCGCGCCTGCGTCCGTGAAATTGAATGATTCGCAATCCATAGCGCCGGATGTTGATGGGGCCCGCGATCCCGAAGCTTCCGTCGACGGTCCAAGGCGGGAACGCGACTACGACCGCGGATGTGTAGATGGCGTCCCGGGATTGGCATCATTACGTTCGTCTGATATCAATATCGGCTTTCTCACCAGACGAACAGAGCGTTGGAGTTGGAGCCTGGCATGGCTATCTGTGATGCGCGGGATGCGACTCCAGAGACATGTTGTAGACAAGTACACCAACTCGCAAACGTTGACAAGTTGTTGACAGGCAGCCCCCATGCTGGACGGATGGGAAATGATGCATAATGACAGCAAGACATGATGATGGATAGACGTGGTTCGAGAAACCTGCTGACTGTGTCAGTGTTATCTGGTCGGCTGTCAAGGAAAAGGGGTGCTGTCCCCTGGCGAGCGTTTGGAGTGGACGAAGAGGCCGAAAGAATTAGAGGGTGGAAAAGAAGCTTTGAATGGGGCCACCTCGCTCGCAACAAACGCACCGATGGCCCTATGGGCAACGATGCCAGTGGCATGCACCGTCCCAGATTTTCCCAGGTGCTCGCCGGTGGCAGTCTGCCTTGGCCATTTTGGGAGTTAGCGCTCCCAGCCGAAGGCCCTAGCGAGAAGAGCTTGGCTGGGAACAGGGGCCCGTTGCAGCGGACTGGCGGGTTCTCAGGAGGCACACTCTCCAAAAGTTTCGGTTTTCTTTTCTGCCACCTGCCAATACCTAACTAATACATCGCGGACTCGTGCGTCACGCTTCGCTTCACCGTGGGACGGGAAAGCTGCACCGGGTTGGCGATCCCTGTATCTGAGGTGTGCGGTGTGCCGGGGAATAAGCATCATTCTACCTACCTACCAGGCGTGGCAGGAAGGTACCTTCGTGCCTTGTTATTCGTACGAATACCAACCTTACACCGGGTAAGTTAGGTAGGAAGGAACGAATACTCCGTGGACCGCAAGGTACAATTTAACAGATGGGAGAGGGAAGGAAGGAACAAACACCCAAGTTGCAACTGCCAACAACCTGGGAGGAAATGACAATCGCCCGCCCGCCTTACCTCCCCGATCCTTAGACTCTCCCATCATTGGAGCTTCCAACCTTGACACCTCCCGTCCCTCCTTCCCTTTCCTCCATCCCTCCTCCTCCTCCTCCTCCTCCTCCTCCTCCTCCTCGAGTCCTCTCCCGTCTCTCGGGTTCTCAGCAGACCTCACTTCACAGTCACACCCTGAGCTCATCCCACTTGTGACCTGGCTCTCCTCTGGTGGGAACTTGCAAAGGCAAGAAATCAAACAACAAGTGCCCAAGCACCAAACAGAAGCAAGAGCAGGGGCCATGTGCCCGCTAAAGTAGTCTCAGAGATTGCGGATACACCCTCATATGGATAGTTCTGGGCCTATTGCTCGGGAACTGGAGCTTACACCACTTTACTGTGCTTACAAAATACACGTACCGACCAGGTTCCAATTTCCATAGGCTCAAGGTTGTAAGAGCAAGGTAGGCAGGCATTCGTTCTCCGTTCGCCGTACTCTATACTAACCCAGGAAAGTCCCCTCCAAGGTCCAAAAGAGCTGCCGTGCGGGCTGACAGAGCGCGGGAGCGACACTCAGTCACTTTCTCGACCCGAGTCCGCGCAAAAATAATCCTGACCATCACCCTACCTTACCTGACCTTGGACTTATTTACCTGGCCTTGCCTTGCCTTAGTCGCACCTCGACCTGCGCACCTCTTTTCTTTTCCCTTTGCTTCCCTCCCACCTCCCTCACCGGGCCTCACCTTGCAAATAATAATATTTTCCCTTCTTTGTTACTCTTGCTCCGTCCTACCTATTTCGAGCCTTCACTTTAACCCCCACCTCGACCTCCTTGGCCTCTGCTGCACCTGGCAAACCATCGCATACCTGGCTCCTTTACATGCGCTTCTCCTCCTGATGATGCGACCTTGCGACATACCCTCCTTTTCGCAACAAAACTCTCGCCGATCTTGCTCCGCCTAATACTCGACACCTGGCTACTTTCAGCCTTCGATCGCGAACCGATGCCCGAGCTACGCGCAGCAAAAACTACCACCCGATAATAATCGAGAGCACCTAGAGTCATGTGGCGGAGAGCGTACCTGTTCCTGGTGCTGGTCAGGCTGTGGTTCGCCCTGTCGCCCAGCTACCTGCACCCCGACGAGAATTTCCAGGGCCCAGAGGTTATCGCAGGTATGTTTGGCTTGTTTTGCAGCTGCTGCATCCCGTTGCCTGGGTAGAGCGTGCGCAGCTCTCTGTTTTGCGCCATGGAGCTTCCTCCCACGGAGCTCGGATTGAGTTTGGCGCTCCCTCTCGCTCAGCAGGACCTGAGCTAACGGCGTGGCGCAGGCCAAATCTTTAGTTACCCGGTACGGCACACTTGGGAATTCACAAACGAGCACCCGATACGAAGCGTCTTCCCCTTATGGCCCGTCTACGGCCTGCCCATGATGTTGCTGAGATGGCTGTGGATCGGTAACGGCAAGGATGGCGAGATCCCCCCAATCGCAGTCTTTTGGACACTTCGCGTTCTCATGTTCGTCACCAGTTTCGTGCTGGAGGATTGGGCCATCCATGAGCTCATCAGCTCTCCACGACACCGTCGCGTTGCTGTGCTTCTGGTCGCCTCGTCCTATGTCACATGGACGTACCAGACGCATACATTCTCCAACTCGGTGGAGTGCTTGGTTGTTGCATGGTGCTTGGTCTTAATCCAGCGCATTGTCGAGAGCCCAGTAAGGACCCCCTTGGCACGATCTTGTGGACACCACAACGTAAATGCTAACGCTTGTGACAGCAACAATCATCGCTTCTTGCTTCTACGATTCTCGGCATAGTGGCCGTCTTTGGATTGTTTAATAGGATTACTTTCCCGGCGTTCTTGTTGATTCCGGGACTTCGCTTGATACCCCATTTTCTCAATAGGTAGGACTGCCCAGGCATCATGACATCAGGGGACCGCCGCCCACTAACAATCCACCAGACCCATGTCCTTCGCCGTGACGGTGTTGGCAGCTCTCACGACTACCTTGGTCGCCATCACCCTGGATACGGCATTCTACCTCCCTGAACCCATCAAGTGGGCAGACCTCATCTCACGACCGGTCATCACGCCACTAAACAACCTCCTGTACAACATCGACACAGACAACCTTGCGCAGCATGGGCTGCACCCTTGGTACCAGCACCTGCTGGTGAACATCCCCATGCTGATCGGCCCAGCTGCAATGCTGCTCTTCACTCAGCCATACCTCTCGTTACGACTCTACTCGGCCATCTCGGGTGTCTTCGTGCTATCTATATTCCAGCACCAGGAAGCTCGATTTCTCCTACCCACCGTCCCGCTCATCCTCTCATCAGTTCATGTCCCAAAGAATCGGACTGTCCTCCGCGTGTGGATCGGGGTGTGGCTTGGTTTCAATTTGATCTTTGGCATTCTCATGGGTGTCTATCACCAAGGCGGCATCGTGCCGGGCCAGGTGTTTTTGAGCAAGCAGCCAGACGCAACGCAGGCCGTCTGGTGGAAAACTTATACGCCACCCATTTGGCTTCTTAACGGCAAGAATGAGGTGCTCACGACGCGCGACGTGATGGGCATGAAGGGCGATACGCTCCTCGAGGAGCTGACCAAGCTCGCGACCTGCGACACACCAGCGGACCGGCGCAACTCGGAGTATTTGAAGGAGAAGAACGGAACCTATCTAATCGCACCAGCATCAGCAACATGGATCGACCCCTATCTTCCCAACAAGGGACTGAAAGGCCTGAGGTTCCGCGAGGTGTGGCGCTACAGACAACACTTGAACCTAGACGACCTCGACTTTGGGGACGACGGCATCTGGAATACCCTGACAAGGGTGATTGGCAGACGTGGGCTCGTTGCCTGGCGTGTGACGAAGAGCTGCAAGTGAGGGCTATGGAGGAGATTTAAAAAGCAACGAATGAAAAGACTTGAACGTTTTGATGATTTGAAAAGTATCCGATTTTGAACAGCAAATGGTATCGTGACTGTGTGTCCGTCCTCCTTGTTGTGTAAGGTAGTCCCTGTTGCGACTAACCCCCTTAAATATCTCGAGTGCCGAACCGATGGCGCCAATTTTCAATCATGTTCACGAGCCCTTTTGTCTCGCGAGAGATTCCCCAGTACCCGTTACAATGGTAAGAGCCCCTTCCCCGAGTTCCGATATCATCCCATCATCTGCGAACAGAAACCTACAGCGCATAACCGAGCGCTTCGCAGACCCTCCCGTGCCGCCGGCATTTATCCAGAAATATGCCGATGACCATCCACAATGATCCAAACTGTGTTTCCTATTGCGTATTCCTGCTGCGTGAGGTAGGTACGATTGTAATGTACCAACACTCTCATGTCCCAAAGACACAGCTGGATGGAGACGAAGACGAATAGGGCGAAGACGACGACAAGTGACTCCTTCCTGAGCCTTACGCCGCCACGCTCGTCTTATTGACATCCACGACGAAATACCAGTTCCCCGAGACGTTCATCGTGCCCAGCTTACTCTTCATCCAGCAGACGTGGTTGCCGTAGTAATCGCCCCAACCCGCGCCGACGCAGTCGTCGCCCTTTGACGCGCAGAGGTCGATGCAGGCGGCCATGGTAGTGGCGTTCTCAGACGTCAGGTCGGTGGCGCCGTCGGCTGAGTTGAAGTCGTGGCCGCAGATCATGCGGAAGGTGCGTTTGGGGGCGTCGGGGGAGGAGTAGGTTGCGTTGTCTGCCGCAGGGCAGATGATTGTTGCGTTTTTGGTTGATGTTGCTGGGGTTGTTGTTGAGTTGCTGCTTGGGTTGTTACTGCAATGAGACTTCGGGTACGTGATCATCTGAGGAGATGGACGAAAGGCAGGAGGAAGTGAGATGAAAGTGATGTTTGAACAAGAGGAACGTACCCTGACGAAGACTTGTTGCCCGAACCGCTCTTCTTCATCGCCAAGCCTACTCCGAGGCCGACGGCGATGGCTGCCACGACGAGGACTATGGCGACGCCCATGACGATGTAGCACACCTTCCTGCGCATCCCACACATCTTGGCCTTCCCTTTACCGGACCCGTACCCCGGCGATCCGGGCGGCGGCTGGTGATACCCGGGGGGATGCTGCTGGCCCGCAGCGGCATAGTAATGCGGCGCCGCGGAAGTGATGGACGGCGAGGACGAGACCTCGAGGTTGGGGTTCTGCTTGTGGTAGTGATGCCACGATAACGGGTCGTCTGCGACCTCGGGGAAGGTTGTGGTCTTGGCTTCCGACTGGTTGTAGGGTGAGACTTCTGGGAGGTGGATATCGTTGCGATTCCAGGCGTTTGATTCGACTACTTCGAGGCCAGATTCGTAGACCTGTTGCTGCTGTTGTGGTTTCGTCGTGGATGCTGTTGTGTTTGTTGGCGCCGTCATTTTGAGAAACTTCTCGGATGCCCTTGGCCTTGGGCCCTCCATGGCGTTCCCTCCCCTCAAGAGACTTTAATGGGTTTTTCTGTGTCCGACTCTCCGTCTCCTCTTTGCTCCTCCAATCTGCTGCGCCTCCCTGTTTGAACGAGATTCCCTCGCTCTTTGCGATATGTCTGCCTGATTCCCAGCGAAAAGGAAGTCTTTCGGATCAAAGTGAATGATTGTTTGAGACAACCCCCCACAGCTTGTAAGTGTATCGCCAAGAGATATCCGTATGATGCGAATAGGTTAGAACCCCTTTTGTTTGCGGAGGAGACGACCGAGTCCAGCCAAGTGCCTGAGCCAGGGTATGTATGTAGGAAGGAAGGAAGAAAATGTGGATGCAAGTGAGCAAGACAAGCGAAAGGGGAGAAGCGTCAAGGAAAATGGAAAGGACTGCCGCCATACGAATAACCCAGGTCGAGGTCAGCACTGTAAGCAAGACCAAAAAAAGCAAAAAACGGGTTACCTGTGTGCCTATCCCACTGGCGGACTGAACAGCCCCCTTTCCGGGGCAAGCTTATAGTTTAATACGATGAGTTTGGCGCGGTTCTGTTTCCTCTCAGCCCCGGGGGTTTGTGCCTTATTCAGGTCCCAGGATTGGATAGCTCAGGAAATCAATCGGCTGGCTTGCTTGCCGGTCCTCCTTAAGGCTTACGGAGTATACGGGCTGAAGAAGGGTGGGTTCCCATGCAGGCCGTGGGATGTGTGATCGATGAAGACGGGGTATTATCTACGGATACCTCGATACGCGCCGCATTGCTTGATTCTTGGTCCAGAATCAAGGGCTGATCCTGAATCCTGCCTCAGACGTGCATACTTCTGCTGAAGTTTGTCACTTCCCTCGGCGAGTCTCGCGTCGCGTGTATAGCCCATTGCCGAGCTGGAGGGACGGGTAACTGACCGAGCGAGTCGACCGGATCATGTTAGCGCGCGTGGGATTTTCGCGCTTGTTAGTTCTAAACTTCTCGCAGTCTCCTTACTTTTTTTCTTTCGTGCTCATTTGCTATTGCCTGCCGCTACGGTCTGATACTCATTGCCTTTTACCTCACAAGGCGTTTCCTGCCCACGGGCCTCCCCTTTTTCAGCCCCGTTCGTCAGCCACCAACTCTAAACGACTCCGGGAAGGCGCGCGTGGAGAGAGAGTCGGGAACAGGGAAGGGGCTACCAACGCGGGGACCTGCCGTGAGGCAGAAGGGGGCTTGGCGGGCCTTTTGAGGTTCGAGAAGACGCCTTTCTTTCGATGAGATGCCCTATCGTCTCACAGGAAGACGGCGTCAAAACTTGATGTATCGATCCTCCGGGGCTCCGCATCTCATTTGCGGGAAGATTAGCGGCCAGTGGCAGCGTAAACGTCGTCTTGATGGTCGGAAATGGTTGGGAACTATTGCATTATAAGTGAAATGGTTTCGAAGAGTAAGCTGGTCTACGGAATACATCATATCACAGAAGACGTCTGCGCGAGAGCTAGGTATGTAAGGGAAAAAAGACGCCGTCAACACTCTCAAGTTTGAGCCAAGTGTGTTTCCTCTTGGGAGCGAGCCAGCCAATTGGGCCTCTTGATTGGGCGAATTACACGTGTTGTAGATAATCGTGAAGATTGATCTATTGATTGATCTCTTGTATCCGTAGGTATTCAGAGGTAAGTGTTCCAACTTCCAAGTGCAGACAGGTAAATCCCTCATCTGCAGTGCTGAGATTCCAGTACTCTCATTGGCTGGTCTCACCCTGAGTATTATGGGACCAGACTGCCCATTCTGATGAGAGCTTCTCCGACCAATTCCCCCTCCACACCACCACCACAGTGACCACACTTCCACATTTCCAGTCCGGGCGAATGCGATGCGGTTGCCTTGGCGAACCGTAAACGATCCCCTGTAAGGATACCGCCGTACGTTGCAAGTCAGCATCCCATCTCAGGGATTTGAAGAGGGGGAAAGTCTGGGGGACGTGAAGACGAGGGCCACCTGCCTCAGGGCCTGCACCATTTCGAGCACTTGCATACCACCATTCCTATTTATCCCGTTAAACACCACTACATGACACCTCTTTGACACCTCTTTGACACCTCTTGGTACGGATACAGATATGGCACCGGGTCATGGCCATCGCCGGTTGTCATGGTCATCTCTTCCGTCTTGCCATGCCCCTCCCGTGCCATTTTCTCCTTGGGTCCGTCCGGCCAGTCCCGCACCGAGTCCGCCTTCACCCACACCATGGTGTACTCCGTTACCTACCTTCTGAAGCGGCAGTCGCGCAGTCATACCACACCCGCGCACTCAATCTAGAGTATAAGGAACAGGATCAGCAGCGGCGAGAAAGAGACCAAGAAGCGTTAGAAGCACAAGAAGAAGCACAAGAGGACGAAAGAGGAAGTAGGGGACGAGGCAGAGGCAGTCAAGAGGCACAGGGTCAGGCAGAGGCTGCTGCCGCCGCCGCCGCCGTCTTTGCCAGTTACCTCAAGGTACGGAGTACCTACTCACATCAAGGCAGGTGCAAGTGTGGCCCATGGCACGGAGTAGCCGCGCCGCCTCTCGCCCTGCCATGCATCACTTTCTCAGTCTCACCTCCGATTTTTGAATGCGGCACGCCCAAACATTAAAATGGCATCCTGCGTCCGCCCCGGCGCCTACCACTTCACCTTGCCACCTGTCCCACGGTTCCTTCTCTACTCTACAATCTTTGGAGAACTTCATTGTGTCTCCTACTCCCCCAGCCGGTCAGGCGACGTATTGCTCTCCTCCTTGACTACCAAGGCAGGACACAGCTTGCGCTCTGCATACCACTGACACGGGCAATACCTGCAGACGGGACTCCCCAGTACGAACCTGGGTTGCCAGAACGAAGTTGCCAGGCCACTTACACTCGAGCGATTGTTGCTGCGTCTTCCTTCCCGCCAGCGCAAAGTCGATCTGGACTCTGGAACTTTTGCCTTCAAGATAACAGAAGGCACAACTACCTCTGCTACGTCTGTCTGGTCCTTCGACTCTGCCTGACCGGAATCTGGAGCCCTGGACAGATTATCCGTACGAATCCTTTGCGACCTTTCCTAGTTGGCGGCCGAGTCAACGCATGCTTCCCCGCCAATCACAGCCAGCTCGTCAAGGTACCAACACTTGAACACACAGAGTCTACCTACCTTAGCCTCCAGGCTACCTTACCGTTCCAAATCCCCCGTTCCCAAGGGCCTTCAACATTTCAGCCACCTCGCATACCTTAGGTTACATAAGGAAGCTCCGACGACCAGTCCCGCACACCCGTAGCCCGTTCACTGCCCTGAAGGCTGAAGGCTGAATCCCGATTCCGCCCGCCTCAAGCCGACCAGACTCCCGACCTCTGCAAGTCTGAACTCATCCACTTCGGGCTTCACCCACCGAAGCGAAGGGCCGCACCACCGACCAACCGCCGTCATCTCCAAGGCAAGCCGCCAAGAGAGCACCGCTTGATCCAGCTCCCCGTTGAGGTGGCAGTGCCTCCGTTTTATTGCAGCTCTCTACTCCGTACACCCTGTCCATACGCAGTACGGAGTACACACAGAGTAATAGGGCCTACGGATACAAAGACAGTTTCGACCTTTTCCCCTTGCCTTTCGGGAGTCTTGTTGGAATCCCACTGCCAAGGAAGGTAAGTTACGGAGTACCTTCGTTCGGCCATAGTCTCTCCGGCCGTGCCTTGCCTGACACATACTGCAGCCAGGCTACGGAATACGGATACCTGTCAGCGAAGACGTGCAGACTTGGACGCCGTTCCGCTGCAGACTGCAGACGTGCCATCGTGCCAGCAAAGAAGGGTGGAAGAAGGGTGGAAGGGAACTTCGAACCCCCACTCTGCTGCGCTGCGCTTCGCTTCCAACCCCTCCGATCTTCACACCCTCCAGGGCCTCAACGACTACGACTGGTCGGCTGGCTTACCCCCCCGCGTCTCCGAATCACAGTCTCGATTTCGTCCCGCCTCCCTGCAACCCCAAAAACCCGGACACTCCTTCGTCCACTAACACTAGCAGGCGACCAGGCGAGAGAAGAGCTGGGAAGGCGCCAATACCGGCAATCGCTGCACTGGTGACTGCGCAGTCTTCGTCGAGGACCACGGTCCGCCACATACCGACCACATCCTGTTTGTCGCACATGCTCAGCCCTTGCGCCCCAGGTTCAGGCCCTCTTGCGACCCTCTTGCGACCCTCACTGGCAACGACACTCTGGCCAAGGACGCCCAGCTACGGTTTACCTCATTTGTCTACGACACTAGGAGCTCGTCTACCCCTAGACTTGCTGAGCAACCGTATACTGTCTACTCTTGCCATCCGTCGTTGAATCTTCCTGGGCTGTCCGACTGCTGAGAACAGAATCTCAGCTGTAGGTAGTCTACCTCGCGTGCGTTATTAACTTGGTTGAGGCTTGAACAACTCGAGCAAGCCCAGACACAAGATTGGAAAGGCGATCAAAAATTCTCCACTCAACACCCACCACTTCGACACTACTGTGTGTAGAGTTGCCCACTTGTTCCGGACGTTGACATCGGTCAATTGGTCCAAAGTACCTCCGTACCTCGAAGCTTGGCCGACCCTGCGACCTGCCCTCGTCCGTCTTAGGTTCCTCATCTCTTTTTTCTTCCGTTCTGATTTTTATGAAAATCTTTTAGCAGCTATCCGTAAACCCCACGCCACGGATATCCAATGTCCTATTCATAGACCTCCACAGTCCACACTTTGTTGTGCTTGGCAGTCGCTGTCACTCCAGTCTCTCGAGTCTCCCCTCTTCTTCACAAGAAAAGAAGACACACAAGAGGTTCCGTCACCCTCCCGGACGGACAGCACAAACCCTTGGCCAAGTTCCCACCACCGGGCACACCTACCACCACCAGCAGTACCTACCTCGCCGTCCAAAAACTCCAGACCACCACCAGCCGTACAGCCGTCGGGTAACAGACGTAAAGTAAGGACAGACACCCAGAAACCTCCAGCTTCCGCTACCGGCCGGCCCGGCTTTTAGCCATCGCACCCACGGCATCCAACCCAACCAGGGGGCACTGGACTAACACGGCCCCCCCCCCAGCCCACGCCAAACATTCTGTGACGAGACCGAAGAGCTCCCGCTCCACGCTCCACGCTCCAGGGCAAGAAAATCCCACTTTCCAGGCCGACCCGACCTACCATATCCTCGTCCTCGACTCGACCGTTTCTTTCGACGCCTGCCGACCGCCGATTGTCTTCGATCTCTCTCCTTCCCAAACTCTCGTGGCGGGGGAACTTAGAATCGCTTTTTTCCTCCCTACCATTCCTTTCCCATTTTGCTAGTTGTTTTGCTTCGCCCGACATGATTATCGACGGGGAGAAGTACGCCTGCGAGGCCTGCGTTCGGGGTCACCGTGTTAGCAACTGCCAACACTCTGGTAAGTTCTTGGGCCTTTCTTTGCAACTCTCTTTTCATTTCAATTGCACCCATGCAGTTGCAGTTCAGTTAGCCATACCATAGGCATAACCACAACATAACCCCAAGCTACTACCTCTTCACTTTGGGGGTTCCCTTCTCCAATTACCTACGCCACTGAGCATCGACTTCCTAGCAAACATGTGCAGCTAACCGCCTGTCTTGCTGCAGATCGTCCCCTTCAACATATTAACAAGAAGGGACGCCCCGTCTCCCAATGTCAACATTGTCGCTCCATGCGCAAGTCTCGCTCTGCTCACATCAAGTGCGATTGTGGCGAGAAGACGAGCAAATGCGCTCACCTGCAACCTTTAGCCGACGGCCATCGAGGTGAGTCTGCTCTGTGCTTTTGAAGAACGCACAATCGCTAGGTTTCATGATGAGAACATTACCCATCTAACACTCATGTTCCCCATGCGCAGAGACTTGTTGCTGCAACCACGGTGGTCGCTGCACTTGTAGCCACAAGAAAGAACCAGCCCTCGACACCGTCCCCGAATCCGACTCAGACAAGGAAGCTCTCCCTCCTCGACCGAAGCCGCCCGTCCGCAGGCGGCGTGCGAACACGGTCCATTCTGATGGCATGTTGACCTTTGATGAGCATGGCCACCACAAACCAGCTCACAAGCTCAACAAGGCTTCTCAGAAGTGCGGGCCTTATCAACTCAACCGTGTCAATTCCTTGCACAGCACCAGCAGCTTGGGCAGTCACTCTCCGGAGCGCATCAGCGACATCCCTCTCAAGGATCCCGTATCAGGCCGTGTCGCACCTCTCCAACAGAGACTAGTCAAGTCTGAAGCTGCCTCTCCACTCATGAGAGGTTCATCGAGTTTCCAGCAACTTAACAACCAGCTTCCGCCCCTTGATCTTTCTGGCATTGAGTACCCAACATACGTACCCAACGCCTCTTTTGACCTGTTTGGCGGATCGGGAATGTCGTCGGATCATGATGCGCCTATCTTTAGTGCTGGGCTGAGCGCTGCGTCCGTGGATTGGAGCCACATCGATCTCACTGACAGGACGGATAAGTTTGCTCCCTCAAGTTACAGCCAGGCTGGCGCTCAGAGCTTCAATGGCATATTCGACTTTGGTACGGGCTCCGAGCCCGCTCCCACCCTCGCCGCGACTACTTCGACATCTGGAGAGGTCTCTGAAGTAGAGGACAACTTCATCGCTGGCGACAGTGACTACGACGGCTTCGGCACTGGAAGCAACAGCTTTATCCACCCAGCAAGTTTCCTTGCTACCAGCGCAGACCTTAGCACGATTGACTACGACAGCTTCGCCAAATCGAACAACAAGTACATGGCGGCTCCTTCTTCATTTGATGACGGCGGCCCGATTGCTGGCGGTTCCCTCACTTTTGACGACGACCCAGCGTTCTGGGGTCAGCAGTTCAACGACGGCATCGCCACATACCAAGAATCGCCAGACGGTCTGCCTGCGTTTCAGCCGGAACCCTGGACAATGCCTTAGGCGTTTTGATATGATGACAGTTTCGACGCTTGCACGCCATGATATCCAGTCCATCGACTTTAGACGGCAAGCACAGGCGCAAGGAATGCGAGCATAGGCGGGACGAGACTTTGTGGTGGACGACTGGATAGATGCCCGCTACGATATCCATACCTGGAGTTGGCGTAGATCTCTTGTTTTTTTTTCTTCAATTTTGTTTAAACTTTATTCGGACAGCATTAGAGCCCGTTTCTTTCTTATGTTTTGACGTTAGGCTTGACCATGGGGCTTGAAAAAGAAAAAAGACGGGGCGGGCGGCTCAAAAAAGAGTGACAGCATTTCATTATCATTACTATCATCAACTGGACGTGGCGCAAAGGCAAATGGGTAGCATCTGGGTGAGGCTGTTGGGTATGGTTTGGTTAAAGACGACAACGAATTATGTATGTAGGCCTTGGAAACCGGATTTCGGTGTGCAATCGGCTCACCTTTACGACATATCGTTTTCCCTCACTGCACATGGACAAGCTGTATATAGACGTTCGAGCGGTATAAATTCCTTGTTGAGGCGCGAGACAATCAAAACAATATCTATATCCAAGCGGTCGCGAAGGCGCATGTACGCAGTATGGTTTCCACACAGTAACAGACAGTGGCTTTTTCCGCGCGTGTCCAGAGTCTTTGCGTCCAATTGCTCTTCTCTCCCCCTCATACGGGCTGCAAGTGGTTTCCCCTTCCCTGACGACTAGCTGGCAGGTCATGGAGAGGAGTGGGAATGGCTCAGAGGCGAGGGTGAGTATGGGAGTCGCTGATCGAGATTCGCAAGTCCGTAATAGTGGATAAAAGGGTTGAACTCGTCTCTTCATTGGCAATTCAAGAAACAATCTCTTTGTGAATTACTCTACTATGCGCTTCGTCCACCCATTCAATCAAAAGACCCAATGCCTCACTGGCTGCTTTTTTTCATTTTACTTTTGACAAGCATGATTTTGGTAATTCCCCTCATCATTAATTGTCAAGGCAAGTTGATAACACAGCCTAGCTACGGGATACCATAGTGCCCCGTCAAAACGGTGCACGCACCGAAAACAAAAGTGACACCGATGGTGGATGACGAATGCGCAATGAGATGAGAGAGGGCCAAACGACCTAATAAGATCAAAGCTTCGTAGCTTCGATGACGGGGGCCCACATCAATCAGATAAAAGGGCCTTGCAATAGCGATTGAGTTATGCGGCCTTGGGGGAGGGGGGAGGGGGGAGCCACGGAGCCCGGAGGCTGGGTTGTTGTTGTTTAGACGAGGGCTTGCATCTGTTCTGTGCTGTATCCGTGTTAATACAGATGGGGGAGTAATCCTACAAAGTGGAGAGAGAGAGAGAGAGAGAGAGAGAGTACCGTGCCGCTGCCTCACCATCGTGTGCTGCTGCTGATGCTTGTGGTGGCCTACCGGCCATTTGCTCGTTGCTACAAATAGATACTACCTTACGCAGTACTATGACCTGCCTAGGTAGGTACCCGAGTGTTTACATGAGCCAAAGTCACAGCAAGAAAGGCAGCAGCTGAACAAAAGGCCGGCAGTAGGCGCGGGCAGACAGCTGCAGCCTGCAGGTCGTCCCTTCACGAACTACATGTACGGGTGTACCTTAGGGCTTTCAGGGCTCTCTTGGGGGAGACCCTCATTTCCTGTTCCTGCATATCATCCAGGCAGGCAGGCTGGCTGGCTGGCTGGCACCGCCTCACCATCGGCGTTTTCCACCATGTCAAAACATGTGTCTGCGACTCTGCGCTGCGTGAGCCTGCCGTGGCCGCCTCAATGGGTGGTTTTCCCACCTGGGGCACGGGGTGATTGGTTTAACGGTTCGACGGTGGTCACCGAATGTGACGCTGTGGCCCGGAAATCGTAGCCCAGGTCCTGTCCAATCTCCATCCAGGGAAGTTCCCCCCTTTGCTGCATGGCACGGAGAGTGCCAAGTGAACCCAGTGTCCCACTGCCCACCGTTGTGTTAATAGGTAATACATAGGTAATTCTCCTCCTCGGACCTCTCCTCCTCTTTTCTCGGGGAGGCGCGATCTCGAGTGAGAGGGGCTCCACTGACACTGGCGTTACGGGAATCGAAGAAGGATTGGGCAAGTTGCAACGGCGATTGATGAACCCACCCGAGCTCCGTGAGAACCGTGTGAAGTGGTGACTTACAATCACCCAGTTCCATCAGACCTTCGGTGTCCAAGCTCCAGAGCACGGGCAGACCTGAACCCCACTGAAGAGTTGTAAGAAGTTGTGGATTGTGGACTCTAGGGATACCTACGCACACTTGGTAGGAGCGGAGGCTGACGACAAAGTACGGGATGCCAGAATAAGTGAACAAGTAATTGTTAGCATGCTACGGAGTATGCTCGCCGAAACGGTTTATCTGGGCCGGCAACGGTGGCTGGGTTGGTGGAGGCGCCGCTGCCGAGCCAGAGAGAGAGAGCGAGAGAGTGTATGGTGGGTGTGTGTGCGACTATGTGAAGTGTCATCACCTGCTGTCAACACAAGAGGGGGGTCGTCGACGCGGGGGGGGGGGGGGGGGGCTGTACAATTCCCCCGTGGCAGTAGATCATCTCCGGTGCTCGGGAGTTGGGACTGCAACGAATCGATGTACGGATAGACGGCCTACCCCGAAACTTGAGTAGATGCCGTGTGCGATGCGAGTGTGTGTGTGTGTGTGTGTGTGTGTGTGTGTTCGTTGGCCTTGAGTCGCGGCTAACGTGCCAGAGACTGAGAATAAGTCATGGAACGGCAAACTCGGCAGTGAGAGAAGTCCCGGGGGGGCTGGTGAGTGGGTGGTGGGACAGGATTCAGAAATAGAATACGGTAATACTTGCTTCCAGAAACTCGCGGCACTGTCCCATCACGGCTTTTCCCATCAAAGTTGGAACCCAGTTTCGATACGTTGTCAATCAATTAACTCTGACGGCATCCATCACATGGTTCTTCCTGCATGGGTCCAGCAGGCGCGCGGTGCGCCAACTAGCAGGTTTTCCCATGTGCCACTTGAAGATCGAAGAGCGCTTGGGGGGGGGGGGGGTGAGGGGGGAGGGGGTGGGTTCCCTAGCAGCTTACCTTACTCTCGGGTCAACTCTTCACCGCCTTCTACCTCGAGCCGACGACCAAGTTCCCAGGACCACCCCCCTCCCGCGCGGCGCTTCGGTGATAACGAGAGGCGAGCTGGGGAAATGGCATGGGGATTCCCAAACGAGAGCATCCGGTGCATACATTTGTGGCGTCATGGTATTGAGCCATCGACCACGACGGGCATCAACGTGAGAATAGGCTTGGGCATATAGGGACGTGGCTTACAGAGAGAAATGATTGTACATTACACTTCTTATTAATACAAGCCAATTCTGAGCCACCCACACAGGCTTCGCAAGCCTCTGTATGTTTCCCCGGTTGATAGAAACCTTGCAGGTAAACCACCTGACTGAATCATATCGACCTTCTGTGCAATGACTACCTTTGGCATCCTTCCTACATGGCTACACTCTCCCACCGAGGTGTTGCTATCAACATCTTCAATAGTACCAGTAGTAGTTTTTGCCAGTCGCTTCTATGTGTTCCGCATGGTCCGTGTTCTCCGGATTGCAGAAGTATTCCTGTTTGTCACCATACTGCTCTGGAACCTGATGCTCCAGCAGCAGTGGGTGCCCCTGCACCTGCATTTCTTCCTTTCCATGATGTCGATGATGCAGTACATGGAGTGGCTCTGCAGCATCCCTCACCTCCTGTGGCTGCTGACAATCCGTTTTTTGCTGCTGTTGGTGCTGCTGTTCGATCTGCGCAAGATGAGAAGGTTCCTAGGCTGCTTGTTGAGTTGCGCGGACAACATTGAGATAACCGACAAGCAGTAACGGCCGAGGGTCGAAGCCCATGTCTTCGTAGCCGGGCGCAGTGCGGTAGGCGGGTGCCTCCTCTGTCTTTTCCACCGCCGCTGATGAAAGAGTTGCCAAATCGGCCAGATGCTGTAGACCTTGGCTCGCAGCTGCCTCCATGGCTGACGGAGGTGGGGCTGCGGCAGTATTGGTGGATGGACGAAGGTGATCAGCAATCTTGTCCCTAACCAGTCCATCAAAGACGGAAGAAGGAAGTGAAGAATCTCGGAATTCACCAAGAAGCCTTGTGGCCTCCTCTCTTGTCTTGTCCACCTTTACCAACTCGACTAGCGTTAGCACCGCAAGAACTGTAAAGTGATGGTGCAAGGGCGTGATGAGCTGTGAATGGCCAATCAGGAGGTTGATCAACTCTTGACTGGGCCACAAGACGTCGGTCGATTTGGCAGATGGGTTGAGTAGATACGCCAGTAGGCGGCAATGCCAATAGACCAGATGGACAACAGGATAAGTGTCGGGCTCGATATGGGCAGGCAGATCCTCGCGAAAGTCTTCTACCCACGCATCCATGAAAGAACCCACCATACGGTCTGCAAAGGTTGAGTTGAGGGGCTCTTGGAAGTTGGTAATCATGGATGATGCACGGCTGAGGAACTTAGATGCACCTGCTATAGTCAGTACCCTGCAATACTCTCACTTATCGACACGAGAGTTCTTTTCCCTATTGAAAAGAGAAGAAAAAGAGGGGAAAACTTACGGATCAGCAGGTACGGCACTTCGCCAATGACTGCCTTGAGGCCAGGTGCCAGAACCACGCTTTCATCTCGGATCAATGAAGGCACCGCAGCACCCACAGCATTCCATCGATCGAGCAAAACCAACGACCACCAAATCCTGACACGAAGCTGGCTTTCGTTATCTGGGCCAACTTCAGCCTCGGAAAGATCTGCTTTGGCCTGGTACAGCTTCAGGGTGTTGGCGCTCGCTACCGCTCTGCCCAATAGGGATTCCTTGGGTGCGCCGATGGAGCCCAGTGGTCGAATGTCAGCCTCAATAATCATGAGGAGAAGTGTCTGAAGGAAAACGAGGTTGGCAACAGCAGTCCGAGAGGTCGAATCGCTAGCCTCCCATTCTACTAAGAGCGTATGGGCAAGGCGTACGTCTCCAGGGGTGCCCGACTGGAACGAAGGGAATGAGTGGATGGTTCCCGACAGAGCCTCTACGAATGCTTCCCGCAGAAGACCGGGGCACTGGGCCAGATATTCTTGGATTAGCGCCCTGCTGCTCGGCAGAAATGGAAAGTAAGGATGGATCATAGTGAGGTAGCTAAGAGTTGTATTAGTCGCGTTTTCAAAAGGTCAAACATTTCATAGGAATTGACCACATACCCGTTGAAAACCTCTTCGTCCACATCCCGCGCCTGGTCGATATCAGGCATGTCAGCCACAGGGCCATCCATTGATGCAACGGGGGGTCGCGGCTGCATGTCATTCTTGATAGGCAAAGCCATAGGCTGAGGTGCCAAGCCATTGGTGGCGAAGGGGGATGGCTGGTAACGATCAGACGGTGTTGTTATAGGCTGAAGCGGACGAGGCTCGCTGCCCCAGACGACCTGTCTCTGTGGCGCTGGGGTAGTGAGGTCGGTACTGGAGATGCTGGAGAATGGTCGTTTCCGGCTGGTGTCCTCACCAGGGCCTGACAGGGAGTTAAGCATTGCTGCCGCAGAGGTCCAGTTTACCATTGACTCGGGTGGCAATGACTCACTTTGGATCTCCAACTTGCCCTCAATGCTGTTGATCCTGTCGGCAAGTTCTTTGATGTATCTAAGGAATTTTGTCAGTCTGTGAACGTTGTAGATACAAAAAGCGTGTACCGTTCTCAACTTACCCCTTGCTTGGGCCGCGCTTCTGAGGAACACGGCTGAACATGCAGCGGATGCCAGACCGCTTGCAGTTGGAGCATGGGCTGTCTCCAGCATCTGACTGGGCATCACATTTGACCTTCTTTCTCCGGCACTCGTCACACGCGCGAGATACCTTGGACCGTTTTCTAGGCGGGGTACTATCACCAAGGGCGTATGGCTGAGCAAGATGATGATGGTCCATGGGCATGGACATAGGCATGTGCTGCTGTAGGGACTCGGGCAATGCTTCCTCGGGCACGTAAGAACGAGAGGCAGGCGGGAGGGGAGGGTGCTGATGAGGGTGCTGTTGCTGGTGCTGGTGCTGGTGCTGGTGCTGGTGCTGGTGCTGGTGCTGGTGCTGCTGAGCCTGTGTCTGAGCCTGCGTCTGCGGTTGCGTCTGTGTCTGGGCCGGGGTTGGGGCCTGTGCCTGTGCCTGTGGCTGTTGTTGTTGGGGTTGAGGTTGCTCCGAATGAGAATGGGAATGAGGATTGGGCATGATGCTACGAAGACTCGGATCTTCGACGTTCATGCCGGGATCTGTGACGTGCATCATGGGCTCTGCTGCAAGATCCTGGCCAAGCTGGGCAGCCAACTGCAACTCCTCCACACTGGCGGAGTGTGCCGACGGCTGCTGTGGCGTGGGCGGCGGCTGTTGCTGGTCTTGGTGTTCATCGTCCCGCGTATCCGCGTGATAGTAAGGGCCGCTGTCTTGAGCCTCGGCCGAAGGCGAAGGATAGTTTTGCATTCGATCGGCTTCCTGGAGTCGCTCCTCTGGCAAAGGGGAAGGATAAGTCGGAATGCGCTCCTCGTCCATTCTCTCATGTTCCAGACTCTCGTGTTCCAAACTCTCGTGTTCCAGTCTCTCGCTCTCCAGTCTCTCGTGCTCCGGTCGTTCATCCATCCTTGCGTCGTGGAGTGCCTCTTCTTGTGTGCGATCGTCGTTCATGCCGTCTACCTGGATGTCCTCCTCTGGCAGTCGGTCCTCTCGCAAGCCGTCTTCATGCATTCTGCTGTCGTCTTCCAGTTTGCTCTGTTGGAGATCTTCCACCTTCAATCTCTCTTCCTCTATCGTCTCGCCTTCCTGCGTCGAAGTCATGGCGACAGATGCCTATGGCGGGATGTGTGAAGTCGACCACTATCGATTTCGTTTCGCGACACTACTGCGCGACACAGTAGGATCGGTTACTCTGGGCTCCCGGATGTAGGACTGGGCATCAGCTGGAAAGATGGCGGGTGAGCGACGGGAGGATTGCGTCAAAATGAAGACAGCACTCGTTGCGCGACGGCAAGCGGGAGATAGACGTAGGAGTCGCAGGCTTTCGCAACAGAGAGGCGCGTCAATGTAAATGTGTAGTGCGAGTTCGTGCATGCACAAGAGCGCGTCGCGATCGGGTTGCACGACCAAGCGGTGAGTCCTCGAGCTCGAGGCGGACTTCAATTGACTGTAGAAAAAACTATTTGTTTAGTATCTGTACTCTCCTGGCTTTTGTGAAGTTTTCTCTTTTCTTCCCCGTTGTGACGCGACAATTCGGAATGGTAGCTTGCATCCTCAAAAAGTTTTCCTATCCATTCGCGCGACAAGCTCCAGGTAGGCGCGAGTCGCGGAATTCAGCTGTGATGCGAGCAGTTCTGTAGCCATCGTCAATCGCAAGAGTACGACAACGATGGCATCTGCGAGGATTTTCATTCATCGCAGCAGTGCCGCCGCAACAGCAGCAGGTCACTCGGGCAATAAAGCGCGTGGAGGTTGAGGGAAAATAACCATTCGGGTTGACTGACCTCTACTCTCTCTTCAAAAGATAGTCCGACGCGGGCTGTCGTGATGGATCTGCTAAGCAGGCGATCTGGTGGACGGAATAGGAAGAACCAGGCTGCCGATGGAGGTTGGAAAGGCGTTGATTGATCCGGGTTGCGCTGGAGTTTTGACCTTGGGGATTCTCTGTCAGCACAGGGCGGGCTTTCCTGGTTCGTCAGGGTTTGTTCGGAACCGGGGACGTGGAGGGTGGACACTTTGAGTCGAGCATGGGCCCGACGCGCTTGACTGGAAGAATTTTTTTCTGGAGATGCCGGGAAAACCACTGGGGTGATGGGTCGGCAAGTGTGGGAAGGTACCTAATACTTCGTACACCACCGTTGAAAATACGTAGCTGCTTCTTTCCGTCCGTGCGTCTCCAAGGAGCTTGGGCCACCTCGCCGAGTTTCGAGTCTCTCCAAATCTCCACGGGATGGGAGAAGAGGTACAGGTATTCACAAACAAACTATGTAGACCTACCTAGGTAGCTTGTGAACATAGATGAGCCCCAATATCTTCACAATGTGCCTCCAATTGATTATACGCGCAGCAGGAAACAATCGTAGCATCGGATTTCAAGTTCGGCTTTATTCTTAGGGTATCTCAGTCGCCCGGGTCATCCATCCTATCCCTAATCCACCAGGAATCCTCCGCCACCCTCATCTTCCTCCATATCATATTCCTCCGTCACGTCGCTCAGCATATCCTCGACTTCGTTGCCCTCTTCTGTCCTGAGATCATCATCCTTTCCCTTGGTCCCAGACCCGTCTTCGGCTCCAGCAGCTTGCTCAACTGCGCCGATGGTCTTAAGCTCGTCCTCGGCATCAACAAGGAAACCACCCCCATCAGCCTTCACCTCAGAATCGACGGCGCCCTTGCCTATATGTGCATTGTGGGCAGCAGAATCGATGTTTCTCTCGAAATCAGAGCCATTCGTACGCTCCCTTGTTTCAGCCCTGATCACGAGTCCTGTACTGGTCGATGTCTGCGCAGGATCGCCCATCATGACGCCATCTTCGACAAGGAAACCTCCGCCCTCCTCTATGTTGTACCCCTCTGAACCCTTATCCACATCGGCCAGGACGGATTCAGTCAACTTCCTTTCTTCCTCGGCCCGCTCCTCGGGTTCGGCGCCTGCCCACACGCGCTCAAAGATCCGGAGTGCCACAAGAAACCGCCTCCAAGTGCGGATGGCGACCAGAGATCGCTTGCTTTGCTCTTCCTGCGCGTCTACATCCTTGAACCCAGTCATCGCCGCGCGTACGGCTTCCTCGTACTCCTTTGCGACCAAGACGCCGTTGAACACCGCAGTTCCGTGTTTGCCTTTAAATTGAAATCCTGACAAAGCTGGCGCGTAGTCGATTCCCAGCACGTAGGCAGCTCTGGCAGCTGTGTCGAACTCATCGAGGATATGGACTCCTCCCTCGGGTACCATACTTTCCACATAAATGTCGATGTTGCCAAACTTGTTCTTTGGAATTCGCCCGTTGACGACCGGCGGTGCGCGGTAAATATCTGTCTGATCCTGCGTGAAAACTGGTGTTCCTGCGGCATTGCGTTCGTCTCCACCATAGCCATCGTCGGCGTACTCGCCTGGTTTCGCGTTGGACCTTCGCGGTAGAAACTTGACCGGAACCTCCATAGGCTTGACTTCGCGACCCATGCGATACCACTTGTCCCTGCTTCGGGCAATTCGGACGTCCTTACGTCGATATACTTTTTCCAACGGAGCTCTGCTACCTGCTGCTACCGTTCCTGCCGGCTGCGCGTCTGGCGTTAGGACTTCGTTGCGCCTCAGGTGCCTCTCCAACGCAAACACCGGATGGTCTTTAAAGTCTGCCACATTTCGCGGCATCGGTTCGCGCGCTTCAATCGCATTCAGCTCGTTGTCTTCGATTTGGTCAAGATCGGTCAGCCGACGCCGGCTGAATGGCTTCAATGCCTTGCGCCACCATCCGTCACCACGTTCAACGACTGTCTCAATGCGCAGACGACGTGTCTTGGCCGTGTATGCCTTGGCATATCGTCTAGTGACGTCTCGGACTGTGCCATCAGTATCGAAAGCAATGACATATGTGAGAGAGTTCTCCTTGTCGGTTGCCGGGGGTTCCAGTTGCTTGGGTTTCCACATGGAGTTCGTCACCAAAGGGTCTACGGGCTGCCATTTCTGGTGGCCTACGTCTAGCACTTCCACCCAGTACACCGGAAAGCTCGATTCGCGAATCTTCACGGGAGCCTCTACCTGTCGCCTTTGAGTCGGTGAAGTTGACGTCGTTGGTAACTGATAGGCTGCAGCGTTCGGGTGGCCTAATCGACGGAGTGGTGAAGTCAGGGCAGAGGCGGAAGACGAAGATTCTTCGGCACCCGGCTGGTATTGTAGTAATTGAGACCTTATTTTCTCCTCCTTGGTAGGCTTCTTCGGATGCATTGCGTCTCTGGGTTTTGGAAGAGTTGGACCGGCTGACCCAAAAGACAGTGGCTGCAGTGAGCAGACCAACCGTGCGCGAACTCCTACGGACCTCAGCAAAGCACAGTACAACTGGGCGCCGGTGTCTCTGGACCCTGCCAGCTTCCTTGCTGCATTTCTGAAGTCCGAACGGTCTAAACACGAATCCATGTTGCTAGGTGGTTGGTACTAGAGCAATAGGTTTAGCAGACTTCTTCAGCTGCGATACCTTGGCATAGACTCACGTCGTTGAGATGGTCAGGATCTTCTGCCCATAGTGATCGACGCAGGCCCCGTTCGTTTATTTGGAATTTGGACCTGAATACAGCACCAGCTTGCTCAAGGCCGTTCTTTAGAGACTCGGTCTGTCCAAATTGGGGAAGACTGGAGCTCGGTGTCAAGTAGCCAGCTGTTTTCTTCGAGAGCAGAGGACGCAGGGTTTTGTGAACCTGTTCATCATCGCACCAACGATTCCTGAGAGCACTGTGTAGCAGAAGACACAGCAGATGAGTCCTGTGTATTGATATGCGCGACTGCTTTTCTTCCTTTGTTACTGGCTTTCGTTTGTTGACTCCTTTTCTTGTGCTGGTCGTCATGTTGGCATGCTTTGAGAGATTGAGAGTCAGTTTTTGCGGTTCTTCTTGAATCCCTGAGCCATGTTGCAAGGCTCCAAAATCAACGTCTTCGAAATTGATAGGTTCCCCATTTCCGACTTCTTCTTCTTCGATGTCATCATCAAGGTCATCTTCTTCATCATCGGAATCCCTGTACATGGTCTGGACGGTCGCCGGGGGCAAAACCACGTCTTCAAACTCAATGTCCGCGTCTTCGTCGTCGTCTTCGGATCCTTCTGGTTCCATCACCTGTGACTTGACAGATGAAGCCTCTGCTTTCCCCTCCCCAGGTCGCTTCAGTCTTTTAGCTGGGGGCTCTGAGAATGCTGAAGAACCGGCATCCGCAGCAGCTTCCAACAGCATTTCTTGATAGACATCCGGTACGTCGGACTTTGCGGCCCTGGGCCGGGTGGCTCTGGTTCGTTTCCGGCCCGCCATTATGGCACTGGTTGGAGTGAATGTTTGTATCAGGTTGGGAAACCCATAGACGCACGGGTAGACGGGGGAAAGAGGACGCGACGCAAGGTGGTTGAAATTGTCTGCTATAGAATCGCCGGAGTGAATAAGCTGTGATTAGATGTATTCTCGCCTACTTTGCCTTCCATGAGTAGGCACTTCACCCTTAGGCAAGCACGCGAGGGAAGATATCCGTAGCTACCTTGCGTAGGTACCCGCCTTCAGTCAAGGCAATCTAAGTGATTGGGTTGAGGGCTCCGTATGTACAGTTGAATATCAAAGAATGTAAGAAAATAGGATGGACCAAATGTCTCGTCGCTGACAAACCAGAAGGCATGACGTCATAGCAGCAGCAGCAACAGCAGGCAGTCATGCACTTCACGGGTAAGCAAGTAAGGTACGAAGCCAATACTGCCACACGGCCACGTGACTTTGGACCGGTGTTCAGTGCCCGTGCCTAAGATACTGCCTTATCTGGACCTCCCATGCCCGGGCCCGAAAAGCGTCTCTCGGGCTTATCTTATACATGTCTTGCCAAGGTAGAAGTGGTCTGCGGTACTCATCAAGTAAGAAGCAAAAACGTACGGAAGATACTAATGTCATTTACTCAAGTGAGTCTCACAGAGGGCATTCTATCTCACCAAATGTGCCGAAGGTACGTCGACACTTCGCGAGGTAATACGTAAGAAGAGGCGGGGTCTTGAATGATTTTATTCACGTGAAATCCAATCTACGCGACCTAATCCTTCTGCGCGACTACTCAGTTTTTACTGCGGTAGAAAATGCTGGTGTCCAGAGGCAACCTTTCGCCCATCCACGTAGCTCTTTGTGTGTGGTTGCGGAGCTCCGTGGCATTATGGTCAACGCCTTCCTCGATGGTGTTGGGATGAATAAGCACGGAAAGAGGGCCTCGGTATATGGTCAACCACGGTATGAATGCACCAAACTGTGCTGGCGTGAAGATGTTGACTTCAAACATAGCCACGGGATGGGGGCCGATGGGTTGTTCCCAGAATCGGTAAATCCTCAACTCTGGGACTGAACCATGAACCAGGCATTAGCCAGACATTTAACCCAATTCGGATTAGTTTAAGACACTTACATTCCCTCCGGATGCGCTCCCAAAGGTCTTTAGCATGCTTCACTTGTTCTGGATTGCTTTGGAAATGGTAAATGTGGACGTCACTGCCGTGTGTATGTCAGCCTTGCAGCAAAGCGCGAAGTAAGGTACGCTGCGATGTTGGGTCGCTTACAAGCCACCTTGGCGCCCGGTGTCTAGGGGAGCCGGGAACTCCTCATACGTCTTACTCAACCCCTCTCGTGGTGGGTTCCTGAAGCTCTTGCCATCCTCGTTGAGCTCAGTTGGCAGCGGGGGGACATTTTCGTATCCTTCGCGAGGGGAGACATAGGCATAGAGCGGGGTACTGGCGGCCATTGCAACTTTCTCTCCTAACTATGTAGGTAGGCGTCTCAACGGGTAATGATGTCTAGGTTAAAAGTTGAATTTGATGAGTACCGATAATTCATGGACTAAGCCTTAACGACACCAAAAGAGCCCAATTTTTTTTTGGGACAGTATTCTCATCCAACTTTTATATACATATGAAAAGTAATTAACACCTCGTAATCCTCTGAGCGTTCATTGCGTTATTTCGCGGACGCCACTGTTGGTCAGCACGCGACGAGATCCACCCACTTCTAAGCAACCGCGCGCGCGCAGGAAATACCGAGACCCCATTCGGCTTGGTCACTCTTCTCCCGAGCTACGGAGTACAAGAGTCATATTCTACCTAGGTAGACTTACAACCAACGGCAAGATCCGATGATTCTTCCATTGATGCTCGATATCCGTATCCACACATGTGTCCCAATAACGCCGCCCCTCCGTTTCTTTGCGTCAGGTTTTAACAATGCAATGTGCATGGACCAAGAAAGTCCCCTATCGCTCAAGTACAAGTGTATTGCTTACTGTCATTAAGTGCCTATTTTGTCTGTGGAAAGGACCAACAACTTTGGCCAAGCGCAATTATACAGCATCATCGGAAACCCAAACTCCAAATTGCGGCAAGGCATATCCCAAAACCACCTATCAAAGCTGTCAAACTCCTAGGAATCTCGCTCATGTCATGGATTTTCGTCAACTCAGCCATTCGTGCCCCCCTCTACTCCTTCGTTCAAAGCAAACACGCTGACAACCCAACTCCTTTAACACGGCTGAAGGTAGTTGCTTGGGACCAGCCCCATGCGTCCATTGCTACCGTGAATTTCAGCTTCCCACCAGCCGTCATCCTGATGACGCAGGACGGCAAGAAGGTCTCCCTTGGAAAATCCTAGTTCTTCTGGGATAGCCGCCTGGTACACGTACAATGCCCTTGCTGCAACATAGTTAGCACCGTCTTCCTCGTGTTGTAGGGCCAGCACTTACCAAAATGCAAAATGGGCCGGCCATCTCGAGTATATTGCCGAGAGGGGTCTGCCACGCTCTTGCTACGTTGTCTCGACTCGCCCTGTCCCGGTGGTCCGCCCCCTTCGTAGAGCCCCATGGCCCGGTTGCTGGAGCTCGTTCCAGGTCGACTCCCACCACGACCACGCACTGATCCATAGCCCTCATCACCGACAGGCGCGAGTTGGATAGCCAGTTCATTGGCGACATGGCTGCTGCCCGGTCTCATCTTCTCCAAATAAGGAGCTGGAGACGCCGCTCTCGACATTGCGCTTGGTGATTTCTGCTGATAGTAAGGCTGTTCTGATCCCCTTCTCGGCGGGTTGCTCATTCGCGATGCGCCTCGGCCCAAAGAACCTTGCGGGTTAGGAGACGCTGACCGGTATCCACTCCGAGTATCCTCGCCTGGCCCAGTTCTCGGCGAAGCATTGCGCGGGGCACCTCTGTAGCCACTTCGCACGTCCTCAATCGGTGCCGTTCTCGGGGAAGCGCTTCGGAGGGGCGCAGGTGACGCTGCTCGAGGGACGTCGCTACCTCGTGTCATTGGCCGTGAGTTGGACGTCCCACCGTAGCTTGACCCAGGGCGGTTGGCCGGGTTAAACATACTACGGGTTTGGTCGGTGAATTTGGCTGATGTCTCCTTCATGGCCTTTGCTGTCACCGCCTGGGGGGGTACTCCGAGTCTCTGAACGACTTGCTGATCATAGGGAGGCGGCGTACCTCGAAGTCCTCCTGCCGTTGCGTTGTTGCCCACAACCGCTGGGACCGACCTGGAGAACTGCTGGGAGCCGGGCGTCGGGGTAGCAATGCCGTGGTAACGGTCTGCCGAAACACGCACGCTGGACTGCTTTCCTACACCGACACCCTTGAGCTCGGCCAGGGCCAAGGCAATTGGGTCCATCTCAGGCTGAGCGGCGGGAACACTGGATCCCTTCCTCTTCTCCAAGTCTGGAGTCGTAACGGAGAAAACGTTCTGCCCAACATTCAACGCGAGACTAGCATTTGCATCGATTGGCTCCGGGCTTATGGTTGATCTGTCTCCTAGGAGGTCCGATGTTTCCTGAGTTTGCAACTGGGGCCTTCGAGCCGGACTTCCTTGAGATGTAACGGGGTGCCAGGTGTTCCTGTTCGCCGGCGGGCCTGGTGATTCTTTCGTGCTCTTGCGACGGAATGGGCTATGATTTTGGAAGAAGCCGCTTCGTTTCTTGAGGACCTGTTTATCCGAGACCGGTGCCACGCTGACTGGTTCCTGCTTGACGGGCGACACTTTGCCGCTCGCTGGTTCTTGGCTTGAAAGCGAGGTCGGGTTCGAGTAATCGCTGAGAGAATCGCGGCTCGAAGGCCTGGCTGAGGGCGGGTGCGAGCTACGCTCCGAGGGTGGGCCGGTACGGCAAAGCATTGTCATGCCGTCGAGTGGGTACGGATCGTGAGGCACTGACGCAAATGATCCACGCTGACCCATGTCAAGAGAAGGTCGGTTTGGTTGCTGCTGCTGTTGAGCCTGGGGGTGAGCAGCCGGGGCTGCCTGTCGCAGTTTGTCTGAAGGTCTCTGTGTGGCAAGTGGTGCTTCACGAGCGGCAGAGGGCAAGATTTCCCGACGGCCAGTATCTTGGAGATAGCTTCTTGAGGTTGGGCTTGCATCCTTATGGCCCAGATCTATCCCGAATCCTCTTGAAGAGGAACTGGCATCCTTTGGTGTTGTATCATGGACGAGGTGTCTAGACGCAGAAGGGCCTGCATCTTGACGCCTTGACTCCGGAGCAATAACGCTTCGCGGAGTAGCTGATGGTGGATCTTTATGTCCTAGGTCCTGAGCAAGACTTGAGTTGGGATCGTGATGCGATTCGTATGTTGAGGGCTGCGGCGAAGATGACCTGAATGCCGGGTTTATGCTCCTTGGAAACTGGGCGACGGAGTAGCTATCGTCGTCCGAGCTTTCCGATTGCGTGTCGTTGATATCTCCTCGACAGAAATTGATGTACTTTGGCGGATCTGGGATCTCTTGGCCCGTCCCTTGGTCCTTGATGAAGCTGATAATGTCCGTTTCAACATCCATCGTCTCCAGTGATAAGCGGATCTTTTCGCAAGAAGCATCATCGCTGACGCAGACAGTAGAAGAAATGTTAGCGAACGTCCACAAGCTACTCTTTGTGAAGTCGAGACGCTCTTCCTCCAAATCTTGGAACTTGTCCGCAGCTGCCTTCCACTCGCGATTCCACCTCACTGTCGTGTCCTCAAGGGCCTTCACAGCATTCTCGTACTCGGTATTAGATGTCGCAACGCTGATCTGCGTCTTCTCTAGCTTTGCCTTGTTCTTTCGCTCCTCTTGGCCCATGACCATGTGGCCCTGAGCGAGGTAGCCCTTGATTTTGAGGCACTCCTGCTCGTATCGGTCACGCGTCTGTCATTTTCGTCAATACATGGCTCATCGAGATCAAATTCGGAAGATTCATGGATCAATCCGGATTTGGGGATACGATCAGAACTGACCTTGTTAACGTGTTGTGTCTGTTGTATTTTCGTCTTGAGAATCTTCTCGATGCCATTTTGCACAATCTTTCTTCTTTCCTTCATACCACCCGCAAACGCGGCAAGAGGCTCTTCCAATTCTGTCTTCATTTGCGCCGCGATGTTCTGATGTTGTTTCGCCATTGATTCAACCTCGCCTCGAACAGTGTCGAGTGATATCTTCAGGCTACCTGACTCATGGGATCCCAATGATTTCCGACACAAGGAGAGTAGCTTTCGGGAGTATTCGTCTTCGATAGAGGCACGAGCTGTACTGGACATTAGCTCTCGGCTGTAATAGACCCAGTGATGTTACTTACCGCCGTAGAAGGCCTTCAACTCATCGCATGTCTGTTTCGCAGAAAGCATGCGATCTAGCAAAGGACCTACGCCAGCATCTTCCTTTCCCCAGAAGTTGTTCGCGACTACATATCGGGTCGGTTAGCTCCTGCTTTGTTGTAGACACCGGGAACTGCAACATACAGGACAAAGCCACACTTGGCCCATCTGCCGTGGATGTAGGCATTATGCCTACGACTGCGTTGAAGCCGTTTGATGTTAAAAAGACTTGGGATAGGTATGGCGTTGCGTGCGGTCGTTTCGGGCTACTTAACAGTAGAGTAATGTATCAAGGTTCGTGAAGAGAGAGCCCTCGGGCCACTATGTGCAGAAACTCAAGCTGATGTTCCTGGCCTTTTGGGGTTGGAAGAAAGCCGGAATCGGTTGAGAGCCACGTTGGCGTCAATAGCTGTGTACGGGCGACAGGTCGGTCGGTTGATGGATTGATGGCCAGGTCAAGCAAGGTAATATTGTTTGGTTGCGTTGCCGGGTAACCATGTCATTACATAAGGCGAGGTGGCTAAGAGACTCAACAGGTGTGCGACATGCAGTTGAGTGCTTTCATCCTGTCTTACCTAAGTGGAGGAGCCCATCTAGACTGAGTTTAGCGTATTCATAGGCCGAGCATGCCTGCCTTAGGTAAGACGCCTAAGGTGAGTTGGAGGTAAGGTACCTTACGTATCCGTCTCGGTAGCGAAATACCTAAGGTAGTTCCTCAGGCAGGGACGACAGGGCATTTGGGGTCCTAATGCCCACCTACCTAGGATTAGGTGCCTTCCATTTGCATCCATAAGGGAACTCCCGGTCATCAGGTGTTAGGTACCTTACCTTGCCTTGCCTCTCTTCGGGTTTCGAGCAATGGGTCACGTGCTGCAACTAGCTACGCACCCAGTACAGATACCAGATACCTACATACTGGGAAACCTAGAGCACCAAAGAAGCCAGGACAGCTCAAGGTACGAACCCGGGATAGACTTAATAAAGCATCTGCCTGAGCTATTCCCGTAAGGTAAGTACCTAAGTGCAGCATGTTGCTTGAGAGTCACCTAAAGTACCTTACCTGGGCTGTCTTCGGTGCGTCCAGTTCTGTCAAATCTGACCGCCCTGGGCGGTGTAGGTGCATCCACCTTAGCCTTTGACCTTGAGAAACCTCAGGTAAAGGTACCTTACCTAAGGCAGGTATCTCACTTACCCAGTAGGGTACATACCTTGCCTTCGCCCATGAGCTCAGGTACCTTAGGTAAGGCACATTTTCCCTGCCATCCATTCTCCGCCTTGTGCATGT